AACTATGATTTCATACAACAGGAATTAATTATATTTAATTCCTTGTCGATCTTCGATTGCTTCTTCATTACCACCATAACAACCAACTAAATCAATACCATAGTTTTGCCATGTCAAACCATTTCCATCTACACGAGCATTAGATTTCAAAAACATGATCGATTAATTCTTCAGCCTACACTCAAAATTTAAACTTTATTAACCGTTGAAGTGAACTTAAAATTGATGTTGCTGTCATATTTACTATTTGTTAAATGAAAATTTTCGTTAGAAAGATATCATTTATCAATGATGGAAATATTCTGTTAGATGATGACTTCAAAAATCAATTTAATAAGTTCAATATCTTCGTCATAACTAAAAGAAACGAGTATTTATTTCATTCAAATTTTCTTTTTTATACAAAAAAAGAAACTCTATCAAAAATCGGTTATCGATTTAATTTTTGCTTGTATGCTACAATTCACCTATAAAATAAATTGATATGTATCATTAATGTCTGATCTATTGAATAGATTACAAATGAAAGTTTCACTACAGTGATGCTATTTTGAAAAAAAACAGATGCGCAATTATATTTTATTGCCTGAGGCAAAATAACTTTTCACCCTCATTTCTTTCTGTCAATCAGAGTCATTTGATCTTTTCTTTTTATTTCGTTTTATGTCAATTGTACAAACAAAATAATGAACCAGAATATATCTGATCTACCTAAGGCATTTTCTTATTTACCTATTCATAAGAGCAGTCTGACACTTTTTTTTCTTGTATAAATATTATTAATTTCTTAGTAAAAATTATTTTATTCAAGACAACGATATCATGGGTAACAGCGGACTTACAGGTCAACCAGCGACATTAAGTGATGAAGGTTAGGTTTAGTTTATGAATTTCTTCTGATTAATATATAAAAATAATTTGATTCATTAGAAATCGCTGCACTTAAAGCTAGTACAAACCTTAGTGAAGAAGGTAAGAGAAAATATAATTATCATGTAAAAAACAAGCTTTTTTCTTCTTTGTATTTAGAAATTCGAGATATGTTTAATGTAAGAGAATTAATTGAACATTTTTTTCCAAAACTCTATTTATGTTTTTCTTTTTCTAAGGAATTTAACAAAGGAGGTGGAGCAGGTGATGGAAAAATAACTAAAGAAGAATTTCATAAATATTATAAAAAAACTGTTGGATCTGATGATGCAGATGGAATCTTTGCTGAGTATATCCTTTAGATATATCTTATGTATTATTCATGATTATTTTTAGTAATACATTTGCTGCATTTGATACTAATCACGATGGTTCAATTAGTTTTAGTGAATTTACTTTTGCTATTTTGGCACAAAATAAAACTGATTTAGATAGTATACTAAGTTTCTCATTCGCGTCGTAAGTTTTTTTTGGAACATCTCTGAAAAAATTGAATAGATCAATATTTGATTTTTAGAATAGATATATCGGGTGATGGAAATATTAGTTTCGATGAATTGAAAGGTTATTTGGAAAAAGCGGTATGATTTTTTTGATTAAGATAAGAAATAAAGTAAATCATACGATGCTTTTTGTTGCAGGCAATATTGGCAATAGGTAAAGAAGAAGCAGCAGAAATCGATTCAGATGAAGTTGCTCTAAGTATTTTTCAAGAATTTAATCTGGATAAGTCACAGAAAATGAACAAAGAGCAATTTATAGAAGGGTAAGAAAATAGAGATTAATCTTCATTTTCTAGAAGAACTTTCTTTTAGATGTAAAAAAAACAAGCAAATCGCTCACATGTTTATTACAAATGAATAAATTCATTTTATCTATTAGAATTATCGAACTTGATTCTGTCAATGTTATACGTATATAACTACAGAAGTATAATATACGACTTTTTACAACCGTTTCTTTCAATAAATTATCTTTAGTTTTCAATTCAAAAAAATCTTTCAGTTAATCTGATCCATATCAGAATAATTATTTACAGTAATAACTTTATTAATGTTGAGGTACTTTTTCTATCTTGAGGGTGTGGGTGATGATTTTATTCATTATTATGTGACACTCTAAAGTGATTCCCATGTAAAAAATGAAACTCAGGGAGGATGCGTTTATATGAGATAGCCACGTCTACACGCATCTCATACTTGAACGCGTTTCCATTTTACGTCATGAGAGAAACGTGTTCGTGCGTTTGAATGAAGAAATGTGCTCTAAGGTATCTTTGATTCGAACGTATTTCATGTGTGGGATGAATATAGATGCGTTTCAACGCATTTAATGGAACAAAGGTATTTAATCGCGTCTGAATGAGCTGAGCGCGTTTTGAGATGAGACGAAAGAACACATCTTAAGCAAATAATTATTGAAAAACGAGGGAATTTGAAAATCTTTGATGACCAGATATGATTTATCAAACATATATTTCTTAATTAATCTACAATTTGTAATAAATTTTCACATAAAATTAGTCACGTTTTAGTAGATGTTTTTTTCAAGTATTTTGCACGATAATAATTGGTCTTTCTATGAAATATAATACAGTTTTTAGACATTTTTCTCTAAAAAGGAACGAATAATTTCTTATATCAAAATTTATATTAATCGTACAGAAGTTTTCAGCTTTGTGTATATCAAATTCGCTTTTCTAGAAGAATTTAGTATAGCATTCAACACGCCAAAGTTTTTTTATGTGAAAAATCAAATTTGAATGACAAAATAAAGAGAAAAACAATGCTTGTGAGAATTAATGACAAATTAAAAAATATAACTATTAATAACTAATATAAATATTCTTCCTTTTTTAGAAAACATATTTTCTATTAACATATCGAATCGTTTTCATTTACATTTTGTTAAATTAAAAATTATATTATCTTTATCCTTTGACAGGTAATGGAAATATAAGTCGATAATGAATTTTTAAATATATTTACGACTTTCTTTCAATTTTCTTTCGTATCAGTTAACGTCTAAAAGATTATCTGATTAGAATAGAAACGTATCTGATAGACAGATAAGCTACAGTGGTTCATCAGTTCAAGTAACTATACTTATAATCAAATGTCTCATGTGATAGTGTCGCTCAGTGCATAATGTAAAAGTATGTATAAAAGTCAAATAATTGTTCTATATGATGCCTCGTATGAACATGATGATGATGATGCAGCTCGAATCTGTCCAAGTAGAATAATTTTTTTTCCTAAAAAAGAATACAAACATGTGCGAGGTGAAAAAAATTTCATATGGTCTACATAACAGAAAACGAGGATATAGAGAATTGCATGCCATATAGTTCAATAAGTCAATTTTTCATAACTAAAGTTCCTTTAGTAAATTATTTTGTCAGTATAGGAATATATATGATATAGTAGAGAAGATACAAACTAGCGTTTCGTTCGTTGGTATAAAAAATCAATTGACTTTATCAAAATAATTCATTTCTATTCATTAGTTTTTTTAACCATTTTCAATCTAAAAAAGTGTTTTAATAAATTATTTTTCTTCTGTTTTAAATTTATCCTGATAAAGTATGTTGCTAAGAAAGAAAGAGTTTCATAAGCTTTAAAATATTCATTTTTATATTCATATCCACATATTCATCATTTCTAGCTAGGAATAAATTTTGTTGAAAATAAATGATAGTAATCTTATTAAATTTCAGTAATATTCTTCTTCTTTTTATGAAATACGCAATTTCTTAGTCGATCATTAGCCACTCTTTAGAGAAATGCTAGCTAAAAACTAGTAATTATAACTCTCTAAATTTGTTAATAACTGTTTTTCTGTTCATGTTCCTAGGTAATTGTAACTACGTAATTAAAAGAAAGTCATAGAATCGTCTGTGAATATACTATTTTGAATGAATACAAATATCTTGATTGAATTACTTTTTATCAAACTCCACATGAAGCTTATTAGAAAGGTGATATCTAATAAACCTAAGTATAATAAAATGAAATGAATAGATCAAAGCTCATTTCTATATATTCATAATATATGCTAATTCATGCGTTTGCGTAACATGTTTCTGAGGGTGTTTCCGTTTTCTTTTTCTATCTGAAGAAGTTCGTATGTATTAATGATATCATTTGTTTAATTAGATTCTATTTTCTAGAAACTAAAGATGATATATAGAGAGTTTGAATTGTAGAAAAAGTCATTTTACTTTTCTGACTCCAATAGTTATCATTAACAATGAATAACAGTGACATCAACTTGGTACAAGAAGTACAGATTGTTCTTCATCGTGTCAAATTTTTTATTTTGATTTTATCACAAATTCCAGCGATTATCATCACTCTTTTCATTTTTCTATTTTTCATCAAACATCGTTCTCAAGTGAATAGTCATCAAAATCTAGCATTATTAATTTTACTAATAGTTAATTTTATTGCTTTAACAGCGGATCTACCAATGCCTATTCAATTCTATCGTACTAGCTTCGTTAATCCAGCAACGGCAGCTTATTGTACATGGTGGACATTCTTCGAATACAGTTTAAATTTAATAAGCGAGCTTTTAATGGCTGTCATTTCTATTCAACGACATATATTTGTATTTCAACCGCGTCTATTTGATCATCGCTTAAAACGTTATATAATATACTACTTACCTCTGTTGTTTTGTGTAGTTTATCCATTCATATTTTATCTGATTATTATTGTGTTCTATCCATGCGATGGCACTCAATGGGTTTTTTCATCGAATTTATGTGGCTATGCAAATTGTTATCTTGTGTATAATAAGGTGTTAACTTCATTTGCTTGGGCAATGAATAATGGTCTGCCAAGTGTTACTATTTTTCTAGCTAATGCAATGCTAGTGATTCGAGTGGTTCAGCAGAAACGCCGTCGACAACGACTTATCTCCTGGAAGAAACAAAGACATATGACAATGCAGTTACTAGGTATATCTAGTCTCTACATGATTGCATGGATTCCGTGTCTTATAGCTGGTGTTGGTCAGCGTATAGTTTCTCCAAACTTCCTTCTTCAAATTCAATTCGATTACTTTCTCGATCTCATATATATTGTTTGTTTATACTTGCCTTGGGCATGTTACGGTTTTCTGCCTGAATGTCATAAATGGTTTTACAAAGTATTTCGTGTTGAACAAGTTACACGGAATGTTATTAGACCTACAGTACGAGACTAGTTAACAATTTAAATTCTGTTGCTTAATAAATATTGTAAAATTCTTATTCGAGTATAAATAAATAATCTACAATAATGTGTGCTTTAATATGACATAGAGAACAAGTATACGTTGAAAAGAATGGGTTGATATAAATGAGAGATACACAGAATGCCCATATTCTCATTCATATGAATTTATGTTTAAATGATTCATCTATTTTATATGAAAAATTATCAATCTATGTAAAAAAAAGTATTTAAAATGATTAGATATATATTGAGTGATTTCGTGCTGATACTAATATTAAATATTACATCGCCTTTCGATCTTATAATACATTTACTAAGATTTATGAACTATTGCAGGTAGACAAAGACAGTGATTCGATCATTATTTTACGCAGATGTTAACTTAAAGGCTGATCAAAAATCATATAATTAGTGTTCTAAACGTTACCAACAATTTTCTTTTTATTCACGTAGATTCATTATGACAATCATTTTATCAAGCATTCAACTACGGAATATCGATCATCTTACTTAAAAATATCGTATGATCGGTTACTCACTATGCAAAATGAATGTTTTTCTTAAACGTATGATTCGCTCATGTCGCGCTACAGAAAAAAATGAACTGCTCAGTTCAACTAGTTTTATAATAGTATATCGCATCTACGGCAATACTTTTTAATATATCTCAAGTAACTGTTAGCCGATTGATTATTGCATGGACTTGATTCGTTTATTACGCAGTAAACTCTATCTCGCTTTGGCTATCAAAAGAGTAAGTGCAACAAAATCTTTCTGTTGAAATAAAAAGAAAACTATCCAGCGGTACGTGTAATCGTCGACTGTACTGAGTTCGAAATTGAACAATCAACCAACCCTCAGGCACAACAAGATATATGGTCTACCTATAAGAATACAAACACTACTAAAGGTAAGAAGCATTTAGATTTGTTCCATGATAGTGCTATCTTTGTTTGTAGCACTTGTTGGTATTACATCAAATGGAATAGTATCTTATATTTCACCTATCTACGGTGACGCTGCAAGCTTAATAGAGTTATTCGAATATAGTGGTCAAATTATATCAAATCGAGCAAAAACGTGATCGTAACTCGTATTAATGTAGAACGATTCATGGGAAGAATAAAAAAACTATAAACAATTGAACAGTATTATTTCAATGACATCAATTTATTTATCAATTTTTTGGTTTCATATACATGTATATACATTTTTTACAATTTTTGATGAACTTGTATTAGTTAATGACGATTGTCTTTTTGAAAGAATTTCTATCATTCTTAATATTATTTCGCTTCTCTATCTTTCCAGTATTGTTTTTTTTTATAATAGAGAAAAGAGCAATATCGAAGGCATGAAGTAAGTAAAAGGCTGAGAAAAAAGAAATGTAAAAAGTGAACAATTTCTTTGTTAACTAGATGATTGAAAAAGATAAACGAAAGAGAAAAAATCGCCTTTAGCAACAATGAAACTAATATATGACCAATTTTTACATGTATTGTACGAAAATTTGATGAAAACGATAGCTCTCTATCTTGTTACTTTTGTAGAATGAGGACATTTGTGATCGATGATTAGAATATTTATGCTAGCTAATTTAACGTATTAAACTATATCATTTGATTATAATAAATAAAAAATGTAGAGTAAGATATTATGTAATCAGATTCTTGGAAAACTAAAATGTATTATATTAGCTAATTTTGTTAAATTTACTCTCAGAGTCTTACAAGATATTTCAATAAAATTATTTATGTAATTAATAGTAGTAGAACAGATACAGGAGAATGTGTTTATAACAGAAGAGTCAAAATAATTACATTGTCGAAGATGTCTTATGCTGTAAAATATTTCATGCCAATGGTATTTGTTTGATAATCATTATAATCTTCGAATGCATTTGGAAAAAATTTGATTTGTTTTGTTGAACCATCAATCATACACACAATCCAAAATCTCGCTTCAGGACGTGTTATTTCTGGTATACAATGAATTTCACCATTGATTAATTTATTTTCATTTTCAAATTTACTTATTTGTGTCGTTTCTGTATTAAAATTAAATGTAACTCTTGCTTTCGATTGAGTTAACATGGGTTCATAGGAATAACGATGAACTGCATAAACATATTTTAAATTTGGTTCAATAGTAAATGTCATAGTTTCGGGACCAAATCCATTTTGAACATCACAATCCAACATAATATTTCCATCACTTCTCTTTAAATAATAGACGTGTTTACCATCAGATGAAAATAGATGAGAATCTAAATCTTTAGGCTCTGCATCCCATTCAAGCACCATATGCATTTGATTTGAGCCTAAATCGCTACGCCCAATAAATTTATTGATAAAATTTTGTCGTCGATTTTGATATATTACCATGATAAATTTTAAGTGTTGAAGTTTGGAATTATCAGGAGAATAAACTTCAACTTCATAAGTACCATCAGCAAGAGCATCAGGTAAAATAGCCGTACCAGTTTGATCTGTTGTACCAGTAAAAATTACTGAGTTTTCTTCCACACGTTTCAATGTAATAATTCCACCTACTACAATATTATTAATAGAATCACGAACAACAAATTGTTTGGGAACGCATATTTCTATCTCAGGAATAACGGTTAACAATGTTTCAGTAATAATATGCTGTGAATCTTGAGAATATATTGTTACTTTATACGTTCCATAATTATTTATATTATAAGGATTTTCAATAATTGGTTTGGTAACGAGTACCTCTTGATCTGGATGATAAACAGCTGGAAAGTGAACATCAGATGAATTAGGACCTTCACATGAAGTAGGAAGGGATGTCTTCAATACTGGAACGTGTTGCATATTTTTGCTTAGATCTATGGCTGTTAAAACGTTTGATCGAACAACAGGAACATTTTGATTTGATGGATCTGATAATACAATTGAAATTTTTGAAATATAATTTGGTATATTCATTAATTGATCTTGAACAACCGCTGATTGTTGTGCAAAGTAGTTTTGTGGAGCAGTGTTCTGATGCATCAGTTTCGTATATATCAGATTTTCTTCACATTGTTTTTGAATTGTCACTTCTAATTGTTCTATCATTGAATCTTGATACTGTATTTGTTGATCTTTTTTTCCAAGAATATCTTCAAGTTGTTGAATAGCTTTATTTTTTACTTGTATCTGTTTCTCTTGATTTTCTATAATAGCTTTTAAATAATTTAATTCTTTTTGAATTTGTGCTGAATCAAATACTTGGGTAGTTGTGACAACTGAACGAGTATTTGAAATTAATTGTTTTTGTTCAATCAGAAGTTTAAGCTTTTTCTTTTCTCCATAGGTAACAGAAATTTTTTTGTAATCATCTTCATCAAAGCTCATTAAATCAGCACCACAAACTCGCTCACTTTTGAACTTTTCTGCCAGTGATCTCATATTTAGATCATATCGAAGCAAGAATTCATACAATTCATCGACTGATAGCTTATCAAGTGTGTCACTTGATGACGATGCGATTTTAATTCGATTGTCATTAGCTGATCGTTTGTCTGATGTGTCAGTTGTTGGTGTTATCATTATTGTTCGACTGTTATTAGCTGATGGTGAAACTGTTCTTATTTGATTGGCATTGGTCACCAGTCTTTCAAATGCATCATTTGACGATGAGGCTATTCTTGTTCGATTATCGTTATTCGATCGTTTCTCTAGTGTTTTAATTGCTGATGATACCGTTCTTATTCCACTCTCACTAATCCATAGTTTGTCAGAGTTTTCAATTGAGGATGCGATCGTTTTCATTCGATTATCATTAATTGATCGTTTATCAAGTATTTCAGTAGATGATGAAATCATTCTCATTCGGCTGTCATTGATCGATATTTTATCAAGCATCTCAGTAGACGATGACATCGTTTTCATTCGGCTGTCACTAACTGATCGTTCAACAAGCATTTCCGTTGATGATGATATTCTTTTGATTCGGACATTATCAGCAGATATATTCGACAAGACTTCTGTATTAGTAAGAAAAAAAGATCTTAGATAATCGTTTACTCGTATGCAATGTTCTTGCATTTTTAAAAAACGTGTATTTCATAGATTGCTCTTGTAAGATCGTTATTAATTTTTCAAAAAAATCTAAAAGTTGTTATGGGGTGAAGTAGAACCTTTGTTTTTATGTTACTGAGTTATGAGCATAATTAAATTTTATAGAAACACAAATAGAATATATCCTATTTCGCAATGTTGAACATTGTAGGAACCTGAGACGTTAAAAAATGTAGCGATCGATAAGCAGGAAAATGTGTCAGTTACCACTTACTTGATAAATGTGATTCTTCGAGATGACTTATTTGATTCATATGTTGTTTTACAAGGGAATTGCGATTATCGATCAATGGTGCTTCAATTGATATCATTTTATGTGATGTTAAATGATTCCAAGTTTCTTTTTTATTATTATAACATGTCATACACAAATCATAGTCCCCACACACTTGACACTTATAACGTAAATTAGAAAATTCAAATGCATGACAACCGTCACAACGAATACCTTTGAAAGAAACAGAAAATGTAAATTATTTATAATACAATGATAAATATATCTTACCATAGTGTTTCGACATTGTGCTCGAATTTAGCAATAATAACTGATCTTTTTGAATTATACTGAAATGAAAAGAAAGCAGAATATATAGTATTTCGATTTCGATTTTTGTTACTCATTCTGTCTGTCACCATTATCGACACCTTTAAAATTGATCGAATCTTATAAAATAAAAAAGAACGAAACATTTTTTACTATTCGACTATGACGTTATATTTTTCGTTCTTCTATACATACACGTTGTCCACAAAGAAAATATCCTGAAAAAATCTGCCAGTAGGTGGTTGATTTTTGGTGTAAAGAAAAAAAATGAGAAGTGACAAATATAATTTTATTTTTGCTAAACACCTACGTTTGTTATTACGTTTTGTGCAAATACACATTAGTCATTAAAGGAAAAAGGTTGAAAATGATTCATCGTTTTAGTTTATTATGGTAAAAAAATAGTTGCTTTTTTCTGTTCTGTTACAATTTCTACATGTAGAAAATGTTGTTTTTATTCAAAAAAAAAGAAACGAATTAGTCAGAACTTTAAGTTTATTATGTCGTATGATCAGCATTTAAATAGAAAATTTGAGCATGGTTATTCGTCGTGTACCCACACCCTTCATATAGGCATTCCTGGAATATTCTTCATCAAACTCTATAACTTATTTTCTAGTTTGCAGTGCATGAATGAATAATGATTCTCTCCAAATCGAAATTAATTATCGAATTATATTTATAATCAGTTTTAATTTTCCATTTTTTCGAAAATGAATTATATTGGTATCAGCTTATTCTATACTGCCTAAGTGAAGATTGCTATTTATGAAATATGATATAAATGTAGGTAAATGACTTCGACGTCACATTTCACTATACTATGAAGTGATTTGAATATGTTTGTTTATCGATCATACAATCAACAATTTTTTTCACTGATTAAACTAAAACAATACGGCAAGTAGATGTATCATCTTGAGGGTAGGTGTGGATGGGAAAAGAGGAGAAACATTCGCTTTCCTACTCACACCATCTCTGATACCAGTATCGATAAATATATCATTTAACATTTGAATGTAATTTTATTACGTTTTATCAATTATTATTATTATTCTGCATACATAAAAATGATTTCGCAAAGATCATAGCTTTTTGAAACTTGGTATTCATTACTAGTTTATTACAACGGATATTACTTTGGAGTAGTTGGTTTTACCATCCTTTGCACCTGCAAAAACTACTGGAGACGATAATGTAATGGGTAGATTCAGATTAGCTATGGGCAATTGCCAAATATATTGTTGATTTTTGATTATAGGTATAACTGATCCACTTAGAGATTGCCATAACCAATCGCTACCTTTGTTTCCGCTGTGACGATAGTAATTACTATTTTCAACAAGAAAATCTGCACCTATTCCTTGAACAAAATAACCCGTGGCAATATTGTTGTCTGCATCAATAAAAGCTTGATGAAAGGAATAATCTTGATCATACTCAGCAAAGAGAATCAGTATTGTTGCTGTTTTTATCACGGATAATTGACTTATTGATGGTGTATGAGTAGTAGCTGTAATCTCATGAAACACATTATCATTAGTATGCGAACCTGGAGCGGAAGTTCTGATTAAAATATCATTCGTAAATAGATTTGTTCCATCAGCATTCCAGGTATTTTCATTGGCAAATCGAACAGTATACCGTGCGTCACTCTGTAACTGAATGTTATCATCAGGCAGATGTAAAAGCAATTGCCAAGCACCCTGATTGATAGTAGCTGGGATACGAAGCTTGCGATCAATGCTTATGATATTAGCTTCTGCTGTCCACGTTCGAGGATCTACACTAAGAGTAGTTTGATATCTAATACGTTCACCACCTGTTTTACCATTATCAAGTATCAGATTTACAGGTCTGACAAGATGCATTGCTGAAAAGCCAGTATTTTGTAATTTCAAAGAAAAATTTAATATTCCACCGGGTGCCACTTCTTTGGAATAAGAAAGAGTTTTTAATTCAAAACGATAGCCAAGTTTACGTGTAAATTCTTCTTTCACTGAACTACCCCATGCATTATAAATAGGTGTGTAGTAATCTCGATGAAGATATGTCATATGTTGCAATTTTGATTCTAACATTGCATTCTGAGCATTATTGTACGTATCATTTGGAGTTCCAAATGATTCACCACCAAAAAAAGTATAATGAGTCATTTGATTAATATAAACGAGTTCTTGAGCTCGCGACCATCCTGGACCAAAAGTACCTTCATCATCTTTACTGGCAAGATAGGCATCATTATGATAACTAGTACGTGCTTTTGGAGTATTGCCATAAGCTTCACTAGATGTCAGAGGTTTATCATCGTTAAAGATTTGACGAATATAATACGGTCTACGAACAAGCACTGAACGTCTACTTGGTAGTGCAGACATATAGGCGGTATGAACTTGTCTAAGTGCACCAGTTTCAACGGGATAATAGAATTTAGTATTGATAGTACTGTGTTGTGATGAATGCATTTCACCCCATGGTCCAAACATACCCATCTCGACAGCAACGATGATATCTTCGTACTCATAATAGATAGGTTTCATATCCAAGATATGGTTTTTAATAGTTTCAATGTTCTTTGGATCTGGAGCTAAGATTGAATCCCAAGCATAGGCTGAACGCAGAATAACTTTTAATCCGTTTTGACGACAATTGCTGAGCGCTGAACGAATTTCATTGAGTTTACTTTGCCCAATATGTGTACTATTGACGTAGGCTGATATGTCTATTTTGATAAGGACTAACGACACTTTTTCTATGCTGTTTCGCAGTTCGTTAAGGCCCCAAAGATCATTGGCAAATCGATGTGTAATCCATCCTCGTTCAGGATTAGCAAAAACCATTTGGCTAGATTGAAATGTTTTCGTAACACTAACAGGTTCGTTAGCAAAAGTATTATGCCACGGACTTATAAGAAATCCAAAAAGCAAAATAATCATATAGTTGTCCTTCATTTTGTTTCACGTTTCGTTTCTATAAAATACATCGTAAAGATATATATGTATAATATATTAAGGATAACGGACACTCAGAGTTATTACACAATATCAAATTTAAAATAAAAAATCGAAATGTCTACTATTTTGCTGGTATTAAATATAAATACAAATGCGTTCTACAAGAAAACTATAGAGTCTGTAACATTAGATTCTTACACTATTGCCGTTCGATGATATTCTATGATTGTTTGTTATTTTCTCAAACAAGTAAAAGAATGTTGAATATACGCGATTTTATCTTTAATGAAATAAGACGCCAAGTAAAAAAAATTTATTGATACTTACATTCACATTGTAATCTATTTGATAAAATTTTAACTTTCGAAATTTTTCCTATCTTCTTTTTGTTAACAATTCTTCAAGATAGAACTATTACTATTACTGAAAATGTTATATAGGATTCAAGCTCTCGAAGAATCATCAGTGTCTTTCAGTAGTATATATAAATCATATAACTCAACTATCAAACAGAAGATAGTGCTACAATTGCGAAGCTTAGCAAAGTTCTGATTAGCACTTTCTTTCGCAAAGCTGGAGAACGTCGCTAAAAATGAATTAAACAAGATATTTAATAATATGTGAATAGTAAGAAAAAACATACTTAATAAGAAATACTTCACAATGATGAATCAAATATTTTTATTGAATGTCGATAGATCATCGGAAATGCAATGCATTTATATATTTCGATCCTTATACGCCGACGTAATTGTGATATGCATACCTATAAGCTATTAGAGAAAGAAAAAAATCAGTGAATACTTGATTTAAAATCTATTATGTGGGTGTTCTCATGCTGGTAATTCCTTTTCAAATAAAAGATTAAGTTATTTATCATCAAAGATAGGTTTCTAATCGAAGTATTGTCACGTCTTGTATGTTGACGCACGTGTACCTGATAGAAAAATATTTCATCAAAACGAATGAAGTCATTACTACAAAAGATGAACTTATTTTTTAATAAAACTTTATTTTACTTTTCGTACTAACACAGTCCCTAGGAAAAATCGTTCGTGTTTTCATCTCAGGCCTTAGACAGGCCCAACAAGGATTTGCTGTTTTTTCTTAAGCGGACACGATAAAATTCTACAGAGCTTCTATAGTTACAGAATTTTAAGAGACTAACAGGATTAAGAAGGGTGCGCAGTGTAAAAGGATGACCAGACACGCAAATACATCCACATCCATACCCTAATTAACGTTTGCCTTTGCATTGCAGTGTTAATGAGACGAATGTAACACTAGATTAACCATATATAAATAATTTCTTTATTCTTGTTTGTTATTTGTTTTGATAAAAAGTCCATAATCACTCTAAAATACTTACAAGCTTTTTTAAATAAATTAAAAAAATTAATGAACACGTATTCTATGTTACTAGTCTACTTAAATATACTCCATTGAACGAAATCCATAGAGTGATCTGTATTACGATAACAGTAAATGTTTCGCTCATTTTCCTTTTATTTGGCACATTTGGTATTTGAGATACTGACAGAAAATATTAATTATACTTTAAGAACTCTTATCATTAAATATAAAGGTGTTATATACGAAAACATCGTCAATAACAGTTGAAAACTACCGACATCTATATTGATTTCATTAATCAAATTCAGTATTCTTCCTATATGGCTCCATAGTATTTTCGAAGATATAATCCACTTGAATCTTCTTTTGGACTTATAACTAACTTTCAAATCTATCATTGACAGCTTCAGTAATTGGATTGGTTAAAACACAAATAGTGTACTGAGACTTTTCCAAGCGTTTTCATTTTTTTATTACATATAATCTGAAATATTTTCGTAATACTGTATGTCAGACGTATAACCGAAGAGAAGAGCATAACTGGCAAGGCTGTCTATGAATGCTAGTTAAATACAGCATCCACACCCACGCCCACACCCACACCCACACCCACACCCACACCCACACCCACACCCTCAAGAAAAAAAAATACCACTGTCCTAATTATTCTAGCTATTACTAAAAAGATATTTCGGTAACAGGTTCAAAATAAAAAGTAATTTTTATATTCTATAAACCAATTTCGTTCTTCATCTTAGACAGTCGAATAATCAACTGGTTTGCTTCAACATGATGAAAAAATTAGGACGGTGTCTTTTGTTGTATGAGAGTAATAAAGAATTTAAATTAGGTATATAATTTTCAATCACCATGTGTATATGTATTGAGAGGATCAAAAGGAAGTAAGAAAACGTAATCATATGTAGATGACTCAGGAATGCATGTATGACTCACGAATGAATGTGCGACTGAAAAGAACGAATAAAAGAGGATGATGCATTATTGCCGAAGACTATTACAACAAATGTATGCAAATTGCATTTTATTGAAGATACGAAATTTTTCGTGAAAAAGTCATTAATACAATCAAATAACCGTTTTCATAAGATTTGAGGATGTGAGTATTATGTTAATTTATATGAACCGACATCCACACTCAAACTCTTATCAATACCCTCAACTTTCATCTTCATTCGCAATGATCAGAATGAAAGAGAAAACTGTCATTGGTAGTCAGTATGACCAATAATAAAATACGTTACATAAGCATACTACCAATCTTCCGTTTTTTAATAGATAAAATATTACATAAAAACTTACATATTTTAGAAAGATTATTATAAAAAATACGATTTTGGATATGAATCAATCAAAGCGACAGTTAACTATTAATGGATCAAATAAAAAAGTTCGGAGTAAGTTAGAAGTAGAATGTTTGATTGATTTCTGGTTTGTTTTTTGAATCTTTTTATTAGTATCAAAACATGGCACTCATATTGAAGATTTATCTAATGAACTTATCATAGAAGTGTTCGATTATCTTGATGGATGTGATCTATACAAAGCATTTTCAAAACTCAATAAACGATTTCAAGACATACTTTCCTGTCCATATATTCGTCCTAAGATTAATATTGTCAATAGTTCAAAACGAGACATTTTATTTGATTATACAAAGATCATTCTCCCAAATAAACATCAAATTGTCTCAATTTGTATACTAAATCCATTGGCTATTGATCTTTTTTCTCAAACAATGAAATTCGATTTATCCTTTCATCGTCTCGAATCTGTTGTTCTTTATGGATTAAAAGCAAGTGATCTTGTAGCACTCCTATTAACTTTAATTTCAATTCCACAACTCAGCTTATTGATAATTACTCTAACCGATATTAATATAAAGGATTTCAGCAATGCATATCGACTAATTTTTAGTTTACCAGCACTGAAATACAATAAACTTCACTTTATAGGACCGACACCATCGCTTTATTTAACAAATATTAATATTCGACCTAGTACCATTACTCATTTAAATATCGATCATGCATGTTATCTTAATGATGTTGTTCATATGCTTTCGTATACACCATATCTTCGCCGTATTGTTTTTGGAAAATTAATGCAATCATATCGAAATATTGAGAAAATAACACTATCTCTTCCTTATTTGACACATATTTCTATTGGAAAATGTTATTTACAATTTGATGAATTGGACATTTTTATCAAAAAAATATCTTCTCAACTACAAATGTTACGCATTTCTACATGTGACGATGAAACTTATCTTGATCCTGATCGATGGGAACGATTGATTTCGAAATACATCCCATATTTACGTAATTTTTATTTTGAATATCATCAATTAGTAAATGATAATTTCCAAACGACTTCATATAATGAATTAATTCATCGATTTACTTCTGAATTTTGGCGTGAACGTCGATGGATTTTCAAACTCGAAATGAATGTCAATTTTTTCTTTCTAACTAATGTCGTCTATTCAATTCATCCATACAGGTATTTTGTTTTTGTGAAATACGAATTAAACTGAGTGTTAGAAGTAGAAATTTGTACCCATCTCCAGTGTTCTCCTCTTCTTCCAGACTTAGTAGACATTATCAAGAGATTGTGCTCATAGCCTTTTATTTCAAATTTTGGTTTTTTTTAGAGAAAACTGGGATGAAATTCATAAAGAACATTGGAATTCAAATATTGCCTTAGATGTTTTCAATGGAACAGAATTGTCTATCTTCGAATCTAGTTTCACCGATTATAATGACTCACTTATTGATAATCTAGCCCCGTTATTTGATATTGTTCAAATAACAAAATTAGATTTCACATTTGAAGCAACATTTGTTGGTATGTTACTTGATCTTCTACGATATTTACCAAATCTAAATTCATTACGAGTTCGATCTTTATCATTGACAAAACCACGGTGTTTGCATGCTGAAGAAGAACGTATCTCTCGGTTGATATCAATTGATAATAAAATAAGAAAAGTTCATATTCAACAGATGACTGATTTAGAACAAATTCAATTTCTAATTAATATTTGTCCTCTGATGCAATATTTGGATATCGGGTTTTCAGATAATATGGATCTGAAGTTACTTTTAAAATTTATTTTAATGAAAAATCGTGAACAGATATCACATCTTCGTGTTTTGTGTTTGTGTACTCCAAGAATCAATCAGAAAATGTTTGAAGATTTACAAAATCTTGTGAGAATGAAAAAACAATATCAAAAATATACAATTAAACATATAAATAATCGAATTTATATACAACGATAATAGAATTCTCTATCAGTCCAAAACAAATCATAAATAACTCGTCTGATTCAACTTACGCATTTCGAAATAAATATGATTTTCTTTTTCATTTAAGTAGATTTGAACTAAATAAAGCTAATATTACAAAGTATAATAAGAATGTGGGCAACTGTGAGTATTGCGTTAACTTACACACACTCGCACCCGGACAAAGCTGAAGAAAATAAATATTCTGCTTGGCCACTTGTAAAGAACAATAAAACTGTTTGAAACCGTTGCTTAAAAGTTTTGAAACTTGATTTATTGTCACACTTTTTTAATTCTAATATAATGAAGAACTATTTTCGCAAAAATAGTATAATAAATTGTAGTTACATAGCGTAGAAAATTAGAAATTTTATATTTGTTCAATCTTCTGCTTGGAAATTCCATTCCAGAATAAGATATTTAAAAAATCCATTCTTTCATTCGTTTTAATCATATCGATACATATCATAAAATCACAGAAATAATCGCAATCATTAACACAACCAATGAAAAGAAAACTAATGCAGCAGTCGACGTAGCCAACAATACATCAATCAAAATATAAGAAAACGAAGGTAGAGAAGCATTATAAAACTTAAACATATTAAAGACAAACACATACGCAGCAACTCCAATAGGAGGTATAGGTAAAAAATATCTTATACGAGAAGAAATAAAAAAACGTGTAAAATAAAGTGTAATTCCGCCAAGGCCGATTAAAGTTCCAGCCAAAGTAATTGCGAGAATGTTGGCTTTGAGAATTTGCTCATCCATGTTAATTTTCTTCTTTTTGTGACGGATGGAGTGTCTTTCTTGTTCCTCTTCTTCGTGATCAATGGTTAAGGGATGGTGAATATCAGGGAATTGAGAAGAATGGAAACGGATTGGTGTGTATGGTGGTTGCTGGTCTTCGACTGCGGCAGATTGCATTCGAGAGATAGCGAGAAAATGTGGTATGAAAGCGAGAGTGTGTGTGTGTTTGATGTTGACACCACACGATGAGAGAATAAACAAGAATAGAGTTGTGTGTGTGTATGTTTGAGAGAGAGACCGTATGTGTGCGTGAAAGAGAAAAGGAATATTAATTAAGTTTTGAATTAGTCTTTTTCGGAGTGGAGATGTAAAATATTTTTTATTTGTAGTTGTATTGGTAATGTTGCGTATGTTGTACCTTTTTGAGTTAAGTGACGATGCCAATTTTGAACGTTTGCATGAGTGACAAAAGATTAGAAGTGGTCAAGGTGTTTGAATATGAAATTTATGTATACCAGCAGACTCCCACTGAAGCTGAAAGTAGTTAGATGATGCAGAGAGTGTGGATGTAAATGTATCTTCTCAGATCCTAGTTTTCATTGAGAAATATTAAAGTATATAAGAGACAGAATTGATGAACTGTCTCGAAAATATATCTTGAGAATGTTGGTGTCGATCATTTAATCAAGACTCAATAAAGTAATCACATTGACATTCACAATTATTCAATTACATAAAGTGTATATGAAAGTACTTGTATTAGACTAAAATCACTGAGTTTGATTTCATTCACGGCAAAATCAAATCAAATAGTGTAATTCTATAATTATGATTACAAGTCACAGATATATGTTATTTGTGTCTATATCATTTTATAATTAATTTCAACGTGAGCCAAGGAACTATAGAAGTAAAAATAGAGGAATGAAAAAATATAAAACCTAAAAAAAAGATAACAGCTATAGTAATATAACAGTCCAAACGACATTATATCGTTAAAAAAACAGAATAGACGAATGCCAAGCCTTTTTCTTCACTTATGTATATAGTCGACATGAATGTGCTTAGATGATAAGAAAAAGAAAAGAAAGTAAAAATACAAAAAACATCGAGTTACAATAGAAAACGTAATACCAACAAACAGCATCGTTTTATTCGTATTTTTTTTCGACTCTGATATGACAGAATCAAACTTTGGAGCAAAAACGACCGCACATGAAGTCGTCAAACGTCTTAATGTAAATCTCGATGGAAAAGTAGTGTTTATCACAGGAGCAACGTCAGGTAAACTCAGTTCATGGAGATATTTTGTTTTATACACTTGTTTTTTTTTTCTCAAGGTATTGGTGTTGAAACAGCTCGAGCATTAGCAAGTACCAATGCTCATGTGTTTATCACTGCTAGAGACATGAATCGAGGAGCACAGGTTGCAGAGGACATTAAGAAAACAACAGGCAACAATCAAGTTGATGTTTTGGAACTTGATCTTACTTCATTAGAATCTGTTCGAAATTGTGTTCATCAATTTCGATTACATAAATTACCTATTAACATCCTCATATGTAAGTTCGTAGATTAAAGAAATACAACAATTGATTGAACTCCTATTTATTGTTCATAGGTAATGCTGGTATTATGGCATGTCCATATTCAAAGACAAAAGATGGATATGAATTGCAGTTGGGTGTTAATCATCTTGCTCACTTTCTTCTTGTAACTTCTCTTTTGCCTGAACTCAAAGCGGGCAAACCGGCACGTGTTATAATGGTTAGTTCAGTACTCAACAAATTTCAAGGTATCAATTTCGAAGATATCAATTGGGAGAAGAACTATGACAAATGGTTGGCTTACGGTCAGAGTAAAACTGCTAATATTTTATTCGCCCTACAGTTAAATAAATTATATAAGTCTGAAGGACTTCGTGCATTCGCTTTAAATCCTGGTGCTATTATGACTAATCTACAAAATGTTCTACCAATTGAAGAGCAACAAGCAATGGGATATTTTAAAGAAGATGGTACACTAGCTGATTATTTTAAAAGTGTTGAACAAGGAGCATCAACCAGTGTTTATGCTGCTTTAGCATCTGAACTTGATCATTCTGATGGCGAATATTTAGAAGATTGTGCTATTACTCGAATAGTGAATGACAACAAAACTGAATTTATAGGTAGAGCACCACATGCAGCAGATATGAAAGCAGCTGAACAACTTTGGACTTTGAGTGAAAAAATGGTAGCAGAATAATTTCTATCGGAACGAGTAATGTGTCTGATTTTTTTCCGTATAATACGAGTTTGTGTGTCATTACTATCTGATTAATATAATAATTAAACTAAATAAATACTTAACAAATCATAATAGTAGTATATAAAATCACTACTAGATAATATCATCAGCACTTTAACGATATTTGAAAAAAAAATGCATCGATCGGATAATAATAGGGAAACGAGACTGTTATTAATATGCGACGATTTGATTGATGATAGTTATGTATTCTTACAAATAAAATATTAAAAAAATACATAATGAGATTAATTTAACTGTAGGTACAAACATGACCATTTCAAAACCGATAAATTTAACTGAAAATTAAGCATCTACAAAAAAGATTCGATACAATTTTTTTCCTTTTAATGATACATCTAAGAAGTATAAAGTCATGAGAAATGATGTATTTATTTATCATAATTATTAACAATTAACAAATAATTTCATCCTAAAAATGTAATCCGTTTAGTTCTGTATTTTATGGTATATTTTGAAAATGTTAATAACAAATCTTATGGCCATGAATGCATTCGTATTCCAAGTTGTCGTAATCTTGTAAATAAAATATATGAATCTTTTAATGAACCTGGTGGATTTCCCCAATATTTCCCCATTTCTCTAACTGTAATATGATGTTCAAAGAATAGTTCATCTATCAACGAATGAATGGTTGAATCATTTAATACTTCATTTATTAAAGGTCCTTCAATTTGTGGAGTATCAATATCTAATTTGATAACAACATGATCGTATGGTTTAGCCATTGCTTTCAAATTTGTCCAAGGACTAAATTTTCCCGATTTTTCACATCCAGTATTAATTAGAGTATAAACGGGAAAGACATCATCTGGTAATTGTTTCCAAGCAGTTTTAGGATTTAATGCTTGATATTCATAGGCAATAATACGATCAAATTTAATACCAAAACGTTTATAATATTCATAAAACCATCGCCCAGCACCGGCAGTAGTATCACCGTTCCAATTTCCAAAATAAGAACTTCCTAAATCAATCAAAATATTTTGTCCTTTTCTGATGTCTGTTTCTACGTCTAACGAATTCAATTTTGATCTTTGATACATCCATGGAAGTAAATTTGTATTACGTCTATTTGATGTAATCATCATTGGTACATTATTATTAGGACTTGGTGTTGATGAATGAATATAAAACGGAGCTGCGACTGATAATAGAAAAAAACGTTTTGATTGTAAAATTGCTCCTTCATATGCAGAAGCAGGTAGTGTGTTCACACGATTGCATATTGTCAATGGATCTCGTAATAAACCAATAAGTGGTTCGATTAATTGCGATACGATGACGCCTCTAGATGATATATTTGTTATTGGATTTATACATTTTTGTTGATAAACCATTCTCGATAGAAATATATCGCTTGATTGTTTATTACTTTCGGTTTGATTTCTTCCAAATTTCTGTAATTCGATTAATCTTTCGACAGCTAAAGCTGATTTATTTAAATTATCTATATTTGTTAATGTTTCACAAACGATATTTTGTAATTGTTCAATATTATCAGTCCAACTAGATTCCCATGCACTTGGTGTATAATTTAAAAAATACCAATGACAATTTTGATCGATTTGTTTGGAATTTATTAAACAATTCCTTGCACTACCGGCTGTAAATATTTCTGTTACGATTATTCCTTGGTGACTAATATAAATAATAGTTAAAATTAATGATCCAATTATGAGAATGATCATTAGTGGACGTGAAAGTGAGAAATGTGATGTTCTTTGTGTAGATGTAGAATGATTCGTATTTGCAGAGTAAACCATTATCACTATATCAATATATATAGAACAATGTTACATTTATGAAAATAAGTAGTTTATATTCATAGGATGATGAGTTTAATTTCTTTACAGTTACATCACTAAATCGATCATTTCTGTACTAATGTCTAATAGTTGTTTTCTAGCATTTACTAACATACAAGTCATGCCTATTAATAACTACAGACCCGAATTATCTAACTTCTGATATTTATAGTAAACATTGAAATCAATGGATGAGGAAATTCTCATATTGTGTGAAGAAATAATACACCCACATAAGGTAATGTATATTAACAAAAAATAGAATGAAAAAAAAACATACATATCCTTTATAGTTCCACCACATGTATTAAAATTCAAGGAGAGATCATTTCTCCTAGCTGAATATACGTCAACAGAATGAATACATAAAAACGCATATATATATATATCAAGTTACTGTCTTCAAAATACACTTAATCGATAAATGATTTCTTCTTAATAGTTTTTTCATTTCTTCTTAAGATGAAAGAAGAAAAATGATCAGATTCTTTTCGCTTTTACTTATGAAAGTAGAAATGGATGAAGAATTTCTCGTTAACTTTGTCTGAAGAGAGGGAAGGTGGTGAAACATCAAGTGAATGTAGATGAGTTACAAATGAATATCATACGAAATTTACGTGCACCGTTTTTTTCGCATCCATGAAAGGTGCACCCAAGATAGTTGCTCCCCAATGACATTTGCTCTCCAATATCAACTATCGATCACCAACATGATCATTATCAATACGAAGAGAACAAAATTACTCTGCACTGTTTTCTTTTGTACTTTCTTTTAGTTACTTATTTAATATCGTATGTTGACGATTTAAGTAATTAATAGCTGTGGATAAAAGATAAACCAAGTCCAGCTTTTAATCAGTAAATCTCTTCGATCAATTTGAAACATTCATAATTTCTTCTTGTAACTCGTAGGAAGTCTATTTCATACTATTGAAGAGCAAATATCGTTGGGAGCAAGTATCCTTGGGGAATAAGTGTCGCGAGAGCAACTATCTCGAGTGCACCTTTCGTGGTACTGTTTTTTTCATAGTTCGTCATAGTGAAGCATGCTTTCATATTTGCTAAAGATATGGATCATTATTTATTTTCTTATTGACATTTGATCTACTTATAAATTCTCTAGTATAAAAATCGATAAAGTAATTATGATTATTTAAAACTAAGATATACGTTGGCCGATAAATCTATTTATTTTTTATCGTTGGACAAAATTCTTTCTTCCTCTTTCATACTATGTAATCATACTTTACATTAAATGAATTACTCAGTAGAGATATGACATGAGACTTTTATTTCAATAAAATTCTCGTATTATATTCCACATCCACACTCTCAAGATGGTACAATGAAAGCAACTTCATGTTCAGACTCCTGCAGTCGTAATTACTTCTTTGTCATCAAAATTAGTTTTTAAAATTTTTTCATCGCTATAAAATTATCTTTTTGAAAAAAGCAATTAAAAGTTCTGAGAGATGAACATATTCTGAATCGTCATATGCCAAAAATCTGCATTTTTTGTTACATTTGAAATTTTTTTGGTTTATTATTTGCATAGGATAATTTACAGAAGCGATTATAGATTTTGACAGAGCGTGAAATTCTATATCATTTTGAATATTTATTTGTTAGCATGCACTTATGTGCTAGAGAGTAATTCGAATACTACCTACGCATGCGACTTAATAAGTTCTAAAAAGAAGTAGTCTTTTTGTAAAAAAAGAAGAAAATATAATAGAACAGAAGAGACATATGTATATACATATATGAGAAAAAGTTCTAAACAACATATTGGAAAATAACAATGGAATATGTGATGTGATAACATGTTGAAAAATTTCAGTATGTCATGTAGAAAATTTTTCCAATACTCAACAATCTTCTAGATTTCTTCCTAAACAATAGGAAACTTCACGTGCTTTCAAAACATGGAAGTCATGTCTATAGTGACAATACATGAGAAATATAAGCTAAAACTATTTTTTTTTCCTACGGAGGTATATATACAGAACTATATGAATGTAACTAGTTTTTTTTTACATAGAAATTTCGAATACATTTGTAATTCATCGGTTTCATAAACTCAATCATGAATTTCGAGAACTGAATACAAGATGCAAGTGTATGATGAATTCTGAAGAATTCAGATACATTTCGTATCTCGTTTCTATTGTAAGGCTTTATATTTAGTTTCTCTTATATGACTTACCGTATATTGTACTTTTTTTTGAATTTAACTTTCTTCGCCAAACTTATAGGTGCGACACTTTTAATAAATATTACAAAAGTAGAGTTGATATAGTTATTCTATCATTACAGTTTTATATGACACCACGACATGCGCGCTCATACGCACAGGAAATGAGAAGGTTAATATTTATCATGATAATTTTTATAGTCAGATAGAGAACAGAAAAGGATTTATTCTCAATGTTATGGACTCACTTGTTAGATGCCATTACGCACACTTTGTTATCGATATTTGATTTTCTCTACGCGTAATCTTTCCTTCGTATTCTTTCTCTTTCTCTTTTTCTTTTTTTTATGCTTTGAGTTATTCAATCGAGTCGAAGAACGCATACAGAAGAGCTGATTAAAGGAATCTATAACGATGACTTTATTCCAAATGGATATGACTGCACAGTCACACGCAATAATATACAGCATTTATGAAAAGAAAAAGAAAAATATTCTTTTGTTTTTCTTCTGCAAACATTTAGTCTATTAGCAGGCTGCTTGAAAGAAAATAATAATATCTTAGTGGAAAAATATGTTTGAATTTATTTGTAGTTCACAATTGAACAGATCAATTGAGAAAAGATTTATTTCTTATCTAAAATTTTCGTAAAAACGTATTAAAGACTTCTCTTGTTCGATAGTTCAGTTCTTATCTCTATCATTTCTAGATTGATTTTATGACAAGACTATAAAATCAAAAAGTTTAGGAGATCTTTAGTTTTACTAAATCGATTATTGGTATTCTATTTTACGGTTCATTTTCTAATGGTATTTTGTGACCATTAATTTATTTCAATTATAATTCGTATAACTTATCGATTTCAATTAATGGGTTGTTGGTTCAACAGATGTAACTATTTTATTTTATATCTCTAATAACGCTATTTAATTAAGAGCTACTTTGAAATTAATATCGATAATTAAGTTTATGAAACGAAAGAAAAACGTGCCACTCATCAGATTAATTTATTATTGTTGATCATGAAGATTTATAATATATTGACAAATTCGACCTTCTTGAACTCTAAAAATGCATTATTATATATTAAATGATTTAAAGAGCAGGGAACTGTAAGTTGGAAAAAACGCATGTGAGATCAGAAATGTTTTATAGTTGTTAAAATAAATTTTTCATCTTTCATCGTGACTAGGCATTACAAAGAAAAAGAATAGGAACATAAATTTATCAATTCTTAGAAAAGAAGAGCTTTGCATAATAATTAATGAGCCGTGTAGCATTTAGATTTAAAAATATTTTATTCTATTTTTTTCTAGAAGAAGATACTATTATTACAGTCGATGTCTTTACATCAAATACTATATGGGCTGTTTTTAGTATTTATCATAATAGCTATAGTATTACGTTGATGATCATCTCTCTTTGAATTACATCTATCTGCAGTAGACCACGTCTACAGTGACGTTCGATGCCAGTGACGATAGAAGGGTAACAATACCAATGCTATTGATATTAGTATTGGGTATTAGTATTGATATTGGTATTAGTATTGTTAAATCCCTAAGTGACAGGATCCAGTGTATCTTATAGAGAATTTCTTTCTGATTAAAATATATTTATTTTATAACTCTCTATTGATGCATGACTTGAAATAAACTCAAAATACTGTTACATCAAAATTAATGGTGCTTTATTACCATTACTTTATTATTTCTTTTCACTGTATTGCCGATCTCAATGCATATGAATCATTATCTGCAACTAGGGTGTGAATATTACATTAACCTTATACTCTGACACCCACATCCTATGATGAACGAATTATTCAATATACAATTGTTGCCTATAAGACTGATTACATACAGTTTGTTTGAGCTTTCGGTGAGAAGTTCATTTGGCGAAATTCATCGTCGTCGAAAAGAAATTTCGGCGACAATAGAATTCACCTACGTACGTCTACTAAAAGAATGAATTTCGAAAGAACGTCAATTTTCTCTTGTTTTATGCATATTTTTCGTCTTACAGCATGTGCATTTTTAATATAAACAGCACCTTTAAAGTGTCGTTTCGAAAATTGCCAACTATAACAGTATAAAAGCACATTTTTAAAGTAAACAGCAGCCTTAAAGTGTCATTTAGGAAATTGCCAACTATAACAGTATAAAATCACATTTTTTTTCAATCATTTCTTGTCTACTAAAACGAAGCTCGTACTCACACAAAATATTCATAGATGGACAGTTCAATTGGCGAAAAATCGTCGAAAAAAGGCAGCGTAGCCCGTATTTTCAAATGGAAACGAATTTGCAAGCATTCTTCACGTCGAACGCGTGAGCAACCTGCTGCTCAGAATATTGAGACGAAAAACGCTCAAAAAGAAAAGGTCAATCAAAAGAATACAATTGATGAGATACCCAGTCGCCGAGTGCACAAACTGATTGTAGAAGAATCGGGAGAACAGAGAATTATTTCACAAACTACGATTCAACAAGAATATACCAATACTCTGAATATGTCGTCTACCACCACTCAATATAAAACTCCACAATCAACGATGAAATCACAATCAGTTACCAATAACAATCGCAATACCACAAGTCAACATCTACTTCATGAAGTTCTCAAATTCGAATTCAATAAACTATACATTCTTATATTTATCGCATTCTACTGCTATTGTTTATTCAGCAACATGATTAATTTAAACCGTTATACTTTATTATTTCTTGGATTGACTAGTACACTCTGTTTTAAAAAGAGCTCTGTTCAAATTGCGGGTGCATACATACTACTTTTTGGTTGTTACTCTGTTATTAGAACACTTTATTGTCTGATTATCTTTGATATTAGTCTCTACAATATGTTCTCATTAGCTCTTTTTATTGGTGCTGCAGTGTTTGGTTACCGTTTCAAAGAAGATAAGGACACTTACAAAATTCTTTTACTCACGATATGTATTGGTGATATGGTTATTAATATAATTACTATTTATCTCTATTATGCTAAATTTATTGGGCTGCCTCTCATTTTTGGACTGATTCTTATAATAATATTCATATTAGCGTACTACACTCAAAAATGGGTATCTGAACGGCGCTCAAAAACTGTGGAGCAAGCAGTGTCATGTCTATGCGAGATAATCTGGCTGGTTCTAGCGGCATTTCTTATCAACATTATATTATCTATAAGTAAACGTTGTAAACTATGAACTGAGGGACGACGCCTGCTACTAAGTTTTATTTTTTTTTAACTGTCTAGATGTGAGTGGATGTGAGAAAGAGAATACTAACACCCTCACACTCTCATTTGATGAGATTGTTAAGATTATCTTTCTTTTGAAAGTTTATTTTTATCCATTTTAAGAATCAAATGTTTATTAACTAACACATAAGTGAAATGTTTTCTATGTAACAACAAAATTTTCTAATTGAAATAAACAATTAAATACCTTAAAATATAAATTTTAATTTCTATTCATCAATCATTTACTGAGGGAGAGGATGTAGATGAAGATAACACCATACCCTTCAAATGTCAACCTAAATTTCATAAAATCGATTATCCATAAAAATTGATTAAATCTCAAATTAGAACAAGAGATCGCCAATCACCAAAATACAATCATTTGCTTATAAGTTAGTATCGATGATAATCCATTGTACATTGGAAAATATTAATTGTCTTGTATATAAAAAGAATCTAATGTGATAGCAATTCATTTTTCAATTGTGAATGATTTCATGATTGTATTAGTAGGTGGACAAAATTTTATTGTAACAGGTAATTTTAATATCGAAAACTCGAGACGTATGTTGTGAAGCTTTAACTAAAAAAAGATTATGTTGATTACATTTTTCTTAAATCTAATACTTACGAAATATCTTATCGAGAAAAAAATGAAAGTGAACCTATTTATACAATTTATGGTTATATACACAAAGATAGTCCGAACTTTTGTTAAACATTTGATTATATATGTTCTAGTGGTCACCTTATGGCATTGTTATGACCATTAAATGAATATAGGAACATTTCGACTATCATAACTTTAAAACAAATATTTGACTTTTTTTCCAAGAATAAATTGATACCTAGTCCTGAACATTTCAATATGGGATTGTGTTTATTTGAAATTTACTTTAGTTTTTGATATATTATAGAATATTCTCTATAATTTACATTATGATAAAAGCAATCATTTCAGCAAAGCATTTAATCTTGTGTTACTGAGTATATCTTAGAGGAAACAAGGCTCATATATAAACTATATTATTATGTTGAAAAACGGCAAATTTATGCTACATTACACTCATCGCCTCGTTATTACGAGTTTAAATTAATGCGACTTCGCAATTTAAAACGCTTATGGCACTCCAAAAGATTGAAAAGAATAGAACTCTATTTACGGCAATTATTTCATTAACAAGCGGCGTTAATTATAATTCTTTTTTTTTCTTTTTCTTCTTCATTATAAAAGCTTATCTTTCATTTATTGAGTCGACTCAGCGACGGTAAAAGTTAGTAGTATTATTTCCTCATCTAATCGTGAAGATATGGATTCATACAATAATTCGGCAGAAATTATTAATGTTTCGTATAAGGATATCTCATTCGAAACAAACATCGCAAACCTTATTAAATTTGTTATTTTACTTATTTTTCAATTATTGTCGATCTGCTGTTCACTCTTTCTCTTTTTTCATTTAATAACAAAACCGAAACTTCATCGATCATTACGCAATCATACAATTATTACTCTTGTTATTATAAGCTTCTTTCAGACTATATCAGATCTACCATTAACACTAGAATATTTACGAATAGGTCAAGCATCATCCTCAGTTTTTTGTTTATTATGGAATTTTTTTGCATTATCTAATTATGCTGTTGGTGTATGGGTGATGACTTGGGCTTCTCTCGAACGTCATTTTTTAATTTTTCATGCTGGTCTTATGAATACAACTCGCCGTAAAATCTTTTTTCATTATATTCCATTATTTATTTCATTATTTATCCCTTGGATGTATTATATTGTCATGATTTTCTTTTACCCATGCACAAATACCTTTTACCTATCTGCACTTTTTTGTGGATGGTGTTGTTATGCGTATAATGATGCATTAGTAATGTTTAACTGGTTGATGTATGGTGTTCTTCCAGTATGTTTGATCACAATTCTTAATCTATGGTTAATTATTCGTGTTGTGTTACAGAAACGTCATGTCCAACAGCAGATCAATTGGCGTCAACATCGTCGTATGACCGTTCAGCTATTGAGTGTTTCTTGTCTTTATATATTCTTCGATGAACCAGCAGTGATCATTGGAATTATTCGTTTAGGTGTGCCAACATTTGCTGTTGATATTCAAATATTATACCTATATTATATAGTTTACTTCCTACCATTACTTGTACCATTTGTTTGTTTGGCTAATTTTCGTGAATTATGGAATAAAAATCGTGTGCAAGTCAATCCATTGATGCCATTAACACGTACTCATACTGTTAGACGAACTGGAATAGTAAAGCCAACAACTTGTGTTGCACAAACAAGCAAAGTGTAATATTATTTAATACATAAAACTTGACTTCATATTAACCGAAAAGCGGAAAAGGATGTATAGTTTTTTTTTCTTTAAATAATAAATGCTTATGATGGAAACTAAACATAGTTGATATTATAATAAAATTGAAATGTTACTGTAAGAAATAACAACATATATTTGATCTCTTTTGAACACAACGATCGATTGAAAATGCATTTGTTTTACTTTCATCGATATTCGAAGCTTTTAAAAAATCTTTTAGTTGAACAGATATTCTATCGAATTGTAAATTTTGCATGAGTAACAAAGTCTTTTCATTTTATCATGTATAAATAAAAAATGCAATTGACGTTGAGAGAAAACCAATGGTGACATCTATCAAGAAATACTTTTAAAAGTATGTATTGATGAGTTTATCACTAATTTTTTAATGATAACAAAAATTGTTGACAAATAACTCTATTTTTGTTCTTTAATTAAAAAGAAAAATACCGTCTATCATATTATATCGGACAGCTTTTGACTTACAAACTCTATATATATTTAACTAAATATATATTTTAATTAGAATCTATTATCCTTACCAGTTAATATTTAAATATATATATATGTATATGTAAACGCAAATAATTGTGTACTATTTAATTGAATTTAGATAATTACAAAAATATTTTCCAATTGTTCTTCTACGAGCGTTGCAACAGAAAATATTTTTTTCCATTACTATTTTTTTTATTGAGAACACATCTTATATTGTTCGAACTATATTTAACGATTATCTCTATTTAAGTTTGTTGTCATGATATCAATGTATATGAAATACAATATCGATCCTAACTGAGAGTACAATTATTCAAACAGTTTCATATTACAATAAAAGACAAACAATTACAATATTCGGATGTGAATATTTATTATTCATCCATATTCACATTCAATTTTATCATCATCTTTGTGATTTGCTGACAACATTGTTTATAATATATGAAAGTAAGGACGAAGAGAAAATCATAACATCGTCACCCTGAAAGGGTGAAAAAATACTCTATTATACTTCGGTTTCGTTGATTATATATATATATTTTATTGAGAAAAAAGTAAAAATCGGAAACTATTAAATGAAGAAACTAGAAGTCAATAATAACGTCACTATTTTTAGGTGAAGATAATTGTAAATAAAGCGACGATAACTGTAAACAGGAATAGTACAGATAACTGATGTCTAGCACCAGCACCCTTTGTTGATGACGATGTGGAACCTGTTGATGCTGAAGTAACCATAGCTGTTGCAACTGATGAAGCAGTATTAGCTGTTGCAGCTGATGAAGTAACAACAGTTGTTGAAGCTGATGCAGCAGCAGTAACTGTTTGTATGACGTTAATCATAGCACCCATTCCGGGATGATTATTACATCCATAATAATAAGTACCACTAGTACTAAATACAACAGAAGTCGTAGTACCTGCGTTAGTAATTGGAGTGTTGAGTAAATTAGTAGAAGCGGCTCCTTGGCAGAAACTGGGTACGACACTATTTTGGCATATTGTCAGTGGATGGCTAGGTACACTCGTAGCCAAATTAAATTGTAACGTATCACCAACATTTAAAGTGATATTTGGACTAAGGGTACCGTTTAAAGCAAATGTTGCACTGTATACGGATGGATTTCCCTGAGGACAAGTTGAACCCTCAACACAGGAAACAAAAGTCACATTATATGTGACAAGATTTGCCGATACACTAGAAAATGCCACGACAATCAATACAACATATAATAACCATAATAGATGCGCCATGTGTACGAAATAGATGTGTAGTGAATACAACGATTGAGAAAAATATTTAAAATGATGTTACCTGTGGAGCGTAAGGATGTAAATACTCATGGAGAAAAAAAAGGTGGATAGAATAATTATCAAGCAAGCATATTATAGTAATTTATGATGTCATTTTTGGCTTGTCAATCAATCGTAGCTACCTGAATCGATGAAGAAAAAATACAATGAAAAGGTAAATAAAATGAATATAAACAGCTCCCGATTGTACAACGTATCGATTTTTCGATCTTGTGTATTACGCATACGAAAATATTTTAGTTATAAGTGCGTTTGTATTTGTTTTTGGGGAAAAAAATAATTTTGTTTGTGCAAATTTATGCTTTGTCATCGTCTCTTATACGAGGCATTCGAATAAGACACTTTTTTTATTTTTATGAATACGCCCAAATTATGCGATGAATACGACTAAACAAAATGTTTTTAATTATGAATCAACATACTTGAACTAATGAATCACATTATATTATCAATCTATTTAAGCGATTTCTGTTTTGATCAGATAGTTAAATTGAATTTAGCTGATATGAAAGAAAATATATAGAGGGCATGGTGGTTCATTATTCATCTGCACCCACACTTAAACCGTTAAAACCACAAGACTTAAAGTATTAATGTAAAAATGATAACGATAACCTTTAGTTGTTAACAGAATATTACCAGAAAAAATTGATACAATTTTGCAAAATAGAATATTTGCTTTGATTGAATTTCTTATTCAATCTCTATTTTTATTGAGTTCACCTATGATAATTCAAGCTTTAATTGCTTCTTTTAACAAGATATAACAAAATACATGTTTGATAATTCTTACTCGATTGTATTAGAAATATTAGGAAAAAAAATAATTAATTTTGATTTTCAATTGTTTTTACTAAAGTTTTCAATTCTCAGTATGTATCTTGAGGGTGTAGATATCAGAGAAAATGTTAATGTAATACCCACACCCTGTTGAATAAAAATATCAGTTACTTCAATCCTTTTTTTTTATTTAAACGATCCAATGTTCGCATAGCCTGTTAAAGATTTTAACGCTCATATATGTGAGCATAAAATAGTTTCACCATTGTGATTTAGGTACTATTTTAAGGTACTGTTCTTCTTGTTATACGAAAAGAAAAAAAAAGAATTGCAACTTATAGAATGTGTGACATTATATGCCGGTAGCTCTTATCAATAAAATTGAATATCATCTAATATTTATATACTTCCTTTTTTTATTCTTTCAGTTGACTGTTAATAGTATATCAGTAACGTGAGAGAAATATTTTTCTGTTACGTTCTCCCCTACGTGTCGTAAGTAATTTGTATAATGACATATACCAGTATCATGCATGTTATTTAATAAAGAGTGGTTTGTGTAATGTATAGCGAAACCATACCATGTTTAATAAATATTTGTCAAAATAATGACAAATATTTTCTTTTAGCAAACAAAACTACAATAATAACATATTATTTATGCAATAAATGTTATAGCAATAATTAATGTGAAATTGAATGATATTCGAAATATCTTTGAATCTATAGTATATGAAAATAAAATAAAAAAGAACTATGATCTATATAATCAGACAGTTGTACTTGATACAATATCATTCGAAAGTAATCTATCGGCATTATAAACATTTTTTATTTTCAAAAAAAAATTCGTATAACTAATTTAGATATATATTTAATCTTACATTCATTAACTGGTTTAATTGTCATCTTGAGGGTGTGGATGTTATACTAACCTTACTCTGACACTCACACCCTGCTCGATTCTTTGAAGTTTGTTAATTTGATAATAAACATTTTTGATCATGACAATTGACTTTTTCCTACTTCAGTTATAGATAATTTATTAGATTAGATAATATGAATAAACAAATCTTGATTAAATAGAATAATTAGTAGTATTACATAGAGAAAAAACAATTTTAGAATATAACCAAAAATATTTTTTTCTCAAAAAAAAAGAGATTTAACCCGATATTAATAACTCTAATTCTTGTTCATTAAATATTGATATTAGACTTTTTGGTATAATATCATAGAAACCATCTAAAAATGAACTAATTTGTTGTCTTATTGAACCAATCATTTTTTCTTGACAAACAAGACGAACAAATTCATATTTATTTTCATTTGTTACTACAATACGTGAACCATTTGGCAATAAATCAATAACTTTATTTTCACCAAATTCACTTGCATCTAATGAAAATGTTAAATCTAAACCTAATTGTTCAACATCATTTTGTAATAACATAACTAATTTTTTATAGCATTGTAAATCAACTGATTCCATATCAGTATAACATACAGGGATACCAAGTATATTCTTATAAAATGAACGTGTAAAATGACAATCTATATATTTATTATCAAATATAGCTTTAGCTATGATACGTCCAATAAATTTAAAATATTTTAAATGACATGTATTTATATGTGATGATGAACTAGGCATATATGTTATACGATCACCTGGAATTATCATAAATAAAGCATAATTTGAATCAAACATTGAACGTGTTATTAGTGAATACCATTCACGTAAAAGTCCATCAGAATCTTCTCCTTCTTCATCATCAAATACAATATTAAATTGATGTTTCCAATCTTCTGGCGTACGTCGACTTAACTCTCTATATGAATCTTCAAATACATGATTACATCGAATATGTACAGCTAAATCTCCTCCATGTATACTTTTTTTTAAACGATCAAGTTCATGACGAAAATATTTCCGTTTAACATCAAAATGAAGTATAGATGTATAATCAGTTAATATATGAAATGGTCCTTCACTTAAATGTTGAGTACTTTGACGTAAAATTTGATTTAATCGCATACGATGTGTACGAACAAATTTAACAAATTGTTGTGCATCTAATGGTAATTCATTGGTTGATGTTGTTGTTGTTGGTGCTGAACCAAACCATTCTATATGTAATAATGCTTCACGTGTTTCACGATCTTTTTTCTTTTTCTTTTGTTTTTCATTTTCATTATCTAAATCAGCAGTATGAACAAGAAAAAAAGCTTCAACAGTTGATTGAAGTACTAAAACAGCATGTGGATCAGGTAATTTAGCTATTGATAATAAACAATCATTTAATGAATCCCACAATTGATTTATATTTAATAAATCACTTAATTTTGTTTGTTGATTTGGTAGAAATTGTCCAAGATCCATTGGTTCATATATTTGTGGATTTAATGGTGGATTTATTTGTAAAAAATCATTAATACCTGTTATCATTATTTTTGATAATGGTGGTTGAGGAAAATCTTTAATTAATGATTCAAACTGTCGTATTAAATTATATATATCTTGCTGATAAAAGATTTGTTGACGTTGTTCAATTGTATTGGAATTTAAAATTGTGTGTAAACGTGTACGTATTTGTTCTAAACAATTAGCTAATTCATCAGGTGGTTGAAGTATATCGTTTTGTTGATTTATTGAATTATTATCTGATGGAGGAAAATATGAACGTAATGATTGACGTAATGTATCAAGAAGATGTGTTAATTTATGAACATCAGTTTCAAAACATCTTCGAGCATCAAGTTGTTCTCTTTTTGTTGCTTCACGTAATTGTATAATAACTTTAAGAATACGTAATAAAAACTTTTGATTAGCATTTTTTGATGTTAATACAATCATAGTTGGTAATTGAAAATCTTGTTGTATAGGATTTGAATCAATATTCATGAATGTGATAGAATTACTACGAATATTTTTGTATGAGTCATATAATTGATCATTAGTTGTCATTGGAATATTGGATTTCTTTTGAGATAAATAATTTTCAACTTCCCGAAGTAATTGTCTAAATAATAAATATAAATCAAATTAAAAATAGTTGATTTCTCGGACATAAGACGACTGAACTCATTCGTTCAAAAGTTTCCTATATTTTCTGTGGATATATATCATTTGTTTTGGATAATGACGAAAAGAAACGGTAGTCACCAGCCAAAATTAAGCACTTTTTGAGGAAAATTGATAAAAAAGATGACTTCTTGTCTAATATCGTAAAAGCAATAGATCACTTTGTATTGTTGTCAAAGCTATAAAAAAGTGTCTTTTCAGAAGCTCAAAAAAGGGTGTGTTACCGTAATGTTTTAGTAGTAGCTCCTTGTACGAACAAGCTTTCAATAACTAAACTTCACCCTCGTCAAATCTGTTGCCTTGGCTTCAAGCACAGACAGAAACGTTTCGTTCGTAGCGAAAAAACCTTAAGCAATATAAACTTCTTTCGATAACTCTAACAAAAGGAGAGCCCTTTTGAATGAGTGCGTTACTACAACTTCTGTTTTTCGTAACTCGGCACGGTTCGACGAAAGGCAGCGAAATTTTTCGTGGAATTACAACTTACTTAATGTCTTCACTAACATCTTTGGCTAATAAACCAATATGATTAACTAATAAATGTAAAATTTTATTTCTTGTCACTTGATTAATTTCTGATATATTTAATAAAAATATAATTGCAAATTCTAGACCATCTTGAGTATATGATTTCGATATTAATATCTTACTAACTAAATTTATGTATGAATCTAAACTAACTAATTTCTTATTTGTAGGTATTGATTGTGAAATTAATGAAAGTAATTTAAATAGTTTATCAATTAATTGAATATTTTTATTCAACATTGGATGTTCAAACATAAGTAATAAGATTGATAATGAAGATGATTTAAAATCAATTTTATCAATTTTTTTTATATTTAATAATAAATTATCGTATCGTTGATTTAAACAAAAATCTATTAAAATATCTAATATTGTATCAAGATTTGGTATAATTATTTCAATTAATTGATCATCGTTAAGTAAAAGAGTCTAAAATAAAACGAAATAAAAACTACGGTGATTGATTTTCTAATAACTATACTTACAAATGTTGATTTACAAAGTGCAGCAACACATTGACAAGCTTTACTTGATGGAAAATCAATAGGTAAATTTTTCATTTGTAAAATATCAAGTAAAGATTTTAAACCTCCTAATTTAACAAATTCTTTTGCATGATCATCTGTTGGATTATTACTAATAACACATTCAACAAAACGCATTATATTTTTTAAATAATCAAGTAATGGTACAGCAACTGAAACTGTTTCGTCTTCAGATTTATTTTCATTTGATAATGTTTTATCATCTTCATCATCATCTTCATCAACCGATGAATCTCTATTATTTTCTTCTACATTTATATTTGTTATAGTTAACGGCAATGACTCTGATTTTTGACAAGAATATTGTGGATTATTACCCAATTCAACAAGTTGTCCAAGTAATGTTATCATTGATTTTATTACTTCTGTACGTAAACTAACATGTTGTATTATAAATTTATTAATAGCAGTTCCAAGACTTGATGCTGTACCATAAATTGTTCCGCGTCTTCGTATCATAGTTGGTAAATATTTTGATATTAAAAAAATACGAAAGAATTTATCAAATGGTTTATATTCTATAAAATTTTCTAAACCACGTGTATTTAAACATAATGAACTAAATATATTTGGTAATGATGCTAAAACATCACGTGCAGCTGGTAGATCTTTTTTCAGAAGTGCATGCATTAATACATCAGTTAAACCATTATCTTGTAAAGATGATAATTGTGATGGTTCTTGAAATATAAATGATGTAATAACATCAGTTGCTAAATGAAATAATGATGGACCATAATATTCTACATTACTTATTATATGTTTTAATGAATGTGGTAATGAACCATCCATAATATGTCGCTTTGTATCAACCATTGTTGGTTGAGTAAAAGCTTTTTTTAAATAATTTAATATTGCTTTAAGTAATGCAGCACGTTGATGATAACATGTTAAACCTGGAATACGATTTTGTGGTATTGAATCATAATTTTCTTCTATAAATTCACTTGTATCCATATCTTTCGATAAATGTACTGTTGAATTTTGTGTTGTTACAGATGGATGTTCACCTGAGATATCTGATTGAGCACTTGGAGATAATGAAGGATGTGTATCAAGATTTGTTGTTGGTGTACCTTGATTACATTTTGGTATACGAATTATAAATGGTTGTTCTTTTCGACATTGTGTTATTTCATGCTACAAAAAAAATATATTTTAGTTGTTTGACAAGGTGGTAATGCTATTCATATATTTATGATATAAATTGCGACCGTTCTTTTCAAGTGAATATTATTGCTCACACATTGACACTTCTAATCACTGTATTATCATAGAAATGCTTCGATCGGAGCTTGTACATGTGACCTGACATTTTTCTATGACTAGAACAATTCAAATAAATAAACATACCTCTAAACGATTTATAAATGCTTGTAAACCATTATTTGTTTGAAACGATGTCATATCTAATGTTGTTATTAAATCAATAACACGTACAGCTCTTGTAACAAACTTAAAAATTTTGAAGAAAAAAATATTATTTACAAAAAGATCAATTTAATAAAAAAATTTTACCATGATAAAATCTTGAGATTCATCATAATAATTAACAACTTTAATTAATGATTGCATTATACTACACTTAACTAATGCATTACTACCTTTTTCATGTGATGCCAAATGATAAAGAAATGAAAATAATGCTGTTGAAAATGATTGAGAAAATCTTTCATTACTATCATCTGAAAAAAATGGGAAAATTTCATTCTTATTTCTTATACATATATTTATTTACCAGTTAATTTATCAATACATTGTCGTACAAGTGCTGTCAAAAATCCATGATAAGAATTTACTTGTGTTGCTTTAATTATTTCTTGTAAGCGTGGTGGATGTCTATAACGAAATGAAAATTTTAATTAATTAATTTTTTTTATTATAAATTCATATACTTTGTTGTTTGTTCAAAATGAATTATTGATGTTAAAGTTGTCAAAACGGATGCTTTTACATCCTAAAACAAATACTTCATATGTTTTTTACAAAGAATTTCCTATACAACAGTTAATGTCTCATTTTTATTATTGGAGTCTAAGACAGTGTAGTTCATTTCATGGGATTTTATTAATCTTTTTAATATTATCATGTTCATTCTACAATTTAAATAGCATGAATAGCAGTAAATTATTTAAACTAAGATTGAAATTTTTTCTAACACAAAGTTCATCAAGTACTTTCTGAAATGTAACTAATTAGATTTCTAAGCGTACTGTTAATGTTAAATCTTGAACATAGAATACATCAACAAGTTCTTCAATTAAACCATCATATAAAATATTATTTGTGTCTTGTATTGCTCCAGAATAAACTAAAAACAAACGATAAATAAACTAATTTGTTATATTTATACAAAAAGTCGGTGACTTTTTGTTTTAATACATGCGGATCGGGGATGTGTGGGTGTTGTGTTCGTATCATACCCCCAAGATATGAATCGACCTAAATCTAATCGAACTTACGTAAATTAACGAAGAAATCGAAGCTCTACTCAGCTACATGGTAAAAACAGAAACATTAAATGTTTACAGAATCAAAACTTTTCGAAAAACAGGCGAAAATCACATATGAAGAAACTTATCAAGTTTATAGTAGTAATATGATATTAATCCATCTAAAAATATACAGTTCAATATAGAAATAAAAAGTTTCTGTCCAAAAAACTGTTTTGTATGCTTCTATGAATTTATCATATTTTTAGACCAGGTCCAAATGAATAAAATGAAAACTATATAGTCTCATAGAGTAATCGATGCTTCATCCAACTGTATCGAAACAAGAAACTTTCGAAGTTCGATATAAAATATAATAGCAAAGTCTTCGAAACTGTCACAAATAACGTGATCATGCTTTATATATATAAATAGTACCTAGAATAGATAAAGCTTGTAAACGTGCTTGTATACATAGTAATCGTTGATCAAATGATGGAAATGCATAAGCTAAACGAAGATGAGTGAATAATTTCATTTGTTTATCTTCAGGTAATGTATGTTGAGCAAGGACTATTTCCATAACAGCAGCAGCATTTGGTCCAGCTAAATGAACGTTTGGAATTTCTATTTGTTTAGGAGTTTGCTTAAAATAAATAAAAATCATTTTCATTTTTTTCTAATTAGAAGAAGGAAACAAAAAATACAATTGTTGGATCATTTATTGCTGATGATGATTCAGAAGGAACTGTATATGCAAAATGTAGATTTGTTGCATGTTCAGGAAAATCCTATGAAATGAAAAATAAAAATCAATGAAAAACTATGTGAAATAAATCTTTTTTTACTGAAGGGTTTCGAACAGTACAACAACGAGCTAAATTGAAACCATACTCACGTCCACCCCAAGTCTAAAAAAATAAAATAAAATTTTCTCAATAAGACAAAAATAATGATTTTACTTCTGCTAAGAATGTAATTCGTTCAATTAATGCTTGTTTTTTATCAAGTTGAAGTCTTGTGATAAAGTTTGAACGTTTACTGAATACATATAGAAGTGAAAGAACACCAAGTACAATATTTACGTCAGATGATTGTAATAATATAGTTAAATATTCAATGGAATTATACAAATCACGAGAATATGTATGTTCAATTAATAATGCAGTAAAACGAAGAATATCAAGTACCAAGATTTTTAACTAAAATTTAAAGACAAAAATGGAATTATTGAAATGATATTGTTTGTATTGTATACATAAATTAGGAAAGAAATGACTTTATAGATACAGGAATCATATTGAGTGTGGATGGCTTCGAAGAAAGAAGACACTTACACTCATCTTCACGCACACTCTTCTTATCAAACAAAACAAACCTCTTCATTTTCTGATTTGTCACAATTGAGCATCCATGTCCCAGATTTTATACAAGCTTCTTCTAAGATTGAATCGAACATATTTAATACATCACTCCAATGATACAGTGTACACTAAAAAGAAAAGAAGAAGAAAAGCTATTTCTATTATTTTAAATATATTCATCTTTGATAAACTATTAGTATAGGAAGTGGAAGAAATAAAATTATTAATATCTAACTTACCTTTCCAAGATGCCAAATAGTTATTGATTTTAATAACTCATGAAGTTCTGTTCGATTACAACTTTTTAAGTTATTAATAAATAATTTACAATCAACCGGCTATAAAAGACAAGAATCAGCAAAAGTTTATAAAGAGGAGGTAAGAAATGGAATTCTTACTAGTGCTGATAGATCTTTTTTTGATTTCGATCGATCAATTTTCATATTTCGTAATAGAAGCAGTTAGTGGAAAAACCTCTACAAATAAAATAAAATAATATAAAAATGTTCTCTCTACTTTCATGAGAGTAAACTGAAGTTATATCGACTGCCTAAGTTACAAATTCGATACTTTGCTGGTTAACGACCGTTATGGTTCATTTGTCTGACCGCTTGACCGAGCAGTGGCCTTTTGTTTGTTGTTTCGTGGGTGACCTCTTCTTCACCCATATAAGCATGTGCTCGAGATAGAAAGAGTACGGGTTGATTGAATGTGGATGGATAAGTGTGTGTTGTATCTAACACTCACTGCTTATGAATTATTGTTGTCATTTATCAACATGAGAAACGAAAGTAGTTATTTCGGTATATTTTTTTACAAAAAATTTGTATCTTCTGGGTAAAGAAAAACCTAGAGAAGACAAAACAGCAATATCATATTTCATGCGTATGCAATCCACTACATATCAAAATACAAATATAGATAATGGAGTGTGCAATTATAATATTTTTTTTCTTTTTTCCTTATATATATGCAAAGTCGGCTATGTCTTTTTTTCCAGTCAATTTTTCCTACAATCAGAGACACTAAAAGATGAATTTGCTTTATTTCTTTCACCTTTGGAAGCTATCTTGTATTAAGATGAAAGCTTTGTTTGATATATTCTATCGGCTACATTTTCTATGTATGAAATCTGATTCTTTTTTTTTGGACTAAACATGGATGCGGCTGAACACTCAATATGATTATCATAGACATTCATTCACATCTTAAAAATTCCTGTATTTCTCTATTTTTTTGTTTTTCTAAATAAAATAAAGTAAATGTAAAGTTAATTTGCTGTGCAACATTTAGCTGTTTCTTAACGTTTATTGTTTTTCGTCTTAAACAAGTAGAACAAATTGATAGCAATGCTAGAAAACATTCGAAATTATCGTAATATTTTGAAGAGATGAGTAGACAAGATTCAAAAACATCACAGTCATAAGAGTTTATTAGAAATCATTGTAAATCGTTTAAAAATTATCAATGGGATGATTAATAGTCGTTTCGATTTTAGTTGATTTCTAACGCTTTTGAATATTTCCGATCGTTATCCTTAGTATTTACCGTGTTCCAGACATTGTTCTTTATTTATGAGGATCTCTAAACCTTTCTCTTGAATTTATATCAACAGATAAAATCCATCTTCAGGGTGGGTGTGGGTGTGGTTCTAATACGCACACCCACACCCTCAAGATTTTCCTGACTTTTCGGGGACGGTTTTCTATGTAAATGCCCCACCCAAGTTATGTTGATATTTCGACTCCTAAATATTTGAAACGCTTTACAAAATCTATTTTATTTCCTTTATATTCTATTTTAGGATACAAAGGAGCAACTACACTATGCACCAGCATTGCTTTTGTTTTGCCGATGTTCACTGGAAGTAAGTTGTCCTCAGCATATTGTTCTAAGATTTTCATTGCAACTTTTGCTTGATTTTTAAGTGCGCCAGTAATTACAATTGCAAGATCATCTGCAAAAAGATGACAGACTAGATTCAGAAAGAACGAAGGAAGGAAATGAACATGGAGTCGAAACAATGTAGCCGCGAGGACTGAGCCCTGTGGAGCTCCAACGAAAATATCAATTTTTCTTGAAACTGCTGCCCCAACATGTATAGATTGTTGACTTTATTCAATGATAGGTATCATGATGTATTATTAATACGTCGTTGCCGTTCTTATATCAGATCGAGCACTGCATCCACTATACAAAATTCATTATTGATTAAAAAATGAATTTCTATATATTTACTCATTTTGGGCAGAAGAAAGCTTAATACGTCGCTCCCATAGTCAAGACGACCATCTTCATCTCTTGTTAGACCATTAGTCCTTTGTTTTTCATCTAGGTAATGAAGATACTAAACAAAAATATTCTTTTATTTTATAATATAGACGTATGTAAAATACCGTTTGTATAATATCAAATAAGGGGTATGTACTTATATTAAGGATAATTGTTGATTCGACTGACCAATTATTTGTCATGTTAAACCAAGTTAACACACAATCGATAAATATTTAAAATAGAATAGTGAATATAAAGAATAAATACAGCAAATTGAAATGATATTTGTATTACGAAAAGAATGCACGAAAGATAACCACATAGAGAGAGAAAAGAATGAGAAAAGTTTTTCTTAGACAGAAGAATGGGCGTGTCACGTGATCGGATAGTACGTATAGAGATATATGACTAGTAAAATTGACTGACGATATGATCGAATAAAATGTTTTTTTTAAACATATTTATGCATAGTCTATACAAAGAATAGTACTATCGTTAAGATGATAACAAACAATCAATGTTAACACGTTAATTACAAACAGAAACCCATCAATATTTGTGATAAATATCATACATCTTTTTCTTAAGAAATATTTAATTAGTTTTTACAGAGAAATAAAGAATTCATCAAGAATATGCTGTTTTATTATTTGTTTTTGAATTTAATAACTGATGAAATATTTTATATATATATGTAACTTATATGTAAGATATTCATTATAATTCATGGATAGATGAATATAAAACGAATGAATGAAAACAAAATTCTTTACATCTGAAATTTAATTTCTTCATGCTTCTCTGTTCCAAATTTTCAAAGTTATAAATAGCCAACTATACCTTTATCAGACAGAGTTATTGTTCAAAAAAAAACAATAGAAAATCCTTGTATAAATGATCTTAAGATCTCCAAACTTGATTACCATTTGAATAACTTAATAGAAAAATATTAGCATGACTGTTACAAGACATTATAATTGATCAATAAAATATCGATATACTGATTTATCTCCTTCTTAATCTCAAATATAAGTATTATAGCAATGGAGTTTATATTTACGATACGAACTATAGATTTTCATTATTTTATTATTTCTGCATTAAACAAATAGTCAAGAAATGTCGTTCATGATAAAGGGAAATAACGAAAAAAAATTTCTGGATATATTATTGGTCTTATATCAAAAATAAGATGTTTTAAGTTTGCGCAGTTAGTATAAGCAGCAGTATTTGCAAAATTCTCTGCTATCATAACTAAATATTCGTAATTGATAGATAATGTACGAAGAGAAGGTAAACATGTGTTACAATCGAAAAGAAATTGTTTTATATAGTCGACGTGTGATCCACAAAGAACAAGTCTGTTTAGATGAGGAAACTTGATTACCATCAACTTCTTTTCATCTCCATACCCTTCCGTTATCTTCTTTTGTGAATTTGGATTAAATACCAGTAATTCTTTTAATAATGGAAAACATTGCGAGATTCGAAGAAAAAATTCATGTTCAAATGGATGAACAAAATCGTATATGTATAGGCAACGAACAATACGAAACAAACCAATAGGAAATTTATTTTTGAATGTATATACATGCAATCCATAACAAATGGATTGTAGTCAGTATAACAGTTTAAATCATATTCTCTTTCAAAGAGAGCATGACTTAGACCATTAGGTGGCGGAATAAGTTCTTCAAGTATTGTAACACCATCAGTAATGGTATTAGAGATAAATGTATCCAGATATAACATTGGACTAACTATATCATAAACTAATGAATTACCATCGACGAATGATCTTCGATTATACACAATAAGTGACAATATGAGTTTTTCCAAATAAAACATTTGGCTAATAAACGGTACGATTAGATTATCATATACAGTTGTTCGATTTAATGAAATTAATGAAAAAAATTTGAGATTTGAAACAATTTTCTAAAGTCAAAAAAAAGACAAGTATTATATTAACATATGATATTTAGTGGATTATTTTATGAACAAACGAGAATCTTTCAAATTAGTAGATTGTATTCGAACTCTCTCTCGAAGAGTAGAAGTTATAAAATATATTTAAAAGCTTCATTTTTTGTTTATTGTATCGAAAGACTATTTAAAAAAAACATCGGCAACACTTTTCCACAAATATTAAAGATGTAAATATTCCAGATAGAATCATCTCATTGATTTATTATATACAGTTCCTGAGTTTTCAGATGGTACCCTAGTCGAACATCTTGTAAGCAAGATCTTGGCCAAGATCTTAGGAACAGATAAGTGAACAGATCTTGAAAAAATAGGTACAGATAATTTGATTATCTTGTACACAAGATCTGTGACTAGATCTTAGGTACAGATTGTTAAGATCTTATGTGCAGGTTGCTAATATCTTATGTATAGCTTGTTAAGATCTTGGTAATAGGTATTCGAAATCTTGAGCATAAGATCTTGTAATGAATAGTATTTTCGTTTTGCCTCTGCAAGATCTTTAGATCTTGTACTAATATATTTAAACTTAAGACCTACATGAACATACAATAACACACGTGAACATCAAATACAATTACAATCTTTAGAAAAAAAAAACATAATAAAATATAAACACCATAACAAGTCTTCTTAATCCACAATCATCTGTATGAACACAAAGCATTCAGAAGTACACGCAATACAAGATAAAAAACAATAAAAATAAATTTGAATCAGCTTCATCATATAATTCAGCATCAGACGATGATGTCAACGATGATGATGATGATGAAATGGCTGGATCATTAGTAACAACGGCATCGTTATCTGAAATATCGCCAGCTACTGGATACATTGAATTAGAGATGTCCATAAAATCATCATCTTCGTCGTTGTGTTTATTATTTCTAAGCACCCTCAATACTTCACTTTTCTTGCGTGCCAACCGGTATTGGCGCATACATTCTCTTGTTCGTTGAGTCGTACTTTTCGAACAAAATTTATTGTTCATATCTGAAATTAATAATGTGTAGGAACAAAACCAAACTAAAACGAATAAATAACAGTAACTTATTATTTTAAAACAAATGACATACATGTCTAAAAATGCGTAGTTTATTTCAACAATTCGATATATTAGCATAGATTGATAATCTACATGTTAATCGAATTGATCATTTGTTCTGATATTAAAATTGATGCAAGTAAACTTCAGTAAATTTCTAAAAAACAAATATAATTATTCAAAAATTATTTCATAAAAACTTCTAATTCAAGTTTCTTGATTCTCATCGTTGTAATAAAAAAATTTCATTTTTACAATTACAAAAATATTTCGTTCGTCGGAAAAAATCATAATTAATATATTTAAGAAGAATGAACATATCATCATTAATCGATGCATAATTATTTAATTAAGATTTTTCATGCTTATATGAGATAAAGACTTAGCCCTTATAACGTTTGTTATCTTTGTATTCTTTCTTTGTTTTTATTGGTTCATATATATGAAGACTGTAAAAAAGCTTTTTTTATTTTTTTTTCTGTTCTGTTATGATTTATGAATATTTTTAATAAAATAATTCAAATATTTGAATTATTTTTTTCTATTAGTGATGTCGCTTTAGTTTATTCAAGATCTTGGTACAAGATAATTACAGTTTAACTTTTTTCCAGTCTTCTGACAGTTTTGATATCTTGAGTAAAGATCTTGATAAGATCTGTGGTACAAGATAATTACAATTTAACTTTTCTTCATGTCTTCTGAAAAGCTTGATATCTTGAAGTAAGATCTTAATAAGATCTGTGCTACAGACACGTAAGATATGATCAGGATATGCTTTCTCAAAAAAAAGAAATTATCTTTTTAAGATCTTGGCAAGATCTTACTTACGAATTCCAAGATTTCCAGATCTTACTTACAAGATGTTCGACTAGGGTAGATCACGTGATGAAATATTTACGCTTCAACAGTTGGACAATATAGTTTGGTCTTGCTTGACCGAAAAGTTCTTTACGTGTACTTACCAAAACATATGCACTCATTCACCCTCACGAATAGTTCTGTTCACCGCAGTAGTGTTTATATCTATTACCATCATCAGTGATAATATCTCTTCAAATATTTAGTTTTTTTTAAAGTAATTATTCATTTGTATAAATTTTTCGATCAAACAGTACGATACTGAACAGTTTTATTTCTTTATTGTTAAATAAATCCTCCATACTGTCGCTTTTAACATAGTTTTTCACTATTCAGTTGGCTATTTTGTCTCATACCAATAATGATCGTTCGATTTGATTCATAACTAAAGAAAATGATTATTTTTATAAAATTTTTTTCCCTTATTTTTGTTGATCATTAATGTTTGTCAAATCCGGTAAACTTGAACAATAAATGTATTCAATTGACTAAGACGTCCACCAAGTAAATAATAACAAAGATCAAAATCAAAAATTTTTATATTTAAACACACAACATGAGATGAATAGCATGCTGATAATGGCAAATGTACAGCTGAAATTGGTAAATATGAGTCATAATCTTAAAAACAAAACTGAAGATATGCTAGATTTGTAAATGTTAGGAAAACATCAGTAAAAACTCTTCGAGATAATTCTTTCTTTTGATCAAATATTTGTCCATCATTAATCATAATAACAAGATGTGAAATTTGATTTTGCAAAGTATGAATAATTGTTGATTTATTGTTGAACATTGTTAAGAGTAAGTTTACGAAGTTGAGGATAATTTCCAATACGAAGAACACGATCAATAGTAAGATATTTAATAGTGTTTAATACGAGGTATGATATCCAAACAAAATCGATCAAGAATAAAATTAATTTTCAGATTATTAGTATTATCTAATATTTTTAAAAAATCAAGAGATTGTGTAAAACTCGTATCTCGAGCGACTCGATCGAGTATTCGATTGACTCCTATAAGTGAATATAATACATCCATATTATCGAGTTCGTTGAAAATATTAAGTAATATTTCATCGCTAAGTGTAAGAATATCTGCAGTTGAATGGGTCATGTGTATTTCTTAGATAAATGATATTGCACGATTTATATCATTTTGGGTGTGGGTGTGGTACGAATACAACACCCACACCCGCTAATATACATCTTACTATTTATACTTTAACTATATCTGATTTCATTGTAATACGCATTCCTACTACTTTACAAGAACGGCTCTATCGAATTTCCATAAACGCAATTTTGTCAGTGTCAACTTTCCGATAAAATTTTTAAAATTTTGTCCGCATTTTAACAATATTGTCGAATTTTGACTATTATCAAAACTCGCATAGAATTACAACAATATTCACACGCGATAAAAACATACTCAACTGATCAATTCTCAATCAATATAATATTCAATTATCAACCGATTGTTACAAAATTATGGATGTGGGTGACAACTAGAGATAGTAGGTACATCTCTATATAATACGTAATTAAAATATATAAAGATGGAAGATGAAGTGTTGATACAAATCTTTATTTAAATGAAGCGCCAACTGCACACATGGTACAATACACCAAATACATAATATATGAATACTACTTTCTAACTACCTCTTTACGTTCTTTCGCTGTCCTTTTATATGCATCGATTGTTCTTCGCTATATACAATGACATAGACAGTGTTCATAGACAAGGTCCGAACGCAAGAAGTATAACATAATATATATAAAGAATAGGCGACCGAAATATTTAGAGCATATATAAACAGGATCTAAGTGTGCTGATATAGATCTAATGTCTTTACAGCATATTATCTTTGTATGATATCTTCCTTGTACGATATAACAATTCTCACTAAAGAAGTATGGCTTTCGTTTTGTATTGTTACATTTTTCTTATCTTCTTCTGTTGTAACCTAGATCATTATATGTGCATTTTTGTATCGTCTTGTTCTCCTCTTCTCTCAAGCGTAACGAGTAACTTATTGTATATACTATAGAAGTATGTACAAAAGAAAAAAAACAAAATAATACAACCGTCGTGAGTATCTATCTGTCTCTATCCTTAAATTAGTTACACTAAGAAAGTTGGATCAATGAAATATATAGACCAGAGATTAAACTTTATCAGTACAAGCATATACGTACATATACTATAGTTGAATCTTTTATCACTGCAAACTATTCTTTTTCTTTTTTTTCGCTTACTATGTACTCACAAAAAAATACGAACCAGATGAAGATACAATACAACTGAATGTCAAAAAATAAAGACATATTAAATCATAAAGTTGTTTGATATTTTTGAGTGGATGAAAATAAGGACGTAGCTGTGGTTATCAGGCTAAAAAAAATATACTCATACACACCCTCACTCACTCTAAAGTTTCTTTCAATTTTTGTTTTCTTATATATAGATATATTTTAGCGGAGATATTCTTATATAATACAATGAATTTAACTGGTACTCATATATTTTTCTTAGTATTGGTATCTATTTTATTATACTTAACGCTGTTCGATTATTATATGCCATTTCAAAAGAAAATTTCTACAGTTAATCGTCAAAAACAAGAAACTTCGAAAAGAAACACATTAGACTTAATAAATTGTACTATATCTAATAATGATTCTTATTCTTATTCTTATCCTGAATCACAACATCTACAAACGAATTTTATTGTATTTAGTAATGATACTTATCCTTATCCTGGATTACGACATCTACGAACGAATTTCAAATGTCAAATTGTTATAGCTCAACGTTTAAATAAAACAATGGTATTTCCCAAAACTGTTGGTATTCCGAAATATCATTCACAATCCTTTTTATATCCAAATCAAAAAAAGTTTATAGAAATACCAACTGAAAGCATCATAAATATCAAACTATTATCATCATATTTTGATATTGTTTCATATGATGACGTCATTATTAATCACAATAATTCAGGTATATGTTCGTTTGATAGTCTTCCTCTTGTTCAAAAATATCGATATTGCTGCTGGCAAGAATTATGCTCATATAATCCACCACAATTTTCAACAAAATATTCTATGAAACACATAGAAGATAATTTTCATCGTCATCAACAGCCAATTTATCTACATAAACTAGCACATAAATTGATTTCAAAAATCAAACCAGACTTTTACATAGCAATTCATATCAGGCGAGGCGATCAACTGAAAAAACCTCGATTCCAGAATAAGCTTGATAGTTGTACACGACCATCTTGGATAAGAGAAAAGTTAAATTCCTACGGTATCTTAAATGGTTCAATTTATCTAGCAACAAATGAATATAAACCTAATTTCTTTCATTCCTTATCGCAATGGTATACAATATATACAATACAGAATTTCTCAATGTATATAAATGAAACTACCAAACAAAATCCATATGCCTTAGTTATCATTGATGAAATTATTTATTCAAACGCAAAAGTGAGATTTTCAACATTTATTGAACCGTATACAAATCTATCTTTTTGTCCATTTGGTCGAGCTGGTCTTCCAAAACAAAATGGTACTTCAAATCTAGTCAAACATGTCTTAAGCAAAATCTTGGCCAAGATCTTGGGTACAGATAAGTGAACAGACCTTGAGTGAATATGTTGATAGCTAATTTTCATTTGATATCAAAAAATATTTATTTGCACACTCAATAAAAGTTTCGTTTCCATAGTAAATGGCATTACAAAAAGTAGTTACAAAAAATCTTTCAAATACACGAGAACAGCTTATACAACTTTTATTTAAAGACATTAATTAGTATGAATGTACATACTTATAGCAAATCTTACTTTGATATAACCATGGGAGTCGGCAATAATAACAAATCAATTGTTGATTTATATTTTCTATATTTTAAGTTGTAAAAGATCAACGAATAAAAAAGAATATATGAAATAGAATTTCTTAGAAGAAGAAAAAACGTGAGCATTTATATTCACATTTTCAAACTTCTCGAGAGCTTCTTCATCTTCGTGCACATTCTATTCATTAACTTAATACAAGAAGTGAAAAAGCAAAATAAAAGTAAATTTAAATAAATGATGTAGTTATTCTTCAAAAATGTCATTTAACATGAACGTCGAGTTTATTAGGTGAAAAGAAAAAAATGATGCAGCCAATTCATTCATACTTAATAGCATTGACAACGAATGCCAATACAACGTCCATTCTTATGTCCGTCGATTCTACATAGGATATCACATTTTAAAACACTGACAGAATTGCCAAAATAATCCACCACATTCTCCACTTTTGTAGCCACAAGATTTGCAAAGATCTCCACCACCCAATCCTTTACATGAGTCTTCAACTTCAGGACATTTTTGTCCATTAATCTTCACTGCGAATAGAAATAATGAATAGAAATGCATTTGATCTTAACTTCTTTTATATATTCTCGCAACTGGGATGAATCTTTTGAGTACTAGGAAAAAATTTTGTGATAGAATCTAGATCATCTTAAAATTTTTGAAATAGTTTGCATTTCAATCGTAGAAATGCGAAACTATATCTCGTGAATGTATTTAAATAAATTAAATATATTATATTCATGTTTTTATTTTTCGAGATATTATTTCATACAATGTCTTAAGTTTTAATCATTTATGTCATTGTTGGTGTAACGGTATTTAATCGACCATATATAATTTTCTTTATAGATGCTTTAAGTGGATCAGTAAACTGAAGTAATGCCATCATTACAGATGCTACTGATAGATTAATAAATATATAACCAATACGAAAATGATATTTAGGTGGAGCAGTAAAAAATGATATGAGAACAAATAATGCGTAAGGAGAAGCGACAGCAAATATAATAATGACAAGTATAACTAAACGACGAACCATTTTTAATTCTCGTTTTGCTCGAGATAAACTATTTGTGAGCACTACACGTCGACTCATTTCTTTCACATATTGAACTAATCTTAGATAAATAAATATTGTCATTGACATAGGTAATGCAAAAACAGAAGTTGCTGCAAAAACTAAAGAAATAGATAATTGAAATGGTAATTGACATATTTGATTATCAACATTATAGATTATTCCACCAGTAAATATAAATGGAATAGGAAATATTAAAGCAAATATCCAAGTTGAACAAAGAAATAGTAATTGTATTCGTGCTGATTGCCAAAATAAATAATTCGGATAAACCACCATCATGTAACGATATAATGCTTCTGCTAAAAAAGAATAATTTTCTACAGCACATAAACTATAACTTAAATATCCTCGAATAATACATAATGAATCTTGATATTCAATTTGTTTAAGATCATTTTGTAATGTAAATACACCCATCGAAAGTGTCTCGATTCCTAATACAAATCCAGTTAAATATGAATTGGCAACAAGCATCATTGAAATAGTATGACATGTTTTATCATAAATGATAATGACGAAGCAAAATAATGCAAGTACAATGACAAAACTAGTGCATATAACTATGAATATATCAATAGGAATGAACCATGTTTCAATAATTGTCTCAATAGAATTGTTAATAGACGACATTGATGACGTGGATAATGTTGCGTTCATATTTGAGAAAATGAATAGATGAATTGAACATACTCTATTATTTTTTTTTATTATTGAGTAGGTCATGTGTAAAATTTTAACGACTTAATACTATTTTTAAAGCATTATTACAACTTTTTTTCTCTATACAATATTCGAGAAACTACAAAAATGAATCGATGTTATCTGCCCATAAATAAATTTGTTTGTCAATTGAACTATATATATATAATCTAGAAAATATTTCTACATTTTGACATACAATACAACGGCTTTCAAATGAATATTGCAGAAGTCCTTGAAAAATGTTCATCTATAGACGATCTAATAATAATCTATTTTAGTGCGTCAAAGTACGATTTTATTAATTCTATCTAGTTTAATTATGAGACATTATTTTAAAGTTATTCAATGAAGTTATCTTGGCTTTAACTTCTGAAGTTTCTTTTTAGGAAATTAATTATGTGTTCAAGGTAACACATAAGTCACTTGACTGAAAAAAATCCGAATATTTTTATTACAGCTCAAGTAAACTATTTTGAGTGTAAGAATATTATATTCATAGTTTATCTACATTTGCATTATCTCTCATCCATTGATCTTAAAAACGATGCAAAATGTTCATATCTACTAAATTAATATAAAATAAACGAGTTATCACAATGACAGAACAGTACAGAAGAACTTTTCACAATACTATTAAACTTTTGTTGCATACAACAGAACAGAAGTTTTGACTATTTAAATAGTTTCATTAATAACATCATTGTCATGCGAAGAACACTATTACGACAAAGTTTGTGAATATAATGTAGAATATTTCTGTTAGTTTTCATAAATAAATTGAAAACTTTCGTATATGTGAAGATGCTATGACAAAAATATCCACAAATTTATCAAGTTTCACTGCGCTCGGAAAAAATAATATGATCATTCGTATTAGTAGAGTAAATATTTTTATTACAATACATTACTATTCCAAATGGATATGTTAAGGACTGGGCGGAGTGTGAGCATGTTTAATGTTGTCTTGATCATACACTCGCAACTACATCAAAACATTTTGATACAACTCCCACAGAATCACTGAGAAATTTTAGATCGAGAATCTCAGTTTAGGCGTGTTACTTTATCTTTAATCTTTATAAAATCAAGAATAAAGTTGTTTTTTCTATCGAAACCTATTTTTTTATTTCGTTAGAGTAGCTAACAAAAAAATTATGATACTATACAGTTAACTATAATATGGAATAGCATTTTTCGTATATATCGTTTCTTATGTGATCCTTTTTTTTCGATAATATGACATATGGAAACGATGATGATGATAAAAAAGAGCATTAATAAATATATTCTGTTGTTATACAGGGTATTTGCATATGTACTTACTGTATGAAAAAATATATCTTTATCCTTTATTTTAACTTTATTTTTGCAAATAAAGATTATCTTTATCTTTATTTTATGAATATAAAGATTTACTTTATTTCTTTATTTATAAGATAAAGATAAAGTAACACTCTTATCTTAGTTGTTCTAATAAGCTGAAAATCCCAATTATTTCGTTTATCTCAAATTTAGTTTAAAACAACAACTTAGATTTAGTGAATGTCTACACATAACGTTCTTCATGAGCTCTGAGCTATTTATTCAATTCTCACCCTTTGCCAACGTTCGACATATAACCAATAGAGGATGTATAACTGGTAACTACCACTTGCGCTCACACCCGACTGTTTGCTTTTTTTTGTCGCATAGTAATGATAATAGAAGTTGCGAGATACACAGTAACTGCTCTTCTAATAGTTTTCTCTTATGATAACAAATTGTCTTTACAAATGGTGAAGCAAAAAGAAACTCATCTATCAGCAGAGGCAACTGTTATCATCAGAAAGCATATTCCTTCAACAAACTTTAACTTTATCTCGACAGTATTGTGTTGAAAGTTGTAGAGGACTAGAGTAGTAACGAGACAAGAGTTAGTTATTAGAATTATTACCTATTCCGATTTTATACCGACGAAATATGGTTAGGCATACACAATACTTGTAGTCATTGATTCAAATTTATGATTTTTGTTCGCTTTTTAGATTAATAATGGATGCAGATACTATTTTTTCCAATTTGCCATATGGTGAAAATATTGTTGGAAAATATGAATATTCTGAATGTTGTAATTCGGTAAAAACTACTTGTATTCTTACTAATTTGCGTTTACTCATTCGTTGGAAGGAAACATTTCTGTGTTGTTGTCACCAGTCTCATTATTCTGCTATCAGACTAAAGTCGATATCTCGTATTGACGAAACACGTCCCAGTCGATACAATTTTATTATTGGTGTAATATTGTTTATCATTGGCCTTATTTCATCAATTTTTTGGAAAAATATACCAATACATATTCTCGATTATGCAGTCTTGGTCGTTGGTATTTTAATACAAGTTGGAGCTTTAATCCGTTTGATTTGGCTTTTCTTATTACTCAGATACAAATTTATTACGTTGAAAGGCAATTTCGGTTCGGAAACATTGAAATTTTTAAAATCATCAGCAAGAGAATTCGAATCAAAACTAAGTGAAATGATCTTTATAATGCAAACGCAGCATACCAATGAACAAAGCAATAAGCAGGAACTATTTTCACCAACAGCACCGACTTTCACCATTGATAATGAACTACAATACTATTCTAAAGAAAACAAATATCGATATGTTGTACCAAAAGAAAAGACTTCCAATGTTCAAAATGGAATGAAACATTATCATACTGACAAAAAATACCGTCAGCATCGGCCAACAGAGAACTTTTGAAATAGATTTTTCGAATACTTCCATTCTGTTCTGTTTTTTTTTCAAATATGAATAATAATCGCAATACAAAACAACATCAATTCATTAAACAAGATGGACGTAGGTTAGTTTGTTATCTTGCGTCCCCATCTAGGTATTGTCCCAAAATCCGGAAATTTTTTAAAAAAGATTCAATAGTTTTTTTAACAAAGAAGCATGTACAAAAAAGAAGAAAAATCATTTGATTTGAAGAGAGGTGACGTAGTTCACTTTTTACTAGCTACCAATAAAGAAAATCCCACGAGATGCTCATCGCCCTCGAAATATTTGGCACGTAGGATTATGAAAGCTCAGGCTCAGTTCTTTCGAATCAAAACTGTCACATTTCTATCGGCAAGCGTTTTGATTTTAGCTAGAAGGTAAGGGTATGGATAAAGTATGGATACAACACCCACACTCTCAAGGTGCACGTCTGTGTATATTTGCTAATAGAAGTGCAGAGCACAGTTAAGTAGACGATAATCATGGTCGACGTAGACAACCATAAATATTTATGAAAGAATATTATCATTCTCTTCTGTTAGAACGATATCAGAAATTTTCCGGATTTCAAGACACATTCGCCATCTATAGCTTTACTACTCAAAGTTTTATTTCAAAAGTAAATAATTGTTACGATTCTTTATTAATATTTATTATATTTATATAATAAAAAATGATTTTAATGAAAATATTATTGTTTTTCTTTTTGTGCTACTGATGTGAGAATTTTAGGTGGTCCAACTTGTAAAAAACTAGATTTTCCTGCTGGACACATATAATTTTGTTTCATAAGTAAATCAGAAAGTCTATGTGGTACGATTCGTGGTGGCATAAAATGCATAAAATCTCGATGAAGAGTTCCTAATGCATATATTATATAAAGTGTTAATGATGATGGTTGTTTTAATCCAAGTTTTTTATGAAACATTTCACCACCAACCACATAAAGAAGCCCATTAAGAAGAATTCGTGTAATCGAAGCTGGCAAAAGTAATCCATACCATTTTTGAACAAGTATATGAATAGCATTTGTTAATATAGATCCAGATTCTGTTTCAGTTGCACTAATATCACTATTTGTATAATCATTAACAAGTATATATACATTTTCTAAAGATGTTGGTAAATTTTTTAAATTCATTTTTTGTCCAACTTTTTCATAAAAAATAAATAAAGCTTGTTTTTCAGTATTATCTAACTGTCTCCAACCAAATACATCAATCATACGTATTGTATCAACAATAAAACAACATAAGACATAAACGAAATCTTCATTACGTGTTCGATTACTGAATACACCATGTATATTATTTAAATGTTCGATACTAGTTTGTCCCTCATCACTATCTAGACCATAATCAACCCACGCATGCATTAATATATCTGTATCATTAACACGTTTTTCTGTTTCACCAGCAATTATATTTGTTTGTCTATAAACTTTTGATATAGTAGGCGAAACAAATGTACGATAAAATGCCAGATTAATACCATAAAAACATTCAAAAGGAAATTCATAACAACACAAATGATGATAAATTTGTTCAGCATTAAGATTTACTAAATTCTGTTTATATGCTAAATACCATTGTAAACGTATTCGATAGAATAAAATTAAGAGACATATGATGAAAAACATTAATAATACTATTACAAACATTTTTCAAGTATTGATTATATTACAGTTAAAATTATAATGACAACAAAATATATAAAGTATCGAAATATATTTGGTATGATTGGCTTGCTCTACTTCACTGATTATTATTATTTTTTTTTATAGGATGCACTCAAAAAACAAATGTATATCATTCACGTGAAAATTATAATCATCGAATATTAATCATACAAAATTAAACCTTTTTTCATAATATATGGTACTTGAAGACGTAGGTGAAGGTCAAAGTATTTATTTCATATCACAATTATATCCACTCAATAATTATCAAATGTAAATATTTGATAGCAAAAAAAAAACAATAAGTATATTGTGAATCTTAAAAAAATCTGTTATTTCATATTCGTCAAATAAATTAAATTAAAAAAAAAAGAAGAAGAGTGAATGAGATTATTCTTCAATATCATCTTTAATTTCATCATCAATACCAAATTGATCTCCTGGTATAATTATTTTATCTAAACATGATAATTGTTCAATTTGTTCTAAAAATTCTTTTCGTTGTTCACTTGTAGAATTTTCATCATTTGTCGATAAAAATAATGAAAATTGATGTTGAAATTGTTCAGATGATATTAAATCAACAAATGATGGTTGAAATAAATGAATTAATTCATCACGTAATTTATCAATATGTTCACCAATATATTTTGCTCGTTTAAGACGTTTCATAATACGTTGAGTTTTCAATTGTCTCATTGTATATTCATATTGTAATGTACGAATACGACATGCAGAAAAATTTTCAACTTGACGACGATATTCTAAAGAAAAAATACATACATATCAAAATTTTACTCATTCCTAGATTATCTTTCTCGAAATCTAATTAGTTATTTCATAAAAATAAGATCTTATTTACAAGGATTTTTCAATCATCAGATATGTTTTAGAAGAACTATCTGATTATGATAAGAATTGAAGTCAAAAAAGTATATTTTACAAAGTTTTGGCTTGGAGTAATAGCTACGCTCTTAGATGAGACTAGGACGTGTCACAGCTGTGCAATGCAATTCACAATGATTGCAGCAGAAGGAATCGATTTTTTAGCACTACCATATATAGTATTTTCTATTATGTTCGTAGACATATAAACGGCAAATATCAATTCCTTGTACTACAGTCATTTTTCATGGTATGTGTCCGTTACAGATGATTAAAACAGTGGCGGATTTAGGAGTGGGTAATGGAAGCGGTCACCCTCTCTTCGAAATTTTATTTTTATTTTTTACAGCAAAACTGGTTTCGCATTACTTCGATTGGACTCAAAAAATAGTTTTTAGTCAAAATCGTCCCCCCTACTCAAAAATCGACTCTCCCTTTCAAAATCCTAGATCCGCCATTGGATCAAAAAAATTGCGAACTTATGGTTTTCTATTTTTACAAAACATGTTAGTCAAACTGACGATTATAGTATTCGTTTTTCAAGTGACTATTTTATCTTATATATTAAATTAAAAATATTTACCATCCCAAAAATCTCGATTTTTTTGTAATTGTGCATCTCTCCATTGATCTAATTCTCTTTCTGTATTTTCAATTGCTTGTAAACGTTGTTCAACTTCATGTGCTAATGATTCTAAATCTTCTAAAACTTTTTGAGCATCATGATGACGTTTTTCTGCACAATTATCACATAAATATAAATTAAGATTTGCATCTGTTGTTATTGTTCGTCCTCGTTCAGGTCGATTTTGACGTTTTACACAAGAATCAACTATTGAACAATCATCACATTGATGAATATATTCATTTTCTTCATGTATTTGTTCGACTAATTGATCAAGAATATAAATAACATCATCATCAAGATTTTCTTCATTCATTTATCTGAAGAAAAATAAAATTTTTTATTCATTCTTTAGAACATTTTTTCATGTAGGAAAAAAAGGATTCCAATTCTGCTGAATTATTTCGTAAAACTATTTTCTCTATTCGATTAGAAGATTAATAGAAGCATGACAAAGATAAGCATATTATTATTGCGGGGGGGAAAAAAAGGAGCACTAAAAATTTTTATTATGTATTAGTTCATCACTAAAGATATTGTTTAAATAATTAATGCGTGTGTGTATGTTCTTTTGCATTTTTAAATAAAACATTTGGTTTAATAAGTTTTGCTGTCCACCAAAATATATTAATTGATTGAGGATGAATTAGTAAATTATCCGAATCAATATGAGTATCATTTGATGTTGGTAAATATGCAGTTGGCCATTGATATTCATAATGAACATGATGTGGTACATCATGTTCTGTTAATTCGCGTAATGATATATGAGCAACACCATCTTTTTGTTTCTTTAAATTGAATAAAACCTTTTATGAAAAAAATAAATAAATATGATATTTATTAAAATAGTATATATTCTTACAACATATCCTCGATGACCAGGTGCTTCTCTTATAAACCAAAATGAATTTGAATCGGCATGAAAACCTGTTTCTAACACACCAAATTGAAATGATTCTTGTTGACGTAATTTAGCCAAATGACGAAAAACAGTTAATAAGGAATCTCTCTTTACACCACCTAATGCTTCTTGACGCTATGATAATAAAAAATAATTCATTAGTTCTTTTTATTAAGAAATTTTCAATATTTACTTTAACACTTGTTTTAGCTATTTTATAATTATTTTTCAAATGATTTTCACAATTTGCTGCATTTCGTGCACAAAATCCTCCGGTTACACTATCAGATGTCCATGACATTAAAGGTGTAGATTTCTATGCAAAATATTCTTATAGGAAAAAAAAAGATGATATATCATTTTATTTCTTACCTGATCAAGACCAATTTCTTCTCCATAAAGTATAATTGGTGTTCCACCAAATAACATACCCATAGTTAAAATCATTTCTTTTGATAATTGATTCTCATTGATAGTACCAATATCATCACTTTTTCGTATTGATCCTAACTAAAAAAATCAGAAAAATTGTTTTGCCAAAAGAAAATAATTTTTTCTATTTGAATTAACCTGCCAAAATTGTGGTTTAGGTCTCTCATTATTTTCAAATGATTGTATTCTTGTATTCAATGACTCAGCATTGATATTTGATCGTTGTGGTGTATCAAATAAAAATAATGAATGTGCGGTTTTATTGTGTAAATCATCATTTTCAATTAAACGTTGTAAACCAAATGGTATATCAAATAAAAGTAATCTTAAAAGCAAATTTTGTTGCATATCTTTAAAACAAAGAATTAATGATTTACTTTGGTTTAGCTGCTTTTTCAATTTCAGTTTTAATTTCAGCCCAATGTTTAATTGTACCATATGAGATGGTATATAAACGAGTTTGTTGATCATATTTAAGTGGAAGATTAACACGAATTCCATCGATTTTCTTTGTTGATAACCAATAACGAATACGATCCTAAATAAATATTTGAAGAAAAAAAAACAAATATTTTCTTTAGTAAAATGAAATATTACGTCTGCTGCCGAGGATATTTCTTCTTGGTTGAAATCAAGTGGTAATCGACCATATGATGTCAAATACTTACAACCAAGATTTTCAGTTCCTCCACGACATGGTTGCTAAACAGAAAAAGTTTTCTTTCTTATTCATTTGAAAATAATAAATTACTTCGATTTTGAAAGGAACAGATGAAGAACCATACCATAAAACACCATTGGGATCGTGTGTCGATGCTAATGGTAAATCAATTATCAAATGCATATCTATTTATGACAAACAAAATAAGATATTTTAAATAAAATAGAATATAAATTTCAAATAGAAACCTTTTCGATTAAGAATTTTTGCTAATTCTTGTAAATCATTATCGCCTCCAACATTTGGATCAACTATCTTTAAATCGATATTTTTATCATGAGGAATTTGTCCATCTAATTTAATTGATGTACCACCTGAGACATTGAATATTGATGATTGTAAAAGAATTGATTTAATATTATTTTTTTCAAAATAAGGTAATTTTTCTTGAATACCTAAAAGAAGAAAATTATTTATAAATATTACTGTTTCTTTTTTTAGTATATTAAATAAAACCTTTAATATCTCCAATTCCATCACCATTCGAATCGCGAAATGTTGATACATCAATTTCATAAATAATATCTTTTTGATACCATTCAAGTACAGGTTTCGGTGGACAACGTTGAGTGTATATAATTAAAAGAATGGATCCAATGAGAAGTGCTATAAGTAATAAAATATATAATAATGCAATTATTAAACGAATACGTTTCCATTTTGGATCATTTATATATGCTTTTAATTCCTTTTGAATAGAAGAAGAAAAAAACCTTTTTTTATTATTTGAGCAGTTATGAGTATTTGGAAAAAAAAGAATACCTCAGCAGTTAATCCAATAAATTCATTATTTTCTTTCGGTTTTTTATATTGAACTATTTCATCAACTACAATATTTTGTTCTCCACTTGGATGAAATTTTGCAACATGACCAACCTTTGTTTGAACGTCACTTCCATCAACTATTAATACCTGATGAGCTTCATCCGGTACATCTTTAGTTTTACTTATTTGAATTTTTTCACTCATATTTTACTGTTCCACTTGCCTTATGAGATAAGATAGAATAAACAAGAAAAAAAAAAAGAAGTATGTCGCCCTTGAGATATACATAACTGATTAAAATCAACCAATTATAAACGCACCGTAATACTCGACATCGGACATGAGCGACATCCGTTTCGTACTCATATTTTTAGTCTACATAAAAAATGTATACGTTATACATAAACATATTTTTTCAGGCAAAGATTAATATGATTTGAAATACTATTACGATAACAAATGTTGTAGAAAATGATTATATAGTCAAGTTCTTCATCCTACGAGATAATTTCATTTTATCAACGACAGGATAGTGTACAACCTTAATTTTGACTACACATATATTATTGAACTGCATATAAGAAATTTATTCTGCCTGTATAAGATTTATTTATTAGATAAAAAATACGATTTTTAATTATTTTGTCGTTGGTCAATGAGAATAATCCCACATTCATCAAATTCAATTATTTCAATAGTTCTTTAACTGATTAAATTCATAAACGAACAATAGCAATGCAATAAAAACGTAAACGTGATATTTAAATGAATAGACAAAGATAATCATTTTGTACTGAACTATTCAATTCACTACTTTTGTTTGTATTTATTTTTATTCACGTATAGTTCAATAACTAACCCTTTGGTTACAGATGACTCATATATGAGCATTGAACTTTTGTAGATATTATCTTCAATATAATGTCATTTAGACTTTATCAAAAGAACTGCTATATGTTTCTCTTATCCTAACAATAGTATTGCGTGATGACTGCATATCAGTATTCATATATATTATCTCTATTGTGTTCTAACATGCCAGCTTTTGACATTCAATCACGTTCTAATAAATTCTATGTCTTTTCTCTTTCTACAGACGCTCTCGTATAAATAAAATTTCAATTCTATACTACTGATTCTCATGAAATCTAACAGGAAATATTGCACGAAGATCTTGTATAGTTTGTAGTCATACAAGCAGATGTGAGAAAAAGCGTACCGATACACGCTATCAGTGTAATGTTTGTTTTCAAGACTATTATACTTTGAAATATTTTTGAATACTTTCATATGTTAATAAAATTTATTTGAGACTATTTTGGAACGAAAAACAAAAAATTCATCATAATAAAAAAAACCGCGTAATCAAAGGGTCGAACACACTATAGTATAAAAACACTATAGCTATTTATTTTTCTTCCGGACCAGAGTTGTATTCTTTTGGATTAGAAAGAAAACAAGGCATATATAAACGATATACATAGAAAAAATTACAATGACATTTAGAAGAATGAGTTTCTGACAAAGATACCAATCGAAAAACAATATCATCGAACTATGACAAATTGTAAGATTGATGTAACAATCTATATTAGTGGTTGATGACGAAGATAGGTAAAGAAAATATAATTGATGAATTCCAGATACGATTGGATTTATTGCTTAAAAATTGTGACATAGTGATACTGAAAAAGTCTGTCAAAAACAAACCGAATTGTAACCATTACAAAATTAAATAGACAAATTGTGTATCATCCGTTGAAGTTTTGTTACAACCGAATATTTATTGAAGAATCATTGATCAGATGTAAATTGGTTGCTACATTTTGTCTGCTGAGACATCTAAAACAAATTACAACTTATTATATTTTTTTGTTATAAACCAAATAGTCTGTGTATATATTTAAATTTAATGTACAATAAAATATTTATTATTAGTTTTATGAATAAACTAACCGTTTGTTTTTGCTGAATAAAAACGAATATAACGTAAGAATTAAGCATCATATTTCATATTTATGAAGAAATATGATATACAAGTGCTGATCATCAACTCTGAATATAAAATAAAAATCAAGGTACAACGATTTCGTTCTCTATACAGTGCATTCATGCATGACAATTATCGTCCTACTCTTAATATATCTATACTCAATAATGTGTATTTTGTTTGATGTTCATTTAAATTGATGTGTAAAAAAGTTGAAATTATTTACAAGCGATATTTTATTCATATTAAAATATATCATACAAAACAGGTGATCATTATTACATTGTAAATTTGTATAAACAAGAAGATTATGAATGTGAATGTAGATGAGGGTTGTTATATTTATGCAAACAATCATTGAACTATGAAAAGAATAACAAAAAGATATTTCATTTAACAGAAGAGATTCTTTTTGCGAATCAGCAGGATTATTTATTCATATGCAAAACTACATAGTTATATAAAGTTATTTTGATAAGGTACAGATGAAAACAAATAATTATTTAAATGCATTTAAAATATCAAGAACAAAACGATATTTTACATCCGCTTTGACTGTTCGATCATAAGCTGCTTTAATTGTTTCTGGTGTTGCTTCAATCTTTTCAATATCACATGTAATATTATGTTTACCACAAAAATCAAGCATTTCTTGAGTTTCTTTCATTCCACCAATTAAACTACCAGTAATTGTCGGTCGTTTCGTTAGAAGAGTAAATGCTCCAATTTCAAGAGGTTTTGTTGGTGCTCCAATTCTAAATATGAAATAAATTATTTTAAATGTATAATATACAATAAACGTAATACATACGCGCAATAGACGCCTTCAAATTTTAATAAATTAATTAAAGGAGCGACATCATGTGGAGCTGATACTGTATCAATAATCAAATCTATTGAATTCTCAGCTGCTTTCATTTGTTCGTTATCTTTTGAAACAAGAAATGCTTTAGCGCCAAGTTTCATTGCATCATCACGTTTCGATTCGGAAGTTGAAATAACAGTAACATGAGCATCCATAGCTGCGCCCAGTTTAACCCCTATATGACCCAAACCACCAAGACCAACAATTCTAAAATATAAAATTAACATCTCATATAATTAAAAACAGTATCAAATAAATACGCTAATCGTGTATTTTTGTCGGCCTTGTAACGTCGTAATGGTGAATAAAGTGTAATACCAGCACAGAGTAATGGTGCTGCTGCATCTAATGGTAAATTTTTAGGAATTTTGCAAACAAAATGTTCTTTAACAGTAATTATATTGGAATAGCCTATAAAAATAAAATCGAAATAGTTATAATATTTATAAAACAATATTTACCTCCATATGTTGGTGTTACTTTATCAAGTTCAGTACTATTGTATGTTAAACATGAGTCAAGGCAATTTTGTTCAGCGTCCTTTTTACCTAAATAGTTTGAATATAGAAAAAAAACAATAATTGTTAGAATAGAAGATAATTACAAAGATGACATTTGCGACACGAATCAACCATACAACCGACACCAGCAGTATCACCCACACGAAAATGTTTGACACTTGAACCAACTTGTTCTACAATACCAGTGATTTCATGACCTGGTACCATAGGATATTTTGAACTGTGCCATTCATTGTATACTTGATGAATATCCGTATGGCAAATACCACAATAATGAATACGAATAACAACATCATCAGCTGCAGGCATACGTCGTTCCAAATTAAACAATTTAAATGGAGTAGATTCACTATCAACAGCATATGCTTTTGCAGCAATTGAAATAGGTGATGTCGTATTAGAAGCAGTTCTAACATAGAATTAGATATGATAAATAATAAAAAGAAGGAAACAAGATAATTTTTAGTATTCAATTTTATGAATCTTGTTTGTATTTATCTCTCAAAGTTTTTATTTTAGAACAATATATAGATGTATACTTACTGCGTGGAAGTCATAGTTAATAGAGAAGTATAATATATTCGAAGTGTGAAGTTGGATTAAGTACGAAATTGATAGAAATTTTCTAAATGGTAGTATAAATAATAATATTTTTCTTTTACTTTACACTACTATTTATATATATTTTTTTTGCATCGTCATTATGCACTAGTGCATCTTATCGTTGCTAGTGACAAAGCATTTTTTTCTTTCTCTTCTGCTTGTCTTTTCGTCGTCAGCGACCATGACCGATATATTATATATTTGCAGTACTCGACGTATCAAATCGAAGCATTACACGATTGTAGGGACTGAAAGAAAAGTACGCACTTTTAATATATTTTTAGAAATGTACTTTTTGTTTAATGCGAAAAAAATATGAACTAATGTTTTAGATATTGAAAATGATTTTTTATGATAATACTATTTCTTGCCCGAAAATCAATTTTTTTTCATCATAAATATTGTTTATAGGATATCACATAATACTATTCTCTTTCTCGTAGAGAAGAGTCCAGTAAACATAAATTGTTTGCTTGGTTGCTTATATGTTCGCAGGGTCAAAAAAACATCGAAGACCAATTTTTCAAAAAAGACATTTCTAGAGGTATTTCAATGCGAGGACTTTGAATTTGATGTTAGCTTTTTCAAATTCTTTAAAAAAAATTTTTTTTTAGACAAGGGACCATTTTTTTACAAAAGTTTTTTTTGATATAAGATTTGACGAAACGGTTTTTTTGAGGTTGGAGAACACGAATTTGATGTTAGTGTTTGCAAGTTATATAAGCAAAAGATCCTGTAGCATTGTAGAACACCATTTCTACAAGAGAGAGCTAAGCGAATCCTTAGACGAGCGTTACTTGTTGATAATGTAAATAAACACTACTATCGGAATTTTTAAAGAAGGACGACTAAAGAAAAGTTTATAACTTTTGAATGGAAAGTCATGATGATCTGTGGTTTCCAGGGTTCAATAGACGGAGGCATATGCCTACGTGGAAAAGCGAACTTCCCAGGTACTTTTTTAGACCAACTTTAGTCTACGAAATTAAGGGCATTTGTTTCGCAAAGTATATATCCCGATATGTTCTCTTCATATTGGTATCTAAGCAATTTCTAGATTTCGCGTCATTGAAAGACCCGACGCCTTTTAAAAGAGAAATTTTATAGAATACACTTTTCGCTGAAAAACAAAAAAAAATGCTCCGAATATAGATTTTCGATTATGTTAATCAATATGAAAGAGTTTATCTGAATATCGAATTGGGGTTTCATATAGAGCTCATGAACACAAACACATGAAAATGTTAATTTTTGAGTTCCTTTGATAAGAAAAATCGGCGTCCGTTACGATCTACTTGATTCTGTCGTTTTTTTTAATCAGTCTTTTAAACAACAGAGCTTGTATTACTTGCTCCGAATATAAACTGAACTTTGAAAAAAGTACAAAATACAAAAAGAACTATTGCTGCACATTTTTCCCATTGTCATTAGAATCCGTTTCTTCACTGTCCGATTGTAAATGTGATTCGATTTCATCTTCCATTACTTTATATGATTTTTTATACATCTCCTTCACTTTATAAAACTGACATTCCTAAAATCAGACTAAAGTATGAAAAGAATCATTATATGAACAATATATTAAGTTTACCTGATTCGTCACAATTAAATATTTGAGCAGGTGAGTTTGACAAACTATTTTCTTGAATAATTTTATACTATAACTAAAATCAATTATCTATTTGATCTAATCTCCACTCTGTCAGTTTCTTCCCTAATGACAGAGATTTTTTCAAAGTAGGGATGGAATGTCGACTTAAAAATGAATAAAACCAGTCATACGTAGGTGTTCCATTTGAAAATAAATGACTTCTATTGAAAGATAAAGCATATTGTTTAGCAAGATTCAGAAATTCATCAATTGATAAAGGCACACCCCATTCCTTTATATAAAAAAAAATCTTAAAAATATGTTTAAAAAAAGTTTGTTTTGTACTTGTAAAGCAAGAGCTGCTTGTTCTAGATGATGTTCTTCATCTTTAGAAAATTTCGTTGGTCGATCAACTCGATCATTCATAACTGTATTATTTACATCAGAGTTCAAAGTTGTATATGGTACATAATGAGTACGCGCTACTTCAATAACCAAATTAAAATGATATTCACTGTATTTCTTCTTAACATTTTTTTTATATATTTACGTGGCATTTCCTAAACTTATTATTTTAATAGCAAAATTACTATTCAGTAATTCGTTGACATATACGATGTAAACAAATAAAATTAACGAATTACATGTATTTGTATGCAGTACGACAGAGAAAGAGAGAAAGAAAGCAGATATATATACATGTAAATATAAAGAAATATCGAGGGTTATAATTAGTCTTTCTTTTCACTAGCCTGTTCATTAAATTTATTATATACTTAATCTTGAAAAGTAACAATTGTACAACGACTTTATCTGAATGATATGGATCGAGGTAATACATAGCGTTTACCAGCGATAACCGTTGCAATTTAGAAAAAAATGGCACATTCATTTACTATTTCATGGAATTGTTAAATCTTCTACATCCGATTATTAATTATTGTATTATTCTAGCACAAACAGACGAACTTAACATATTTATTATCAACACAAAGTTCATAAATATAATTTAAGAAATGACTATTTACATGAAAATCTTTTTTTTCTAATGTCAAAACTCTTCACAAGAAGAATTCAATGGAAATAGTCTGCTCATGCAATGATTAATGACAGCATAATTACATAAAATTGTTCTTCGACATTTTTATTTTTCATATCATTTTATAACCCATACGTTTCTGCATTTGAAACGTCGAAATTTTTCTTTCCTAGTTTCTACTTAAAGTCTAAAATATTTCAAGAAATAGAATGAGGGTATATCATTAAAGATCCTTTTTATCAATGATGCAATGCATTAGAAAGATACTAGATTAATCACGTTAAATATCATACTATTTTATATGTAAAGATAGAGAAAAATGAGACGAATAACTTGGTATTAAGATGTACTTGTTGAATCTGTATCGTTAAGGGGGTAGGGATTTCATAAGTTGACTTCAGCTAAAATAGCTAGAGTAATCCGAATTACCTCGAAGGACTATCTAATACACATTTCATGGAAATAGTATATAGGTAATATTAGAATAAACCACGTGTTGAACAAGATGAATTATATTATCGACATCAAAAACTACAAATAAAACACGTCTATTAGTTAAATCATCAAAAAATAAACCTTACATTGTAATCTATTTCTCTGCTAATGGTCATTATCCGATGACATGTTTTCATTGTCTGAAATACAACGAACAAACAATAGATGTATATAAAGCGAGGTACAAAGGTTAATAAACATACTATGGTTTTTTTTCTTTTATGTTTCTTAAAAGAAAAAAAAAATGGATGATAAACTGATAAGAACGAGCATAAATTATATTCTCATATTTACACATACTTTGTTTGTCAGACAAAAAGAACAAGAAGAAAGAGAGAACTAATGTAAAAGTAAGCATAACATCTTGTTTTACTCTTTTAACTACGTCAAATGAATGCGTATAAATACAACTAGAATATGTTTATTAAAGTAGTATTTTTATTTTTATGAGAAAAGTAGATCAGTTAGTTGAGATTCTCATGAGTAACGATAAACGTGGACTGAGTAAGAAAAAGTTGAAATAAAAATTAAATATCTATTTATTCTTCTATGACCTTGATACTCTGTTACTTTTTTTTGTATTCCTTTCATTGGTAAGTAAAAACATCTTTTTTAATCGTGTTAAATATTCAGTTCGCCAGTTAGAATTAAGACTCATACATAGCATAGAAATAAATAAACTGTAGTTGATTATATTAATATATATATCTATTTTGTTTCTTTTTCTTTCTCAATGCGTCAGTTGATTTTGTATTAGAAATTAGTTTTATTTTACTATGATCAATATTGATAAATAAGAGAATAAGCGTTATTTACATTTTTCATAAAAATATTCATTACACATCTCTTTCACTCCTATTTTATTTTAATATTGTATGAAACTATTTTTTTCTTCTTTGTAGTTCAATTATTCTTTTTTCAGAAAATGTTTCAAATCTATCGGACTTCGATCAATCATTAATTATTTTAAGAGAAAAACAAATAAACAATGTTTGATTTTATTCATTTTTGGTCTTTTACATTATTTACTGTATATAAAGAATTTTATTTTTATCCTATTCAACATACACATGAAAATATTCAAAGTCTTCAATTAATTAACGAATTACGTAATCGTACTCGTTGGTTTCCTGGTATAGTTGGTTCACTAGTACTACTTATAATAGCTATTATTCGTAAGCAGTTAGCATTGGATCGTATATTCGAATTAATTGCTTTATGTTCTATTGTAATATGTAGTTCGGGTAAATATCGATTATATTTCATTTTATTGATTGCAATGATTTCACTTGGATTTGAAATTATTCAACATAATAATGATTGTAAATTAATTGCAATATTACATGCTCAAACAATGTTTATGTTACATATATATTTAACTTCTGTTAGAATGGACGTTTGGTGGTTATTTTTAAGGACAAGAACTAGATCAGAAATACTTCGTGCGAAGCGTTTTTTTCATTTATTATATGAGGTTTGTTTAATTTTCTTTTGTATATATCATATTACAAATAATACTAAATATAATACTTTTCTCTTAAATGTGACTCATTTTCAGTTGGACTTTATAACCTAAAATATTTTATTGATCTTTATTTACAGGCTCGTACGAATTCTTCAATTATAGTATTCTTCTTTCTTCAACAAGCATTGGTTTTTTATGTATGGCATTTAGACATAGTTAAATCCTATTTAATATTTAGTTTTACATGGTCAATAATTATTACATATAATATGGCAATTGTATGGAATTATTTCTTTTGCAAAAATCCAAATCACTTAGTACTAATACCATTTTTAAAAAATGAATTTCCAGACGATCATCCGTTATGGGGGCAATTAGTTACTATTTTACATTTGACATTAGTTATTTCTCTTTTTGTTATCCTACTTGTTCTATAAATAGCTATGCAATATATTTTTTCATTTACTATTTACAAGACTAACTCACTGTTTTTTAGAAGTCATAAGCAAACATTTTAACATTTATAATACAGATTTAATAGCAATAGGAAATGTTCTATTAATTAAACTTATATCTTTACAATAGCAGATATATATATCAATATAATTCTCGCAATGAAAATGTTTGTGTTGTCAGTAAAATAAAACTTATATCTTATCATATGATTATTTTCACGCATGATTAAAATTAGTAGCTTGAAAAAAACTACTGCATCCTGGCGAAAATATTGTATAAGCCGGAAGAAACGCGCAAAAATCTACTCAGAACGAAAACAGTCGATAAGTGGAAGGTTAAGGATATAGTCATTGATAATTTCTTTTCATTCTTCCATGTTATGGTTTAAGCAGATTAGTAGATTTTATGTACAAATGGAACTTAAAGGTTAAAATAATCAACTATGTTGATTAATTATTGATTTGTACCACGAATTTTTAATGGAATATATTCAACGACAAAGAAGAATCATTATATTTAAAAAACTTGATGGTATTAATCAGTTTATTCAAAGCAATATGATCTATGTATGAGCAGTATTACTCTGAGAGTATGATCACAGTTTAGGATATCAATCTGAAACTGAGCTTACATAAAGACTCTCTCGAAGATACATTCCGGAATATAATTCTATAAAAATATTCATGAATCAGAGTTATTGAAATAATATTATCGTATTAATCTATCAATATTAATCCAAGAAAAAAAACAGATATTTCTCTCTAGTAATCATATAATTTCTATAACAGAGTCGACCAAGTAAATCTACCAGATACCTCAAAATTTAATTTATAACCGGCATAATACTTTTATATCTATCATTTTGAAATCTATTGATCGTTTTTTGTGTAATTTCGAGGGAAAAAAATAATTAGTTAATTTTTAATTTTATAAGTTCCTGTATATTGTTTGCATACACAAGTATCATGTGAGAGTAACATGCAATTATGAAAGATCACGTAATAAATATGAATGGTATTTACAAGAGCAAAAGTTTAAAATAGATAATAAACTCTCAATCAATTTCAATTATATAAAAAACATGTAAACGTGCTTTTTTTCTCTCATTCAGGAGTGAGCATAAAGTCAAACGATATACTATATTAAATAACATTTCTATAATTGATTATTGTTAAATAGAGATTAGAATAAAACAATCGTTATGATCAATACATCAACAGAAAGTATAATACGTACGACTAGCTTTAATCAGTAAGTTCAATTACGAATCATCTTAAAAAATAACATATCATTCTATTAATATTATTAGACCATCATCGAAACAAAAGCGACTTCCAATATTATTATCGATACTTTTTGGTATTATCGCCGGTCTTTTTCTTATTGTCGTAATTATACTAGCTATATTATTTGGTCATGAAAAAAATAAAACAATCAGGTATTCAACAACACCAGGTAAATATTAGAAAATAATTTTTATCAAAAAAATTTGAATAAATATACAATAGTAGAAATACCAGTTAATGGTACAAATGATTTATGTTTAAGTCCATATTGTATCAAAGCAGGTAAATATATCTTTTCATATTACATATTTATTCTTCTTCTTCTTCTCTTTTAGCCAATTATTTTCTTGACAGTATCGATGAAAGTGTTGATCCATGTGAAAATTTTTATCAATTTTCATGTGGGAATTGGATTAAAAATGCTAAAATACCAGAAGATGGTATAATATATATGATTTAAAATTCTCAAATTATTTCGATATATTTGATTTTTAGCGAATTCTCATAATACATTTGAAATAATGCAACTTGAAGTAAATAATGATATTATTGGTAAGAACTATTAAACATTATTTTTTTGTTATTCTATTCATCGATTTTTTTATAGATCTTCTTTCATCACCGGTATCAAATGAAACTATAGAACCTAATGCAATTGGTAATGCTCGAAGATTATTTTCATCATGTATTAATGAAGAAGCTATTGAAGAAGAAGGCATTGATGTAATACTTTCATTTATCAATACAGAATTAGGTGGTTGGCCTATTTTACAAGGATCAACATGGGATTCATCTACATTTGATCTTACTAATTTATTAACTAAACTTGGTCAATATAACGTATTTACATTGTATTATGTCGGAACTTATCCTGACGAAAAAAATTCATCAAGTTATTGTATTTATGTTAGTAGATTATGAAAATTTTCTGTTAATATTTACTATTAAATATATATTTTAGATGGGTCAAGGTAGTCTTGGTTTATCAGATCGTAGTTATTATATTAATGAAACTGGAATTACACAAGCCTATCGACAATATATGAAAAATATCGCTTTAGCATTGACTAATGATACATCAATAATTGATAATGATATTAATGATATATTTGAATTTGAAAAAACAATTTCTCAAGTATATCCGATTTTTATATTCAGACATATATTTTTTTTGAATGAATTTGTGTTCTATAGTATTTCTGGACACCAGCTGAACAATATGATCAAATACAAGATCGTACAAATTTTAGTAATCTCTCTTCTACAATGAATACAACTGTAAGGTCTTGCATATATATATATATTTCTCTTTTATGTATTTATATAGTTTAATTTTACTGATTATCTTCAACGTATTTATCGTTTTGGAAATGTAAGTCTTATCGATACAGATATTGTTACATTGACTGAATTAGCAATGTTACGTAATGTTTCAATGATTATTGATCAACAATCATCACGTACTATACAAAATTATTTAATATGGCGATTTATGATGAATATGATAGAATCTATGCCGAAAAAATTTCGAAATATTAAACAAGAATTTAAAAAAATATATGACGGCATTACTAGTCAAAAACCACGTTCAATAAAATGTGCTACTTTTGTTACTAGAAATATGGGTCTTGCTGTATCGAAACTTTATATAGGGAAACATTTTGATAAAACTGCTCATAAAGAAGTAATGAAATTGTTTTTAATTAATAAAATAATTTCTTTTTCTTCTTTCTTGCATAGTCAACTGAAATGATTCAATATATTCGAAGTATTTTTACTGATATGATTAATCAATCGATATGGATGGATTCTATTTCAAAAAATGTAGCTATAGAGAAAGTAAGTGTAATTCATCTAATCAAAAAAAACAATTCTTTCATTTATAATATAGATTCGAGTAATGAGTCAACGAATTGGTTATCCTGATGGTTTAGATAGTGATAATATAACGGATCTTGAAAAAATATATGAAGAGGTATATAATAGAGAAAAACAAATATTTTTATCTGTATTCTAATTATAGTATAATTTTAATTCATCTTATATACAAAATGTCTTCACTATAATTCGACTAGCTGCAAAACATAAATTTCAAATATTACGTGAACCTATTAATCGAAAAGCTTGGACATATCTCAATCCAACTGATGTCAATGCAAACTATCGTCCATGGTTCAATGATATAAGTGAGACAAAAAAAATAATTCATTGAGATCTTTAAGTGGTGTTATATAAAGGCATGCAATACATGATTGAATCATGAATGTTTTTTTTTGGCTTGAGAATGTGAATAGAAATCAACGAGAGAATAACAAAGCCATAAGCTATGAAGTTAATTGTTTCTCTTTTGTTGTGAATGTACGAATATAACTGAGAAATATATCTTCTCACCACAAGCATTATTACTAAGAAGTATTTCATGTAACAATTTTTTTAGTATTAGTTAGTTTCATGAAACTATTTCAAGGACGGAGGGTTTTTTATGATGTTTTTTTATTTTCAGCTCTCACGGCTGCCATTCTTCGATCACCATTTTTCAATAAAGACGCACCCAAGTATGAAATTCTTTTTATATTTTAAAAATTCTTTCTTTTTATTTTAGATATTTGAATTATGGTGGTAAGTCTTAATTTTTTCGATTAAAGCAAAGGCAAAAAAATAAATATATAATCTAGGTATTGGAATGGTTATAGGACATGAATTTACACATGGATTTGATAGTATTGGTCGACAATTTGATAAAGATGGAAATAGAATTCCTTGGTGGACTAATGAAACAATTAATGCATTTAATGAACAAAAGAAATGTGTTATTGAACAATATAATAATTATACAGTAGCTCAAATAGATATGAAGGTTATAATTTATATCGTAAATTTTTCAAAAAATAGATTATTTTTATTATTTAGATCAATGGTGAACAAACTCAAGACGAAAATATTGCTGATAATGGTGGATTGAAAGAGGCTTTTTTAGTATGTAATATTATTCTTGATTCTAAATTTAATTTTTATACTTTAAAGGCTTATGAAAAATGGGCTCAAACTAATCCAAATATTGATAAAAAATTACCAGGTTTAGCTAAATATTCAGCTGAACAAATGTTCTTTCTTAATTTTGGTAAAATATGGTGTTCAAAATCCAAAGATCAATCTGAAAAAAATGATTTATTGATTAATGTACATTCACCTGGTGAATTCAGGTTGATTCTTATTATAAAATTAGTTTTTATTTTATTAAAACTAGTCTTTTTTTTAATAGAGTCATTGGTTCAATATCAAATTTAGTTGAATTTGATCGAGTATTTGGATGTAAACCAGGTCAAGGAAATAGTCGAATAAATAAATGTTTAGTATGGTAACATTATTCTATAAGATTTCTATTAGAAAATAAAATTAGAGATTATTATTAATTTTTTATTCGAAAAGTTATTTAGTTAACAATTAACAAACAATGCTTTCTATCATACAGAAATTATGAATGATGATAAAAGTTAGAAGGGTGTGGGGAGGGTGTTTCTTTTTTAAACCACGCCTTCATTCAATTTTATTGTTATGATCGTAGTCCAAATATAATTCGGTAGCATAGAAAAAAAGAGTATTTTTCTCTGTCAGGCTATATGGAAAGAAAGTTTCTTGAAATTTGTTGCAAAGAATTAAAGCATCACTGCTACTACTTTTGTATATCTTTAAGTATAATCGTGCATTGCATCTGATTTATTCAATTAAACAATATGTATGTTTTACAATTGATACGTAAAAATTCAAAATGTAGCATGAGTATGAACTAGAGAATCAAAAGGCCACTTTTTTCATCATCAAGTAGATATTTGAGCTCATCTGAAAGTGTTGTAAGTGATCTGCATTGGCTTGCAAACGCATAAGAAGACCTCCAAAGGAAACATATACGCACAAAGTCGTACTATGCGTTGTAGCGTCATCATCATCATCAAGGATTGGTCCAGTATTATTTGCTTCTACATGGGTAGAATGGGAAACAACTGTCGTTCTTCGATCATCTTCAATTCGATATACTTGTCCATACATAACATAATCAAATTGATCAGCTCGTGAACGTTTTGCTTCGATATTCGGATCGTATTCACCTGTATCAGATGTTCCATCCTCATAAAGAGTAGTACATAATAAGAAACGGAATTTGTCTCCAATAGACATTGGATAAACTTGGGTGTTAACATCAAGAATCAAAGCCATCTTGAATAATTCAGATTCACAGAATAGCCTCGAAACATGTTGAAAATACTTCTTCTTTCTCTGTCTTTGAGTTTCTTTTTCTGGAGTATCAATATTCAGATCTTTTACTTGAAAAATATCTTCCAAGAGGATACAATTGTTTTCCATGTGTTCCTAATTAATCAAATCAAAAATTATATCATCATCCTGTTTGCATATAAATCAACTGAACGTTGATCTTCTCTTTATAGATAAAACTGAACTATCGGATGTCTCAAAAGTCCCTTTCACCTAAGTTTTTATTCGCCCGAATACTCTTCCATACTAGCCTGTAAAAACCATCGCTTTTGATTGAAATACAAAAATATTATGCATCCTTTTTTCCTTTAACTATTTTAGCATCTAGTAGTAGTTTTCTGTAAATTACTGTATCGAAGAACAAAGTTTAATTGACTCTTTCAAATTAGTTGCACTTCGGAAAGAAAATAATACTTCGACAGGTTAGTATGGAAAACTATTCGAATAAGTAAAACCTTGGTATATTGACCTTTATTTTAAAAAGAAAGTTTTCGAAATAAAGTTAAATGGAGTACGAACAATATAGAATTTTCGAGAAAAAAGTTTCCATCTAATTCTCCTGAAAAGGTTTTTAAAATTTAAGATTGTGTTGATGTAATTTTGAATATTCGAACGAATGTCACAACTTACCACGATAAAAAAAAGCAATTGAATGTAAAAATTCATCCTTCCTTTTCGTTTTATACAGACATTACGTGAGTTAAAGTATTGCAACATAATAATCAAAAGCGAAGTCATTCTTTCCCTGTCTGAGACGTAGAAAAAACCCTGTACAGCCTATTTCATTAAATAACTATGTCGCAATTACGGGTATTCGTCATGGATTTATACACTTTCGACTTTCAACAGTAAACTTATCGATAGTGCAATAATATTATAAATCAAGTGCAGTTACCGACCAAATAATGTAGAAATGCGTATATTGTGCTTCGTATGTTTCCTTGTGATTCTGTTTTATATTTATAGTTTACGAAATCACATGATTTTTTCCCATCTACATTTGTTTACGTGAATCATGTTATGCATAATATATTTATTGCTATTACATCAATATATACATCATTATGCGTATTACGTGTTCTCCATTCTCTTTCTCTATATTTGCTTTTGTTTACATTTGGTATTCTTACGATGAACGGTGAGTCTAAGTGATGGGTATGAAGGTATGGGTCTGGATGTTGGCAGTGTGGATGCTGGTGTGAGTATGAGAAAGATACATTCAGACCCATCCATCCAACCCATACACACCTTCAAGATCTGTGATAAAACCATAACATATTTTTATTGATATATTTCAACAAAACTAATTATTTATTTAACAATTCTGCTTATTTGAAAAATTAAAAAAAAAAGAACACAAAATTATGGTGTATTAAGAATCATTTAATGTCGTCATTAACTTTTGTATGATCCCCTCTATATTGTGATTTTCCTCTTACATGTTTTAGTAATGCACTGTAACAAGAGAATATAGTAGGTAGTTGTAAGTGTTTTATTCATCTCAGATTATCTCAGCATATAGTCACACGCACATTCTCAAGATCTTTTATTATTCGATTCATTTTGAAGAAGAATTGTCATTATTATAACATATTCTATTATTTTTATATAGTCCACAGAAAAATCACTGAAAATGGCTCGGAATGTCGAAATAGTTTTTCTTCTTGGTATTGACTCAAAGGTAGTTCGATACAACAACATTAGTATTTCATTTGTTTTGATTCATTGAAGTTTTATGTATACAATACCTGTTAAGTTTGCATGTTTGTCAGTGGTTGCAAATGCTAATCGTATCGGAGGAACTTTTGGATAGATCATCTCCCATCTTGAGGGTGCGGATATGAAATGAATAAAAATATTCACGCCCACATCCTTCAAGATGGCGTGAGGTTGCCTTAAGTGAAAGTGGTCGTTAGTGTGTTCATCTGCGCAAGTTTGAATGAGAATGATATTTTCACAAAACTTTAATATGCGTCCACACAAGACATCTAATATCAATATAAATAATACACATCATTACAATTACTTTTAGCATTGTCTTATACAAATCTAGTAGAGCTGGGAAAGTTGTTTTGATCACAGTCATATTGACCAAAAAGATGAGAACGAACAGAACTGTGATCCATTTAATTATCCATTTGATTAGAGGAAAGATTGGCCAGACGATAAGAAAATAGAATGAATGTGATCCGCCTTTCGATTGATGATGTACACAATTCATTTGACATACACCTGCGGATTGACAGCAACCATCATCTTTCAACATTGTTTCATAGTTGTAGCATGATAATTGTTTTATATGTGTCAATTCGTAATAACATGGTCGGGCAAACGGCTGAATATGACAGGATGACTTTGTGACGACCGTCGGATAAACAGCCGATATGCTTGATGCTAGCCAGCCAAAACTGGACCATTCAGTAATGTATATATGACGGCATTTTGATAATAGCCAAAGTTCGACAATTGCATGTTGAACATTCGAACATCGATCGGTATCGGCCAATGTATCCAATGACCATACTTTAGTATTATTCAATGATACATGTGATTTGATGTACATTTTATACGGTTCATGATCAGAGACAACTAGCCAAGTCTCATTCTCTAATCTTCGTTCATTTAATACACATTCTAAAAAAACATTCAAGTTCGATTGTGATGATCAAGATGAGGAAAGATAATGATACAATTTTATTCAACGAGAGAGGATCCCAAGTATCAATGACTATGTTTGATAAGATTAATAGCAGTCTGCTCAGCTCGATTAGTTAATCAGAATGAACCAGTCTTTCCCATAGACTATTCTTGATGAGTAATGTCAATCTTAATTTTAGAAAAATTACTATAAACTGGTACTAACCTAATTTAGAATCAATCGAATGAATATCAATCATAAAGAAGAAAAGAAAACAAATTTTCGCACACTATCTTCTTGAGATCGTATAAGACGATCTCGTCGTGTGTGTTTGGTAGATAAGATTTTCTTCTAGAAAAATCTCTTTTCAATCATTTTGATGAAAAAATCATAGTGTAGTTACCTACAAGAATTAGATATTCACGTACTCAAGAATATTTCTTCTCCGTTGATTGGAATTTGTCTGAGACCATTTTTTCGCATCTGTATACCTCGATGGCATTGTCCAATCTTCAAAGTATGATTTTCTATTTCATCACGCAATTGTCTGATCGGTACGAACAAGTAATGAACAAAACTTTGAAATAGATCATCTTCACTGACATTATGAAATAGTGTTTTACTATAACTGGGATTTTTCATTAGGACAGTCATGAAATATTCATCAGTCATGAGAAATAAAAATTGCTTTTGTTGTTTGAATAGTGTCAGATTTGAATGACAGAGAAGTTCATCGAAGGGACCGTGAAAATGAAGTAAATCACTATTGGTCAGAATATGATTTTTCGTATATCGACTGAATAAATGCAATAGGAATGACGATTGGGGTTCGAATAACTGATGATATTGACATGAACTCAGTGTAGTGACTGGCCAATGAATGACTAAACGTCGATGCATTAGTATGGCCATTAGAAATGCACTCACAATAGATTGAACACGGTTGCCAAGACCAGTGTCACAACTGACAATCAAATATTGATCGATATCCTGAGTAAGATAATCGTCAATGAATCGTGTCAGATGTTCTGGAAGACGAGACGACTGAAATCGTTTGTGATCAGTTCTATTGATCGATTGGATATTTTGTAGAGATGGCAATATTTTATCAATATCTTTTTTTCGATTGAATAAATACTGACGATAGAAATGTGTAGAAAAAAATGTAAGGAAAACAACAGAGAGAAGAATACACCACCAAATAAATTTCGTTAATTTTGATCGTATCATTTTTCTTAACGTTAGTTTTTCACAAATAAACCTGATTTCTTTAACGTATGTATTATTTCTCAGTTACGTAATCGTCGTCAACCAGTGAGACTAAAAGACAAGATTGATTTTCAAGTCTGAAAACTGTAAGAAATCTATAAATAATCAAAACAACGTGATATATTAAACGAAGATTGGGGAGTTTTTTTTTATATATTTAATTAAACTAATCTCATTTTCATTTCATTTACACGTTGTATTCGATCCTACTGACTATCAGAAAATCAAATTCCCCATCAATTCATTATCTATAGTATTTACTAATCCACCTGAATTATGATCCCAATCATCTGTACTGAGTGTGGGTAAAAGGAGAATCAACACATGTACACTCAGCTCTAACGAATACTTCCTTCTGTATGAATAATTCAGAGACGAGAAGTGATCTCAAAAATTGATTATCTCGAAGGGTGATTATTTATTTAAACAGAAGGTTAAAAACATTCGCTTAACTATGGAACTTTCTTTGATAGAATAATTCAAAATTCAAAGTAAGTCAGTTAATTTTCTTTTTAAAATACAGAAGAACGACAGAAATCTAAGAATAATCAGTTGAAATTATATATCAGTGTGTTCGTGTAGAAGTTTCACTGTAGTATTAATCGTAAGTTAAATAAAACCAGAAAGAGATCAATAGTTCTAACACTATCTAACAAAATTTCACATCTAACACGGCTGTGGGTGAAATCAATTCAGTTTAAATATTATATCTATAGCTTTATACTTCTCATATTAATACTTCATGTAGCAAAAGGCAATCTATCTACATACTGTTCTCTTCCACTTGTTCTGTCAAAAATCGCGTTTCATTGACAACTGATTCCAATCTAATCGAAAAAAAGCATCAGAACTGGTATAGTGAAATAAAAATAAAAGAATACGGCTGTATATACTATTCTCACAATTTTTTCTTTCTTTAACTGTTGTCACTGTGTTGATTTTGCTCTGTTGTCCTTCGTCAGTGCTCGCTGATATATGCGATGAAGAAATGAGATGACAGAGACAGTTATATGCGCAATGTTTGTGCCGACAGGCACGATTTCTATACAATTCTTAATTCTTCAAAGATATTATCCTTGTGCGATATAATAATCGTCATTGAAGGAGAATCGCGTTCATTTTATATTGTAATATCTTTCTTATCTCTTTGTGTTATAACCTCGATCATTATATGTGCATATAATATTCTCTTCTGTTCTCTTCTCTTCTTCTCAAGCGTAGCGAGCAACGTATTATATCTCATATATATGTATGTGTAAAAGAAAAGAATAGGTAGATTTGGAAGAATGAAGTAGTGTGTGTAACATCGTTTATATACCGAAGATAGCGGTAACGCTACTCTTCCAATTTCTCTTTGTGATCAAAAATAAAATAAAGTCTGCAGCACAAGTAACGAATTATTCTATCTATATTATTATCAACTCTGAAATTCGTTACAATGTTGATAAGAATATAATACTGATAAATACTGAAATACAGAAAAGAACGATGATGAGAATAGTATATAATCTGTAGATGCACAAATATGTGAATGTATATTGACTTCAGTATTTGCATAAGAAATGAAAAATAGCTTTACCAACTTTTATTTGTGATACTGCTTCAAGAGATTTTTTTTATTCTGCTCTGTTGTATAAATTATGAATATGATACAATAATCGTCATTAAAAGGATGTTGCTCTCGTTTTGTATTGTTATATCTTTCTCGTCTCTTTGTGGTGTAACCTCGACTATTTTATGTCTATGTTCTTATCGTCTCTTCTGTTCTCTTGTGTATAATCGAGTAATTTAATGAAAGAATAAAACAACTTGAAAATGGAGTAGTGAAGTTAACATCATATGTAGAGGATAGAGATAACACTATACTTCATCAGTTTATCATCGTGATCACAATAAAGATAATGCTGCAGCTATAATAAAACATCTCTAGTTCTCTTCATAAGTTCGTTACAATGTGCACCGAAGTCAATCATTACAACACAAGTAAGATATTGACATCGTTCAAATTTTGGTTTTCTTCTAAAATAGTGTTACTAGAGAAGACATTGTCCCACAAATATGTGTTGCTCATCTAACCCTAATTCAACATCTGATTCCGTGTATGGATCAAACTCCTGAACAACCACTAGTGTTCTTACTAATCATAGAACTATTCAATTTGCACACGTTAACTACTACTACTACACACACACAATGAAAAGTAACTCTTGGTTTTTTATACTTTAATATAATATTGTTGTCTATCATTTCAGTGAATTGCAAGAAACGGGACGCGAACGTTTCATTCGAAACAAGGTAGAGAAAGAAAGTAAGACGCACCACTTCAAATAAGTATTTCCATCATTCAGATGATCATCAGAGGTTTATTTGTTTTTTTTCGTTTTCAATAAACAGAAAAGACAGATGTTCTAGACTACAACTACATCATATTTATTTTAATTAATAAGGATAACATGGTGAACAGAAAAAATCTTATCGTTTTGAGATTAGCAACCATTCCGACGTGATTCTTTGTTTCCTTTGTGTTCAACACAATTACCACATGTTCGGTCTCAATTGCATTCCATATTGGAGTAGCATAATTCTCATATTGAATGCTTCTGAGTAATTCCTGCTTTTTGCGTATAACACCATCAGTCGCCAGCTACCACCTTCTCCATCATCATTTCGAAAAGAAAGAGAAATTAGTTAATTTGAACAATTCTGTCTGTCACAATGAAAGCAAAATGATACTTACGTTTGTACGCGTTAATAAGGATGTTAACCAAGAGACAGTTGAAGCTAATTTTATACATGTCTATATATATGGGTTTTTTCGGAGTGACGCAAGAAAACAAAGAAGAAATATCAAACAAATTAAATAGCCTACTTTATTGAATCGTTATTGCGCATTTTTACGACGCATGGGAGTCGAGTAACATGTTCAACTAGTCGTTATTATTATGTTTCTTGTATTCTGTCTGATTGACCTCACATTAACCTACCTATCTTTGACGTTTTCTCTTTATCGTATTATTATTAAGTTAAAAAAAGTTTTTATATAAAAAAAGTGGAACATATGGTTATCTTAGTAAGGAAGTAGAATTCTTATAAAATAGATCGATATCACACTAAGGAGGATGCAAGCGAAAAGGAAACTGTCATCTACATGCACCGTCAAAGATCAAGAAATGTCGTTTAATCATGAATATTTTCGTTTTGTTAGTGGCGCTTAGTTGGTGATCGAACTGGTGTTTTCAAGGGACCGTTTTCTGAAAGAACGATTGGTGTTAGTACACCATTCTTTAATAAATTTGCTTTTCCTAACCAACAGTAATCTGTTCCATTTGGCCCATGTATTTGAACACCAGTAAATAAAGCATATTGACGATCTTTAAAGTTTTTTGCATCCTCTCGAACATGTCTTTCTAAATCACTTGTAATCGTTTTATAAGCAGCCATTGTTACTTTGAGTAAATCTGGAGCATTTTTAGGATCAGTAGAAAGGCCAGTTTGCTTAACAATATGTCTTCTTAACATACTCATCTCGATATCACTTTCATCGATATCAAGATTCAATTTATTTGCAGCAATTTCGGCTGTAAAAGCAGCAAGAGCTCCACATGCTGTTGTTTTTTCATGCATACCACTGCGTGTTCTATAAACAGAACCTATTGATCCTTCGTGATCAATAGCAATATGAGTAAAGCAATAATAAATAAAACGACCATTATCCGGAGCATGATGATGTGCAGCAGCGAAACCAGTTTTACCGCAAAATAACATACCAGCAAGAGAACCACAAATGAATCCTTGTCCCCACATGTTTTCAATTGCTTCTTCAAGAGGACTTGTAATTTCGTCACGACATAAACCAACACAAACCAAAGTATTGACATGAGGATAGAAACCTTCTGGAACTAAAGTTTGCTTTGTTTGAAAAACAAAATCTTCTAACCCATAAGCACCAGGAAATACTCGTTGTAAAGTACTTTGAAAAGCATCACCACCACTTTTATTTGATCTTATAACTTGATGACATTGAGAACAGGTAGCACCAGAATTATTAGATTGAATTGGTGGACTAATTAAAGAAGGACGATCTCGAGAAGACGTAAGAATATGATTCGTTTGTCGTGTTTTTGAAGAACTTGAGGTCATTTTATCTACAACGAAATAAAATACAATTGTCAACAATATAATACCAAAGAAAAAAATTTGCAATACTTTGCCTCTCACGTTTAAAATATATATATTGAATGAAAATATGTGCTTTCACTCGATATTTTGTTATTAAAATCATCGAAATATTATAAACTACATCAGATTTATAGGAAAGAATAAAACTAACTTTTACGTCGTTATAACGAAGAACAGTAACGCTATTCGAATAGTTAAGAAAGAAGAATATATGATCCCTTTATTTTCGATAGAAACTTGCTGATATAGGATGAAGTCAATGTCACTATAGTACGTCAATTATCAATACTTGTAGTAAATAAATTTTAATGCATGATGAATTGATGGAGTTGTGATATTATCTGAGAAATGTTGTCAAGTCAAACAATGGAATAAGAATATTTTTGTTTTGTGTATTATACGCACACATTCTTACACAACTGTAAAGTCATAGTAACGCATAATAAGAAAGAATGGAGACGAATAAAAAGAACTATACATACTTGATGTTATTTTACTTTCTTTCAGCTGTTGTCATGACTGCTACGTCATCGAAGAGAACGTGTTGTTGTGTCCTTGTTTATATTAGTAACCGATGATGGCAAAATATTTTAATAATAAACTAAAAGAAGAAGGACAGAAAGAAAATCGTTATGTATACATACCATAACACCCTCAACTAGCAGATGTTTGTTGATTAGAAATATGTAAAATGTGTTTGATTAAACAATAGTGAGTGAATGTGCAAAAGGTGTATTACAGATTGAAATAAATAAGAAAATTTTTATTCAATTCAATTTAACGAAATATTTTATAAAAAAAACGTCTTTTTCTATTTAAAATCAAAACTTCAGTATAAAATAAACTGCATAACTATGATCATTCGTAAGCTACATTGAATAAGTTTTCAGATGGTAATCAAACATAAATTAAGTTGAAAAATTGAAAACTTCTTTTAGTGTAAGATTTTCGTCATACTCTTAATTAAATGATTTTTCAGATTATTTATCTATAGAAAAATATTCAAGTTTTACATCATCAAAACCAAAGAAGATATTAAAAAAATACTACGAAAATAGTACATTGTTAAAAATAAATGCTGAAAACTTTGAGTGTTATGAATTGCGTCTAAGTCATAAATAAATTTAGAATCATTGATGAGGAAATTAATACATCAGAAAATGCATTTCACAAGGACTGAAGTGTGCTTGACAAATTTTTTTATTAGTTGTGTCAGACAATGAAAGAAAGTAATGTTACCAATATTTTTGACATCAATCTTCGAATGTTACTTCCTTTGTAGCGTGCATACAAAATGCCACTCTTCTTCAACATCTGGTAGAAAACGCATTAAAATCTTGTTTATTCATATGTCAATAGTGAGAATAATAAGAATGTATAGGATGAAATACATACAGTTTCTCTTGAATAATAGTTTGAAAACTAATTTTCAAAGATCGTGAAGTTAAAAAGAAAATTCTTTATATATATATATATATATATGATCATGAATGTCTTAATTTAATTAATAAATTGATTTATTTTACGAATATATTAAGTCTGAATAAAATGAGATAATCGTTCATAAATGTATTTATACATATTAACTATGCTGATATTCCATTAACTGTCTTATTATGATAAAGTAGAATATAAATTATAAAACAAATATTTTAGTAAATCTACTACAAAACTATTATTTCTTTCTCTAAACTACTTGAAAATGAAATGAGATGAACTATTCACAAACAATAAAATATGAAAAATATCTTTCAGAAAAACTATATCAATACGGTTTAAACAATAGCTGTGATAACATCAAGAGAAATATCTTTGCTAACACAGATATGAATCCGTATGACATACTATAAATGAAAGATTCAGATTCTGATCTTAAAGTCAAAGTTGAACAACTTCATACTTTGTAGAATAAATTAATATGAACAAGAAAAAGTAGATCTGTGTATAGTTTTACCTTGATATTTCAAGAAAACTTCTCGATAGATATTCTATATTAATGAATTTGATATTATTGGAATAGTTTGAATCAATTAATTCAAGTTCAAGACTCACAAGGAAATATTATGTAGAAATCATATTGTTATCTATTCTCTTTCGTTAAAATACATACTATCGTAAAAATAAGGGATGTTGAATGCCAGTATTTTGCTTAACTCATAAATATTAGTATTCTCATTCTCATTACGTCATATATCTGATATGATTATAGATTTTGTTTTAGTTTATCTGTTATTGTTATTTACAGACATATCCATCTATGTCACTCATGAGCTCATCTCAACGTCTTTTTGTAAATGAAATCTTTGAATGATCATATATTCTGAATCCGATGAATACTACCAAAACAATTGCATATTATGAGTAACTACAATGCAAAACCAAGAGAACATGTGAAAAGATAATTACAATTATCGTATCTATGATAAGTTTTGTTAATCATAATAAACTAATATATAAGAGTCAAAAAAGCAAAGATATTTATTTTTGTTTGGGATCGAATATTAAAGTAAATGATAATTCAGTAAAAATAGGGAAGGAAACAGTTCGCGGACGTCATAAAAAGAGAATTCTTCTAACTAAAGTATTATTTGGAATTTGAACTACTTGCAACAAAAAGGATAAAATAATTGAAAGTTAATTTGTTTGCAATAATTAATATAATTCTGCACTATTTAAAATACTGCTATTACCACCTCCACCAGTAACTAATACTTGTCCATTTAATAATAAAGATGCCTTATGATATATTCGTGCATTAGTCATGCTACCAGTAGTTGTCCAGATACCTGTTGATGGATCATACAGCTCACAACTATTTAAAATATTATCATCATTCGATCCACCAGTAACTAACACTTCTCCATTTGATAATGCAGATGCTGCGTGATAATATCGTGCATCAGTCATGGGACCAGTAATTGTCCAAGTACCTGTTGATGGATCATACAATTCAGCACTATTTAAAATAACATAGTTTGATCCACCAGTAACTAATACTTTTCCATTTGATAATACAGATGCTGTATGATAATATCGTGCATCATTAATGGTACCAGTAGTTGTCCAAGTACCTGTTGATGGATTATACAATTCAGCACTATTTAAAAAACCACTATTGCCATATCCACCAGTAACTAATACTATTCCATTTTGCAATATAGATGCTGTGTGCCAACTTCGTCCATTAGTCATGTAACCAGTAGTTGTCCAAGTGCTTGTTGATGAATCATACAGCTCAGCACTATTTAAATAAAAACCATTATTGTATCCACCAGTAACTAATACTTTTCCATTCCATAATACAGATGCTGTGTGCCAATATCGTACATTACTCATGTTACTAGTAGTTGTCCAAGTGCTTGTGGATGGATCATACAGCTCCGCACTATTTGAAATATTGTAATTAACATCGAGTCCACCAGTAACTAATACGTTTCCATTTGATAATACAGATGCTGTGTGATCTCGTCGTGCATTATCCATGCTACCAGTAGTTGTCCAAGTATCTGTGGAAGGATCATACAGCTCAGCACTGTTAAAAACACGAGCATTATATCCACCAGTAACTAATACTTTTCCATTTGCTAATACAGATGCTGAGTGAAAAAGTCGTGTGGTAGTCATATTGCCAGTAGAAAACCATTCTAGAAATTACATTTTTATATATTTAAGCAATACAACATTAGACAATCAAACACTCAACATTCATTATTCTTGTTCAGTATTTTTCATCTTTGAAAAAACGACAGTCTTTGACATGTCTGTTTTATATCACTAGAAACTTATATAGACCGAAAATACTAGTCAAACCTATTGCACAAAATCTCTTCACATATCATTATCACATCTTCACTTTTCTATATTTTCTATGTCCTCTCTTCTCTCAATCAAATATATAAAAGATGTTTGTCACAAACCGACCACTCTAATAATTACACTGACTGATGTGTTTTTCTATTCTACAAATTTTCCAAGCTATACTCTGGCCTCCGAATGCGAATTTTCGGAAAAATAGGAATCCTTAGAGGATTGTTTTTGACTAAAAAAGGATTTTCTATAAAAAGATGGCAAAAATATAGGTATGCATTATTTTTGACAAAACATATAATTTTGCTAGTTTTGATAGTCCATATTTTTCCTTTGATAGAATCAGCATAAACGATTACACCTTACTTACAGTCGTTCTGTAATTCTTTGCTATCAAAATAATCATTTAAATCAAATGGTGTTTGAAATTTCGATTATGACATGGTTTATTCACATTTCAGTAAATAACAAAAAAGCAAATCGTAAACTTTCAAAAATAAATAGCGAAAAAGCAAATAAATACTTTTCTTATAATTAAACTTGATAAATAAATAAATAAATAAATGCTCATTTAAATTTATACATGAACGCTTAGAAAATAAATATCAAATCGTACCTTCCATGTACCGAGTGAGACAAAAGTTTCGCAACACTTTTTATTTCATATATATCTCGGCTTGCGAAAGTGAGAAAATGTTAATTTTTTTTCAAAAGATGCGCCGTGAAAAATTCTACAAAATTGCATAAAGAAACTCCTACAAACTTGTTTTGTTGATTGTTTCTATACTCAAAATGAAAGAGCTCTATGATGACGCTATGTCCCATCGTAATAAAAGTGTTTGAAACTTTTTGTTGTCTTTCTTACATCTCGACTTTCACGAATGATGAAATTTTGATTTTTGTTATAAAAGATGCGCCTTGAAAAGCTCTACAAGAATTGCACAATCAAGCTCCTATTGACTAATTTAATGGTTCCTCTCATACTGAAAATGAGAAAGGTCTATGTTAGTGCTACTTCTCGCCGTCAAAAAGATGTTTGAAGGACTTTTTGTTTTGAAATGTGGAATGTTTTTGCGCAGCTGTTCTAGAGCTTTCCGTGGCGCATCTTTTGAAAAAAGAACCAAGATGCTATCATTTTTCCAATCGAGATATCTGCGAAACAAAAAGTGTTGCAAAAATTTTGCCTCACCCGGTATATGCCTCATGTATCTGCAAAAGCGTATTACAAAAATACCCGCATTTGTATACAAGTGAAACTGCGAAAAAAAGTTCAAAGGACACATGATTATTTTGTGTACATTAGTTTTATCTTTTTGACTATTGAATCATTAGAGAATTCGTGGAAGCTGTGAAAATACAAATAGTATTACGTACAATAGATATCGCCATTTGACGAGTATTAATTCAAAACGTTTATACGTGAGCATATATATATTCAATCTGTTTTTTTCTTATGTATAAAGGCTGATTTTATCAGTACTAACTAGCTTGTCAATGTGGAATTCGACTAATACTCTATGAATAATCTTTTATTTTCTCATATTTTTGTAAAATCAGTTACATTTCTCTTTTGTTCGATAAAATCTAGGTAAAATAGGAAAAGCAATCGAAATATAGGACAAATTAAAGAATTCTTCAAAAATATAGGATTTAGAGGAAAAAAAGGTCGAATCGCAGCCCAGAGCCTGGCTATATTCGAAAGATATCTAATAGAATGAAAGGTATGAACTTCTCTTCAACTTTTTCATGGTTCTTTGGATATCATAATCAAAATAATGAATTATTCATAACATTTTCTTTTCGATAATCTACACATAGGTATACAAAGGACTATATAACATTCATTTTATTGGATTTGATATAAAACATGAATTAATGGGAGCATGAGTAATTGATCTTGAAGTTTCTGATGATTCACTGTCAAATCATTGTTAGTTTTTCATTAATTTACATAAATCTACCTATATAGTTTCCTTTGACTCTATTCTCAGTTATATTTCATCTCTAATCAAATGCTTGACTTAAATTTATTAGCACAAAAAAACAATTTTTCATAAGTTCATCATTCACATATCTTTTTATGTAATGAGCACTACCATAGAAAAAACAAGCCTCTACAAATATTTCAAATATGAGATAAAAGATTAATCTAAAGATGAAGATAGTATTTAATGTCTATTTGTATAGTTCACTCGATCATCTCTTCAATCAATCAAGACAAGATAGATAAGATAGTTATCGATCACAGAACATTAATTTTAGATTCTCAATCAAAACTGATTCACCTTCACTCATACTCTGTTGCTAAATTATATCTCAGATGATTCATCTATTTTAAAATAAGAATAACGTTGATAATTAACATCATCGCTGAAATCGTATTTAACATAGCTATAAATTACTACTACTAGAACAACAACAGCATCAGAAAAGACAGGAATAAATAAAAATATGAAATCATGCAAAATATATATTTGAGTTGAGATGATCCTTCATGACGATTTGTATATTTAAATCTGTTCATGTATATTCTCCTGTTGTTTAATGCAACAAATATAAACACAAAAGTTTGTTGTATAGAGAAAATATGTCAACTCAAATACAAAAAACAAACAATATTAAATTATTATAAAACGATAAGCTCTTATTCTACCAACTAAACCATATACGAACTTATATTAATGTGTCATTCAATAACTAAATTAAAACTTCAACATACTTCAGTTCTTCATCTCTTGTTCGTTCCTCATGTTAGTTAACAAAGAATATAACACATCTATATTATTCTATCTATACATTATTCTTTACGACAAGGAAGGTATCATTCAACAGAGGTTTTATATACATAAATAATACTTTATCCATAACTATGACTAAAATGAATTGTTCTAGTTGAGTGTGATGAAATCGCAAATGTAAATAATATGTGTTCGTACCTGTTTTACACATGTATGTTGCTAAGAATGGTAAACATACTGCTTGTGATGAACAACATGAATTAATAACGCACACTGAACTATTTGATGAACATTTTTGTGTAATATTATTACATGTTTCTAATATTGAACATAAAATACCAGGTGCACAATAACTGATGTTATTTATTGTTCGATAATCAAAACAAGGTGTTGATGATGAACGACAATTATCATTATTAATATTAGTTAAGTTTACATTACATTGTTGTAAAGAACAATTTGATGTTGGATTTGAAGCTGAATGAGGTGATGAAGATAATGTAAACTGAATCGAAACATTATTTTCACTACAAGAATAATTAGATATTTGTGTAGTTTGACCTAGAGAATCCATTTATATTGTGATATAGAGTAAAATGAAAAAAGATAATCTAACAAACCTTTAACAGATGAAAGAGACATGATCAGAAATAAGGCAATGACAGGTGACATCATCTTTTATATGATCGACGAAAAAACAAAGTAGACAGTGACGAATGATTTTTCTTTGCTCTTTTTATCCCATTACTTCCTACATTTCTCTTTTAGTTGAAAAAGCATAAAACTGTTTCCTTCAACACTTGTTTGTGTTCTTGAAATTCGAAATACATTTCTTTTTTTTTGGTTTATTCACTCAAATTTATTCAAATATTTATTTTCTAAGTGTCCATTATAGAAGAAAATTTTTCTATGCCTGTCATTTTCATTTCGTTAAAGACTCTTCGCTTCTGTTCTTCCATAATAACTAAAATCATGACGTTTTTTCATTCGATATATAAAGTACCTGATCAATCATATAAAATTGTTCTATTGACAAAAGTAAAATAAAACATCACTTGAACAGATTCATGTTTATTTGATAATTTCTTTATAGGAATTCATTAATTACGCACAACTCTTCGAAGGTAAATAAGAGATTTCGTTAGGGTTTTAATATTCTTTTAATTGCTTTATGTTCTTATTTTTCATGTAACTTATTTTTTTGAAAAACGTTATTCTTATATAGAGTAAAAAATATTTTGGATAAAATTATCAAATATGAAATTATTTTAGCTAATGTTAGTAATTGAAGTTTCTAGAAAAGTAGTTTGTTTATTGTTGATTTTTAGACTTATTATTATAGAAAAATAAAGAATAATTCTTTATCTTAATATCTGGAAACAGCAAAATTCTAGTTTAAAAGAAGCAATTGTTCATTGGGTTCAGTTATAATTGATGAGATGAGAATTCATTTCAAAAAAAAGAACGAGAAATGATCTTCTAACAATGAACATTCATCTGTTATGAGTTTATTCTTGTAATTGTGTAAGGTATTATAAGAATTGTAAATATTGAAAAAGAGAGATGATTATTTGTTGTAAACGCTGTCTAAAATGTTTTTATCATTTTCTGATGTGTAGAGAAAAAATCACAAAAAATCCAATTTTATTCGATATTTTTGTGATTAAAAATCGATTAAAATGAGACGATTTTAAATCGATTTATAACCAGAAAAAAACTGATTAAAATCGTATTTGAAAAAAATTGTGATCGATTTTAATCACGATGGTTATGAAACGTGTTTTTCTTCAAGTGCAATTAGAAAGTCAGACTTCCAATGATTTTTTCGGACTTCTCGCGTTAACAGATGGTAGTTCTAACACTCAGTCGACCTTCGACACACTTGGAAACATGACATCAATTCATCGTTAATCGTGTAAACCAAACTGCCAATATATTAGATTAAAATCGCTTCATTTTAATCGAGTTTTAATGGCAAAAAAAATCGATAAAAATCGGATTTTTCTCGTCTTTTTTTATATGGGGACTTATGAACATAGGAAAAGAATAGAATCAAAGATAATTATGTATTTTATGAGTGTTTTTAAAAGATGTTGATTTGGAATGTGAATATAAATAAATGATGAATAGAATTCAAGATTTTGTTTATCTGCAACAAGAATATTGTTAAAACTATCGAATTCTCCATTTGCTTCTGTTATTATACAATGTATCAATTTCTATATTGAATTTTGTTGATAGAAACTATGAGAAAATCAAACAAATAGTATCTACAATATTATTGTGAGTGATAATTTAATTGAATATTTCTTTCAATATTACAAAAGAGATAATATTTTTTTTATCAATTTATTAATAAAAAAATCAGATTAAATCTCCATTTAATAAACTTCGTCGTTTTTGTTCTTCATCATAGTCATAATCATCTTCATCGTCATAGTCAGATTCATCTTCATCATCATCATCATCATAATCAGATTCATCTTCATCGTCATAGTCAGATTCATCTTCATCATCATCATCATCATAATCAGATTCATCTTCATCATCGTCATAGTCATATTCATCGTCATCAGTTTCATCATCAACTTCTTTAAAATCAAGATATACATCTAATTTTGATGCATTAATTTGAATCCATGAATTTACAGATTTACTAATCGCTTTGCACTTTATTACTGATAATTTTGAACATTCTTTTAATATTACTAATAAATCATCAACCTGTTTCATATAATCACATGTAAATTGTTCGATATTTGGAAATACTTGAGAAAATAATAGATTAATTTTATTTAAAAATAGTCTTTCATCGAAACATGTAGGAGAAAAAATCTCTAATTTTTTAATATTTTTATTTAAATAATTACGTAATTCAATAGTATCGAAAATCTTCATCAACTGATGTTCATCGATTTTTAGTGATGAAACATTCGGTAATTCTTTTAATAAATCTAGCAATAATGATGAAGTCAAATAAAATTGTCCATCAATTGTTAAATGTTTGATATTTGATAAATTAATAATTGTACGAAATAATTTGATTTCTGTTGATATTATATTTTTTTTATCTTTATCGTTATCATAGCTTTCATCTGAATGACGTTTTAATATTAATGATTCAACATTTTTGAAATAACATTTCCAATTCGTTGCAACTAGTCTTGGTGTTAAAGTTAATGTTTTAACATTATCAAATACATTCGAATTTTTCTTCCATAGATAACCATGTTTATTCGTATTACATGTTAATTCATAATTATCTTTTTCATATGGAATTGTAGAAATTGTTGAAGTATGAGTATAAATTTCTAAATTAGTATACCATTGATGTTGTTTATGCCAAAAATCATTTTGAAATTGTTGAAATTTGTTCAATTTTTCCATTAGATCTTCAGATTTCTTCTCTTGAAAATAGAATTTGAAAATAGTCAAATATTTTAATGAAGATTCAATAAGTTTTTGCCAATGAATACCATCAGACATATAGATATCACTCATAATAAATATTGAAAATATTTTTAAATTTGGCGTATATTTTAATAATAATATAAGATGTCCAAATATAACTTTACAATCATTTATAATAAATTCTTTTAAATAATTAGCATTTTTTTTCAATTCCTTGTAGTTATTCATCTCTGAATTTACTAATGTTTGAATATTTAAATATTTTAACATTGGTGCATATTCAAATAATTTAAATAACTGAAAATTATCGATCTTAGATTCAGTTATGGTCAATGATGTTATTCCTATTGTTTGATTAATAGATATTGATTCAAAATCCAAACGAGGTACTGTTAATATTCGTAACTTTGATTTTGATATTGAGGATATTATTTTTAATGTTTCAATATTTGTACCAGTAAATGAAAAAGAATATAAATTAGATAAAAATGGTAATATCGATAATAATTGTTTAATATTATTTTCCTTTAAATCAATTAAAGATAATGATCGAAGATTAAGAAATGTATTTAATGAAAATAAGGAAAGAAATTTTTCAATTTGACCATTTGTTCCATCATTTGATAATTGTAAATAGATAATTTTTTGTTTTATTTCAGGATTTAATAGAATGATTCGACAAAAATGATTGAATAAAGATTTTTTCATTTGAGAAAAATTTAAATATAATGAAGTATCTCGAATAAGTTTAGAAAAACGAAGATTTAATTGATCAAATGAATAAAATACATCTGGTATATTGAGATATTGAAAACATTGAAATAATATTTCATTTGGTAAAAATTCAAATTTCATTTTTATCGTCATGACTGTTTTTTTATTGTATATATGAAAAAACGATTTGAATAGAAAAGCAAGTGTTAACTTTATAACGTTGTAAATGGATAAAAAATGGTCTAGATCAAACTCGAATGTGGCATATGAATAGTCTATATTTGAATTCACTCGATAATACGCGAGGATTATTTTCGATAGGTGTCATACATAATCGAATAGTTTTTTTATTATGAAGTTTATCGATATATGAAGTACTCCATAGTTATTATAGTGCTAATCAAAGGAAAATAAAAACTGACTGTAAAATTATAGATAAAGTATATTTGAACAAAAGTGTATTGATTTTATTAGAAGAACATTCAGCGAATAATTAATCAATTATTTGTTTAACTATATGTCAAATCAAAGATAATAGATCAGTTAATATTATATTTAAAAGTCAGAATAATAATTTTTTTTATATATCCTTTAGTAAGTATGATTAATAACTCAGGATCTTAGACATCGAATTTTCTATTATTAAATTTCAAGCACATTAGATTCATATCTGCAGGGGCGGCGGAGCGTCATTAATCTAAGTGAGGCTCACAATATTTTTTTCTACTGTGGACTTTTATTAAAATATGAAGCAAAATATGAGTCTTCTTTTTATTAGACCTCAATGAAAACTATGACGGTCATCGTGCAAATAAAACAAATCAGGTCGTACAAAAAAATAACTTTTTCTGTTCGTTCTTCGATGCGAAAGTTGAACACAGACTTTTCTTTGTATATGTGTCAAAAAGAAAAATGGATGAATGTTTGGACGTTTTCCAGCCATTAAATACACTGTGAAGAGGATATCAATCAATCCAATCACTACTGAGCTAATATATTATTGCCGTAATAATATTACGGCAATAATATATATATATGTGTATATGTATATGCGCTTGAAAAACCCAAACGTTTTGGGAATAAAACATATAGACGAAATGAGAAAAAACTGAACATGCAGACAAGAAAACATGTAAGCAAAGAGGAAAAATACCTGAGTACCACATAGACAAGGGAAATATACAAGTAAAAGAAAAGAAAAACATATAAAAATAGATGAACCGCATTGAAAGATAGATACGTCAGAATATATATCTAGGTATGTTAGATGTCGAACATAACAAATTCTAATAATAAAAGATAATATTCAATCCGAAAATAAGTGAGGCTGAGCCTCAAGGGCTGAAAACTAAGTGAGGCTTAAGCCTCTTGAGCCTCCACACTCCGCCGCCACTGCATATCTGTATTCCATATCTAATCATTAGTAGATGAAGAATATTCATACTTTACAATTTTTTTATTTGTGTATATTAATTAGTTTCTAAAAGGACGAAAGTATTTTTTTAATTATTTAGTTATAAAACAAAATTAAAGTTAGATTATTTTTTTATTCCGTTATTTTCAATATCAAAATCAAATGTTTCATATTTTTCAAATACGCAGATTTACTAATTCTTTAAATATGGTGATATTTAAATCTTTCGATATTCGACAGAATGATAGATCGTTTTTTCATGCATTATTAATTGATAATTCCGTGAATAAATTTAACAATTTTATGAAAAAATTAAATTTTTTTATGTTAGTAATCTACCAACACGTCATATCAACCTTAATCATTCAATATTTCTAAAATATACTACTAAATATTCATATTCAAGTATAATTGAAGTTAATTTATATTTAATTCTTGTATATGGGATTGTATAAAATTGTTTAACTTCACTCAATTTTGTATTAAAACTTTCCGAATGATTACAATATCAAAAATAGAATTTAATAATACTGGAATCATCGTATCTAATGTTTAAATTTGAAATAGTTTAATATAAACTAACATAGGTGCCTTCGTATTTGAATTGTAAAGTATAATTTAGATAAACTTTTTGTTTTCCGTTTCTTTCCCTAAACTAATATAGGCGTCTCCGTTTTCTAATTATAAATTATATAGTGTAGGTAAACTTTTTCTTTTGCCTTTTTTCCTAAACTAACATAAGCGGCTTCGTATTACAATTATAAATTATAATTTAAGTAAACTTTTTCTTTTACTTTTTCTCAAACCAACATAGACACCTTCCAACTCTAACTATAAATTTTGGTTTAAAAGATATTTTTTCAGTTGTGAGAATACTGAATTTCGAGCTTTTTTCCATTTATATTCGAAGTCGAATTAGGCAGCTACTCATAATATGTATGAAAGTATGAATATCTTGAGATTTTGAATAATTCGAAAGGATGGATGCTGATGTTCATGATTGTGGTTGCGTTTTGTTTTGTAAAGTTCTAACGTCTGTTAATTGATATTCTTTATTGTTAACAAAAACCTCATAAAATTATATTTTATTGAAAATAGTTCAATATCTCAAGATATTAATATTTTCATACACTGACTTATTTTATTCTTCATCAGAGAATTCTTTTGGGTAGCACCATTCGATACTATGAACCATGCATTCTTGATCTGTTTTTCTCTATCATAATAACAACAAATATAATCACAATACTCTTTTGAACTAAGGAGATAAATAAACAATTGTAAATGTTAATTGATATAAAAGACAAGGATGAATAGTATATAGTCAATATATATTAAAATTACTATATTCGCGTTCTACATAATCTTCGCTAAAAACAATTCAATATCATTAAAATCGGAAAGAAATAGTACCGATCTTTAGATGTTGTAAATAATTATGTGTATGGAAGCCGTGCATAATATATTCAAATTTTGAAAAATTATTTTTCTTCAACAAAATATTAGAAGAAAGAAAAGACGTCATTAGTTTAGTTTGTTAGTTTATCTAATGTAATCATGTAGATGTTTTTGTCTATTTACAGAACATTTGCATTGGTTCCCATTACTTTTTATTCATATGTACTTTTTCTATGAGGCAACGCACTTTGTATTATTGTAATTATAACTAACTTACATGTTTCCGCAAGCTCGGTTTCCATCGATTCTTTTTTTGTTTGAACAAAAATACAAAAAACTTTGCAACTAACATTTTCTTCCCCGTACATAATACATCATAACAATATACAAATGAGAGAAAAAGAACGAAAACTAAAGCAAACATTTATCGGACGACTATTTCTTACCGAGAAAAAAGTACACTGAAATATGTTTTTATGATAAACAATTATTTAACTTACTTTAGAATACTAAAAAACTGTTTGTTTTAGTGTATGTGATAAATAAGATGCTTTGTTCTTCATTCGAACTACTGTACATAGAAATCAATCTTAACTGTTTAAATAATTTTCTCCTTGGTGAAGAAAAATCCGATTATCTATTGAATTACAAATCATAATATTCTTTTATCAATCAGGACACTATGAAAATCTAAGTTGAGGATGTTTAATTTTGGAGGAGTGTTCCGACCAGTTTGCTTTAGTTCTCGTGTAAAATCAAAAAGTTTTCATCTCATTATTCTCCTTTTAGATACTAAAGATTGATGTTAATTTATATGAATTGCGTAACAGATGACCGATATACATTTTATAATCTGTGTGATAAATTTGAAATATTTAGAATCTGTTTATTGAATAAAAACTAAATGCTGATTATTGTCCTTTCAAATTTAATTTTGTTATATCGATCGTTTTTGATATTTGGTTATCTTCTGGATAACTTCAAAGCTCTGTATGTGAATATATTTCTCCTTAAACAACATTTAAACACAGGAAAATCGTACCTGAATGGATTTTTTCTTGTGTAAACAAAAAAAATCATAGCTAGTTTTTCATCAGAGTGATGAAGTGAATTCAGAGAAAAAAAAGAGACAGAAAAAAAGAGAGAGAGAGAGAAAAAAATAGAATCTATCGCTCGATAAATACTCAGTGTTCTGCTATGAGTTAAATTCGTTTCATCAGCTTACAGTCTAGTTGGTGATGGCTTCAGCAAGAGTTTATATATGGATTTCATTCATGATTATCACACGAACAGTCGAACAAGATATACGATCAGAGCAAATGTTTTTAATACCTGATGCTAAATTTCAATGTGCCAATACAACTTGTTTACCATTCATTAGCGTTATTACAACAGACATTAGGAATTGTCAATTTGCCTGTTTAAGCCAAAATCAATGCACAGCAGCAACTTTTCATCGTTCAACTTCTAATTGTGAATTATTTGATAATATGTTGAACCAAAACGGAAATATGTTGGCTGATGTCGATGCTACTAGCATCAATGTTATTAGTGGAACACGATTTCCACCTGGTAAGTATAAAAATAGAATAGATTTAGAAGAAAATATATGTGTGGCAGAGATATTGAACACATCTATGTATAAATTACAGATCGGTTTGCCTCAAAATGATAGAAAAAATACAGCCGGAGTCTTTTCGAAAATAATTCCTTTTGAATTAAATGATCCTATTTTCAGAATTCGGCTTTGAAAATACCTTAGTAAAACGAAATCTCTGTGACACTTTAAGCTAAATGATCAATACCATTGAATATTAAAAGAATAATGAAGAAAAAATAAGATGATGATTCCATTAAAAAGGTCTATGGATATTTTGCTTTCCATATTCATAAATCTATACAAAATATTGTTGTTTATGAAACAAATTTTCATCAAAATTCCATAGAAATATAACGCATTAGACAGATCCTTAGGAAATAAATAAAAACTTACAGTATTTTTTCGATTAAGATCATGATCACAAGTAATTTGAGGATAGTATTACACCTCGTTAAAAATCATGCAGAAAAGTTGACCTTATATTGGAAATCTGTCACTTCTGAATATAACCTAAATATGTCATATGAAAGTTTTCCTGTCTTAGAGAGATTCTCTTAACAATACAACTAGATACACCGCAATAATGACGAATTCTGAGAAGAAAATTATAAATTAGGCCATTTCAATTGCGTGATCTTATCTCATTCAGTCAGAATAAGTTTCTGATTAGAATCTCATCTTAAATGAAAATAAAAGATTTCAAGAAAAGTATCAATATGCGAGTTTTATAAGACTCTATTTGTGTAATTCGAAAAGTTTCTTTATTATTAAACTCGTTGATAAATACAAATTGAGTTCTCAAAATTATTATAATTGAAATACAATTAAAGTAAATATCGTAAAACTACAAGTATAATGGAAATCATTTAAATATTTTCTGTTTTAATATAATCAATTCATATTTAATGTCGATACATCCTTGTAGAAAAGGAGAAAAAAATCTTATCCAATCGTTTAGACCCATTTTAAATTCTTTTTCAAAATAGAAACGACTACAACATCAACAACATCATCAACAACAACGGCAATACCAAGTGAGTACTATACTAAGTCATTTATAGTAACTCAAAGGATGATTAATAGAAGTGATGATATTCAAAAGTTTTGATTTTAATTATTAAATGATTGCCATCTAGATAGACAATATTAGGGAACATTTTCTATTGAAAGTTGAAATAATACCAATTTTTGATGACTTGATTTGATCTAAACTCATTCAAATATGAATATTCCCATTCAGTCAAACAGTATCAGACGAAAATATTGTTAATAGAGAGATTTTCATTTGATGGCACCCGATGACCATTCTAGTAATCACTTATACCCACCCACTCTCAAGATGATTCGAGTAATTCTACACGTTGACGTACTAGTTGACATAATATCGACATGAGGCATGTCTATCAGCACCTAATCTTAGGTTTGAAGTCACATTTGTATAGGGTTGAGTAATTCAAAAAAATATTGCAGTAATTTAAAAAGCAAACTTCAAACTTAAGAAAAACGCCTTTCGACACCATCAATTAACCCTTAATGTACTGATTTTATCGTGAGAACGATACGAGAACTATATTTTTCTACTCACATCTATTGTTACCTATATCTTGACATATACATACACCACCTATCTAAGATGGTGAAAGTACATATTGTTTACAAGATGTTGAACTATGTAGAATAAGTTTCATTTAAATTCCGAAATTCGATTATTATTCATCATAACTAAGTTGTAGGACAGTGTTTGAGTTTCGTCAATTCGCGACATCAATAGTACTCGAAGAATATTTATGAAGACGTTTATAACTTATTTTTTATTAACTTGATTTACCTTTCCATAATGAATCTTATATTAGCCATAAAAACAAAGAAGTTTATTGAAGGTTTGAAATCATTTAATTTGTGATCAATAGATAGACAACTTATGCACCTGTGAGATTCGAAGTCATTTTAAGAACAAAATGTTTTTTCTCACTTTTCTGCCTTATCTAGAATGGATAATGACAGGAAACATGCGTATCGGACGATCGCGTCACACAGTATCTACATTAGCAAATGGATCAGTATTAGTTACTGGTGGCTACAGCGGTAGTTATCTCAACAGTGCTGAGTTATACAATCCATCAATAGGCACTTGGACCACCACAGGAAACATAAGTGCCGGACGAGAATATCACACAGTATCCACATTAGCAAATGGATTAGTATTAGTTGCTGGTGGACAGAGCAGCGGTAGTACCTATCTCAATAGTGCTGAATTGTACAATCCATCAACAGGCACTTGGGCAACTACAGCAAACATGAGTATCGCACGAGAATGTCACACAGCATCCATATTAGCAAATGGATTCGTATTAGTTGCTGGTGGACAGAACAGTGGTGGTTATCTTAATAGTGCTGAGCTTTATTAATTGATATAAACAGAATGACATTTTCTTCTGTGAACTGAATCAGAATTTTTTTATATGTAATCAAACTATTTAATCATTCACATTTCTCAATACATTATCATTCACGGAATAATATGAGTTATAGTAATATCTCGAAGTTATATTGCATGGCGGTTGTTGAAAAAGAGTCATGATTGATGAAAGACAGATCATTATTGGTACGACTGACTAGATATTTTCATCGAAGAAGGCTGGATATACATACAGATATGAAGAATATTAATCATTTGTTGCTCCCAACCTCATGTATGCGGATGGTAACGTATGAGTAATCGTTCTCAAATGAATATCAGAGATGAATAATATATTTCATGAGCTTATTATGTATATAATTTTATAAAACAGATGATAGTCTCGACAAAGAACAGATCAAATATCCATATCAAAGAAACAAGGCATATTGTGGAAAAACTACTACTTATTTCTGGCTAAATCAATAAAAAAAAATCGAATTTATATTATTGAAAGTAAAAGGAGACGAGTGAGAAGGTGAATCAGTATTCTATTCATTCTGGGTGTATTTATAGTTACACTTACGCAGTGAAATTTATTTCAATCAATAACATATATCTCAGACAAATTGATATAACAGGTGACAAAGTAAAAAGACAAAACAAACACAAAAATAATTTGCAGGATGAAGAATGAAAAAAAGTGTCTGGTTAAATCGACGAAATCTTTTCATTAGTTGATAGTTTATAGAATGACAAACCACTTTATTCCCGATATACATTATTAAAACTATCTCTGTTTTCAATGCTTCATTGCCAAGTCATATTTTGAACAATATTAATGAAAAGAAAAAAGAAATCGCTTTTGATGTTTATTCTAAAAAACTTGAATAATTCTATTGTTAACATTTTGTGAAAATATTCGTTTGAGAGAATATGTTGAAAATAGAACAATATGTACAAAACTTGTCGTTTTCTCCGATGATCTTCTCTATTTAGATTTCTCTCAGAACAATTATTTCATAAGTCTTCTTTTGGTTCTTATTTGTGTTGATAATAAATATTAAAAGAATCTATCATTTCTATTCTTCGTTCATATGTTCGTTTTTATTAAAGTTTTATTGATGAAGTTTATACCTAATAAATAACTTCTGCTCATATTCCGTTACGTAATAAGTTCGATTTTATCTATATATTTGTTAATGTTAGCTACTTCTTTCAACTAATATTCATATTTAAATATGTGGGTGTGACTTAGCTATTCATCAGTACGGACCCATCCCACTTTGTCGCAAATAATGTCGATCTAATTATTAAAGACCCTTTAATTAAATGAGAAAAGAATTTCTAGTTAACCTGTGAATTAAAAAATACTTATTTCTAAAATTTTTTTTTGCTCCTCAAGAATATATTAAACAAAACATAATTAGAATCTGATCGTATGCACAATCGAGCAATGGGAACTAGCGGCGTCGACTTCGAGCTGTATGCGGCGCTTTAGTTTAGAGATAATTTACAAAACAGATTTGAACAAGTAGTGATATATGATGATTGTCATGTGCTCTGCGCATGATTCATTCTTTTCTCTCATGTTTCTCTTCCATTTTTTGTTATTCTGAGTTAGAGAGAAGGCTTCGGCAGCGTTGTATATATCTTGTTCTGTTCTATGTGTTTGGTGTGTGTGATATATCATTATTCTTTTTATATAGATTAGTGTTCGATTATGGAATAAACTAATATGAATTGAGGATCGAGCGAGTCGCATCGACAAGTGTATATTAAAAATATAGAATTAGTATTGATCATTATAAAAGAAAGACAAGACAATGAGAAAAGCATTATTATTCTTATCACAAATATTTATATATATTATATAAAACAATGTTTGCTTAAGCTTGGAGAAACATTTATTTTTTATCGATAAAATCGAGTTAGAATAATGAACATAAAAAATATGAGTAATGTAGAAGGTAGAAATAGAAGAATTTGAATAAGCATATAGAGTATTAATTGTTTTACGGATTAAAAATATATCCTTAATTTCTAGTTCATTGTTTATAAGCACCATGACCAGAACTTATTACCAAAATCAACTATTCAGTGCATTACAGTATAACCAAGTGGACATGATCCACGTTCTGGTAAGTGATCAGCACAAAAAAACAGATTCAATCAAAAGTTATTTGCATTTCACAAGCAATTCACGGTTGATCATCAGTTTTTCAGCACCAGATTGCTAATTCTAAGCCTCAACTTGTAAACTATAATTATCTTTCATATTCACCAGAACAACCCAAAAGAGGATCGATTCCACCTCATAGGAATAGTGAAGAAATTCTGATGTAGCTGTTATCTTGTATGAAGTGAGTATATAATTGATGTAAGAATCAATGTTAATAAAAACATTCTCTTCTTTTTGAAAAATCGATTTGAATGTAAAACTATGATGAAAGATTTTCCAAGTTATATATAACTTAAATGACTATACTTATGAAACGATAAAATTAAAAAACGTCATTTCAATGCATTTATTTGTTAACAAAAAAACAGGAACTGTTATAAATAACTTTTTTTAATACTTACACTTGCATTTCGTCGGAAATCTTGACAGAACAGAAAAAGAAAATGAATATCAATTATTTAGTTTCCAACAAATGGCTACCAAATAAAATATATTGTATTAGTGAAACGTTCTGTTGTCTACTATTCATTTTGTCAGTCAAAAACAAATATGCCAATCAGCATGCTTAATTTAGCAAAACTAAAAAATGTATCCCTAATTACAGGTTATTTCTTATATATGAGAAAATAGAGTTTCTTTAATCTATTCATATTCGAAATAGTATAGGAGGAAGCTATCCGGTTTGCACAGTATTTGTTTGCCAAATAATTGTTGTATTTCGAGCAATCCATATCAGATTTCCAGAATCTAACATTTCTAAACAGAATGGGTTTCCAGAACCGCTATTAGGAACACTAGCTGCCCACATTACAGCAAGGTTTGTTGTATAAACAACTAGATTACGATCTGTCTGGATGTTTAAAAAACATTCGACAGATGAGTTATGAATCTGATTTGCTCTCCAAATTGCAGTTGTAGTAACGTTTTGATATCCATATGCTTTATAGATACCAAATGTGTTGTTTAACATTCCGGCAGCATAGACTTGTGTTGCTGGTGAATAGATAAATTGATTATTATAAAGAGTTGCACTATTATTAGTCACACAAATAGTTGATGGTGGAGCTAAAACAGAATTGCAGAAAAGAATGTAGATATTATCTTTTAAAATAGCAATCTTATAGAGTGATCATAAACAAAAATTCTTTTGCTTAATATAGATACTTTATCAGCATCCTGAAATAAATGATAAATAAAGTAGGTTATATACACACGCGACTTCTGCAATTTTGTAGAAATATAATCGTTCTCTCGACAGAAATTATATAAAGATGCATCTGTACTATTTTGATTGTTTTTGTTTTTTGAATCATTATGATAATAAGTTCGCTATGAAACAACTATATCTAATTTACCTGTGGTAGTGATCCTAGTTGTGGAAGTAGTTGAGCTTCTTGTCGTGCTACCACTCGTGAATGTGGTTGAGCTTCTTATCGTACTAATTGTCGTAAATGTAGTTGAGGGCCTTGTCGTCCCACTGGTAGTAGTTGATGGGCTAAATTATATGAAAACCTATCATCAATGCCTATGTGTATTTTATTAAGTCTTACATTGAGCTGGTCATCAAAGTTGACATGCCTAAAAATAAATAAAAACAATTGTTTTAGTCGATATTATTAAAATATATGATTTGTACGTCAAAATTCATCACATTTCACAGATTATAACTTACTATTTGTTTGAATTGAAATTATTGATTGATTAATAAATATTAAAGTAGAATTAACTTGATATTCAATGATCATTGAGTTATTATTTGAAAAAAATAATTGACAAGTTTGATTTTGTGAAAAATAATTGATGGCAGATATTAATGTATTGGATTGTGTCATTTCACATATACAATTTTCACGAGATGAATTCGATAAAAATTTAGTCATCGTACCAATCATAATATGATTATCTATTTTACCAACTATAATCGAATCAACGAAAGAAAACAACGATAAAACTACCATTATCCAAAGCATACTATACTACTTAACCTATGCGACTGATTTTTTCGCAAATGTTTAGTTGATTACTATCCCTTTTCTTTTGCTGCATATCCTACAATGTTATTAAAAAAATAATTAAACACTCATAAAAGAAAGAAAAGATATTTGATAATTACTTTTCGATTACATTCTTTTTTTATATAACTGACAAAACGCCTACTGAAAATAGATTATAAAAGAAAAAGAAAAGTCTGCAATATTTAATTTACAAGAATGAGTAACAATTTCATTTCTAAATGATAGTTATTCAGATGATAATTTATTTTATGATACTTCCTTCAATCCATACATTAATAATTTGACAATTATTTTTCTTTATAATTTAGCGATCATATACATACATAGAACGATCGTTAAAACAATTCGCGCTGAAAGCTCTACATGATATTAAATAAAAAGATTTTTGCTATACCATCTATAGTTTCGACTAGATGTAGAAACTATTAAATATCGCTAAAAAGGGTGTTGATCAAAGTAGGGTGGATGTGGTTGAAGAACATCCATACCCTCAGTAAAAATCTTTCTTGTCTTTTTTAAATGAAAAATAAAAAGAATTTTTATGAAAAGAAACATGAAAGTTAATTAAAATGATTTTTGATACTTGTCGTCAATTAAATTTCAGTTTATATTTGCCATTGAAATTTCATTTGAAAGTTCTTTCTTATTTAATTATCAATCGATATAAGAATTAAAATTATACAAAAAGAAATCAAAAGAAATTCTACTAATATTTCAAATATTAAAAATTAATTTCGAGGGTGTGGTGCTTGAACTTGGCATGCGTATCAACGTAAAATAAATAAGATATCCATACCCATACATATCATGCGTTTAACAATATGATAAGAAAATCTACTTTATTAGTTTTGATCTAACCGAAATACTTTATGACAATACTAAATGGATCTTTAACGATGACGCATTATATATTTTAATAAAATAACGGACATAACCTCCATCACATTAATACTACATGTATATACCTAAACAAATATGTAAAACGTAAATCAAAATTACACGAAATCTTTTTTGATTTGACTGATAAACGTTCATCAAATACACAATGCCATCAAACCGAGAGATTTATCGATTCACATTCAAAGTTATTTCTCATCTAATTAACGATTTCAGTGAAATATAACGCAATCATGAAAAATATTCAACGCTTGTTCTATAAAAAATAATAATCACAAATAACTTTAAAAGTTCATTTATGCAAAAATCACTTCAGTGACATACAATCATAAATAATTTTTAATTAAAAACAAAGAAAGCCTAAACCAACAAAACCTAAAGAACTTAATCAATCATATTTCATACCAGTACAATGTATATAACATCAATAAAATTTCAACTAAGAAACGACATTTTGCACGACACTTTGATTATCTTCAGTCTCAAAAAGACAGAATCGAAGAAGTTCGGCACCGACTCCAATACCTCTCGCATCCTAAATGAACGCTTTCCCACATAACCTACATCTCCATGTTAAAATTAAGACATAAACCGTTCATCTACATCAAGATATGAGAATCCCATTTTATGATTTTCAGACAAAAATATTGACTCACTGGAGAAGGTGGGTATCAATCCCAATGCCTCTCGCTTGCGAAGCGAGTGTTCTTCCATATGAACTTCATCCCCGTGTTACTCTTTAAATATTTATTGTTAACCTACATTATAGCTGTCGGCATGGCCTGCCAGGCTAGGCCTCCTACTCAGGAGGATTACTGGAAATTTTACCTGACCTGCTCCGTCTACCCAATATATCTTGTCTGATTACAGGCCAGGCCAAGCCAAAGCTGTTGGCCTGTCTGAGCAATTATATTGATTTCTCTATTAATCATCTTGAAAGATTGAATGGCAATACAAACCAATGATTTTGTCCACGTTTAAATTTATTGTTTATAATTGGTGGATATTTTTAGTCCGCTATAGTTTACAAATTGTATAAATAAAGAAGATAAGACAACATGAATAGCTAATTTTATTTTAATTTAGATAAAGAAAACTATGATTTTATTTAGTTCGAACATAGAAAATATTTGTTTTGTACATTTTTATTGTTACCAATTTGAATAAGTAACATCAACTGAACATTACCATCACTTCTCAACTTCTTCTGTCTCATGTATTTTATAAACAATGTCAAGTGATGATATTCATATTTTATTCACTTATCCTGCTCTATCTGCCTCTACATCATCAAATACAAATGATTCATCATCTTCCTTTTTTCACATACATATGCTTCATCATTTTTGCCACCAAATATAAATAATTCATCTTTGTCAAACTGTGTATCATACTCTAGTGAGCGAATATGTGATCTATTAAAACATGAGAAATATAAATACGATATTGTTGATATAATCGATTTGAAAAATCAAAAATATCACTGGACCTGACTCGGCCTACAGGCAGCTCTGATCTATGTGCATATATGAGAAAATAATTTGAGAATCTTTTTGCAAAAATATTTAACGACTGGAGAAGTTGGGCATCGATCCCAATACCTCTCGCATGCTAAGCGAGCGCTCTACCATATGAGCTACATCCCCAT